CGTCTTAAGCAGGGGCGTAGCTAGAGGGGGCAAGGGGGGCATTTGTCCCCGGCGTAGAATCCAAGGGGCGCCAAACTGATGTTACGACATTTTAGAATTAAATGTTTTTCATCCTTGGCAAGTAGTAGGGGGGCGCGAAATCTTCAGTTGTCCCTGGGCGCTGAAAACCCTAGCTACGACTCTGCGTCTTAAGGATATTTATTTGAGGCACGCAGACAAAGTCAGATTCATTTCTGTTGGATATTGGGGATAAGTTTTCCGTTGCTACTAACTCCACAAATTCATCTTTCTGGCTTTGCCAAAGATTTTCGCTGCTAAATCAAACTGCAAATCTGTAATCAGGGCCGGAGCCACAGCCAGTGAAACCAACATCTCCTACTACTAACAGAGTTAGTTTTAGGAGGTGTTGGTGAAACAGATGCTGCTACTCAGGCAGCACAACTTCAATGGGCATTAGAATATAGAGGCGGCGAAACTTCAGAGGGATTTGCTGACACTGCACCGGGCGGCAAGATGCTTGCGTGTAATTCGCTCTTGCAAATATTCACAGTCACAGTTTAGCTTTCATACCACACGAAAAGGCTTGGTTTGCTCCCCGAGTAATTATTCGAAAAGGTTACGCCTTTATTATATGTCACAGCCTAAGCTATTTCAAAAGTAGTACGTTATCTAATTCTGTAATCCTGATGCTCCTCAAAGACAAAGATTTCTGTAATTTAAACTTTTCCACGCTTTCCTTCGCAATCAAAAATCTTAAAAAATCTCCTTTTAGTGAACTTTTTAAATCCTACCCTTAACTTTTCATTAAGTCATACATAGCTGACACTACATAGTATTCCTATAATGTCTCAAAATAAAGCTCATTTACGAGCCTTTTTAATAGTTTCGCCTTTTTAAAAGATCCTGATTAAGACAATCCATGGCTCTAGCTACCTTTTTTTATAGCTACCTTCTTCATCCGTTTTCCTTGCATTTATGAGAAAAAAAACAGAGTTATGAGGAATTATTGAGAAGATTTCAGAGGTCCTAAGATATTAGGTCCCACATCTGATGAGACTTCTAGATCCGCTTCTTAAACACCTTTCTTTTAATGAGAAATATTAGCACTATCCTCTGTAGTTGTTAACCTTCAGCCGTCACCCTGAAAGACTACTAAACAGCTGAATTAACATAACTATAACGGTTTTTAAATGTAGATAATGGATTATGCTTGCGCTTGTTAGCATTATCTTCTGCAGTTCCTTCTTTAGTTGGTAGTGTAATGTAATATAGGTGAAAATAACGAATTAACAATACTACAAAACTAAGACGTGCAGCTGCGACGGAGGTATACTTCGAATTTCAAAACTTTTCGCAATCCACAGGAATTGTATCTCAACCTATTTCTAGTTTGTGATTCATAACGGCAACTGCCGCTTTACACAGAAAATTAATAATAATAACGGAATGTCCAAGAAAGACAGTACTAATTAAAAAAAAAATTGGAAATGTTTAATAATTAGATCATTGATTTAATAAGCAGATGGAAAAATGGAGGTCAAAACATAGCAATAATTAAAATCCAAGAAAGAATAAAATTTAACTGAAACCTAAAATTTGAGGTGAAACATACAGAACTGGCCCACCGGAGGCCGAGCGATAAAGTCACTGAACTCTGGAAGTTTGGTTTGGAGTTGGAATTCCGGCGAACGAGCTGGTTGCAAGGGCGTTTTCGCGGCTTTCCCCATGCGTAACGTGAATAGGAGACAGTCTTCCTTAAAAAGTTCGAGCGGTAACGTCGCTGAACACTGGTAGTTGGTTCGAGGTTCGAATCCCGCGAACGAGCTGGCTGCATGGGTGTTTTCCTCATGTGTGACGTGTTTACTAGCCAGTTTCCCTTAAAAAGTCCTCCACGAAGGCATCCCTCCCTTAAGGCAGATAGCCCTCGAGTGCTTTGCCGTAATCTAATAAACCAAACCAACCGAGGTTCGAATCCCGCGAACGGGCTGGCTGCATGGGCGTTTTCGTGGTTTTCCCATGTGTAGCGTATATACGAGCCAGTTTCCCTTAAAAAGTCCTCCACGAAGGCATCCCTCCCTTAAGGCAGATAGCCCTCGAATCCCGCGAACGGGCTGGCTGCATGGGTGTTTTCGTGGTTTTCCTCATGTGTGACGTGTATACTAGCCAGTTTCCCTTAAAAAGTCCTCCACGAAGGCATCCCTCCCTTAAGGCAGATAGCCCTCGAGTGCTTTGCCGTAATGTAATAAACCAAACCACCCGAGGTTCGAATCCCGCGAACGGGCTGGCTGCATGGGCGTTTTCGTGGTTTGCCCCATGTGTAACGTATATACGAGCCAGTTTCCCTTAGAAAGTCCTCCACGAAGACATCCCTCCCTTTAGGCAGATAGCCCTGGTGTGCTTCGCCGTAACTGAATAATCCACTAATCCCTAATCCTTAAAAAGTTCTCTACGGGGTATCCCTTCTTTTCGCAAATACCATTGCGTGCGACGCCGTAAAAAAAAAAAAAAAAAAAAAAAAAAAAAGAAAAGAAAACTGTAGAACCAGTAACTGTACAATTGCAGTAAAATTCTCCAAACTGTAATTTAAAATTTGCAGTATTTTACACCGTGTAAAGTTTTACAGAAATTTATGAAAAATATATTATTTCGTAAATCTTAAAAACGCGGAGTTTATTAATCTAATCACTAACCTTCGCCAGAGCATTATAAGTGACTGATTCGGGCCTTTTGTTGTTGTACGTTGTTGTTGTAGCTTAAATTAACGTTACTTATTAGAGAAAAGGGAAATATAGGTTTACTCATAATTCCGTTAAGCATTTCAAAAATTCATCCTGTACATCTTGGTAAATGGTAAATTCTTGATAATGGTTTATGGTAAATTATGATTGAGATATCATCATAATAATTAATCATCATAATAACTCTTGATAATGGTTTATGGTAAATGGTTTCTGTTTTTGTAACTTATTTTGACGGAGGTATTTTCGTAAACGATCTCGGTAGGGGTCTCTGTTCTGACGTGAACAACTGTCTTGTTAAAAGAAGTAATGATCACTGCTTTAATTCAGCTGGTGACTGCTTTCATCCAGTGATTTCAAGTAAATATTCGCAATGAAACAAAGATATTTATCATCTCAAACAAAGTCGGCATATTGAGCGTTTATTAAATATGTGATAAAAAAAAGTAAGTTTATATATATTTCAGTATAGTAAAATCTGGTATCGATTACTTATTTATTTCAGTATAGTAAAATCTGGTATCAATTACTTATTTATTTCTTAGTTTGTATTTTCAAAGCATGTATTATTACTTCAACAAATGCAAAAATTTTTATAACAAAATGTGTAATGACAGAAATATGTAAACCGTGTAATGATAGAAACACAGTTTCTTTCATATATTGGGTATCTGAATTTAAATATGAAATACACGATCATTAAGAGCATGGAAATACATTTAAAACTGCAAAATAATAATGATTTGCTAATATTCGATACCCTTTATAATGAAAACGATTAAAATCCCTGCTAGGAAACGAAGCGATCGTTTGGTTGAATGCAGAATAATATCCAGATAAAGAAGAAATTCCGAGAAATATTGCTTATCGCGTTTAATGAAAAAATAAGCAAAACATGTCCAACAGAACCTAAATAAATTTAATTTTAACGCCCCTTACGTACTTCTCTTTGCCTTAAAGAGTTCGAAAACGATTACTATAGAAATTTCGGACTCTTTCGATCTTTACAGCTGCAATTTAAATTCGAAACAACGGTAATATTTAACTGATCTTTATCGTAATAAAAACAGAAGTTACCTTGATATCCGTGCTTAGTGTTGTTGATACATTTCAGACGTTCAGCTGGTACTTATTATAATAAAAGTTACAATTTAATATCAGATAAAACAGTTTTTCAGTCTCTATTCAAAATTGTTAAGCTCGTCTTCTTTTCTTTCCATTTTTATATCACATCAAATTTATAAATTTTATTTCTTAGTAAACATGTAATCTGTTTTAATAGTTTTGTAAAATCTAGAGGACTAACTAGCAAATTATGTGGGACAATTTGCGCAACATCTTGTGATATAGTCTAGCATCATTTTGCATTTCGATTTGATGACACTATTTTTCCTCTTCCTCCTTTTTTTTTTTTTTTTTTGCGTGTGTAGGGGGGGGGGAAGTTGGATTGATTTAAATTTTTGCACAACTATCATCTTTTAAGTCATGTATCCATTTTATTTTTTTTGTTACGAAATTCATTCCGAATATACGAATTAAATTTTCTAACGTTATTCCTTAATAATGCATTTTACATGAAAAAGGAAAAATACATATAAACAAAATTAAATTAACAAAATTCGCTAATTGCGACAAAAATGGAGAATTGTGATCTCTTTATATTATATAATGACTGCTTACGTTCGTTTATATATAATTAACAAAATTAAAACATACATTTTTAAACTCATAAAATTATTCACAAATAGAACTGTTTATAAACAAATCACTCATAAAATTGTTTATGGACAGACTTAAAATGAATAATTTTGATAAAAAATTGTTACAATTCCCCGACAAAAATGTGATTTTTTTTTCAAAAATTATTTTCCAAAATTAAATTAAAATGCTTTTTTTTATTAAAGATTTAATTAAGAAAAATTATTCAATAAAATCATACGCACGAAAACGAAATTTACGGAAAGTTTCAGTTTTAGTTTTAGTACAAAAGTAATAAAAGGGAATATTTAACAAAAATAAGCTCTTTCAGCCCGATGAAAATAAGTATAAGATAATGAAGAGTAGTTAGTATAAACAACAGAAAATTATGAAAGGGAATAGAAACATTTCAAAACGGGGGAATACCTAAAAGTAACGCGCTAAGGGAGAGATAAATGCCTACCACCCATCGGAGAGCAGCGACACACTTTGTCTGACCACTGCAGCGAGTCAGAAAACATGACGCATTGCAGGTAGAGAGAAACCAATAGTATGTAGGCTTACTTACGGCGCTGCTGAAGGGAAAGCCCGCGCTTTTAGTAAACAGTGCGATGTGAAAACGGAAACTTTCTGCAGTGAATATCTGCTCGTGTTTTCAGATTCTCGTTTAGTTGAAAACATTTTAACGTCACCCTTCGCAAATATATAATTTACATTAGAATTGTGTTTTCTCGCTTGCGCTGCTACCTCATTGGCAAATTTGAAAACTGAGCTGGAGGATTTAATTCGCTTCGGGTGCGACTCTCGCTCTCTTCAGTCGTCTGGTGTTAACGCAGTTAGCTATTGGCATCGAATTCTGCTTGTGTGACAGTTTCGAATCCTATTTTAATCGAGCATGGTAAGATGTTATTTGAAAAATAAAACTCGTGCTTATGTTGGATAATTATTCTGCAATATCAAATTGATTAGATTTTTTCAAGAACTTAACTCTGTTTGCGCCAATGCGGGATCCGTTAGCACTAAGCAATGGCCGTTTCCATAAGTGGCGTGTTTCCACGTTTAGTTTTGTGTTTCATAATGGGTAATTGCTAAATGTTTATGAAGTAAAGATAAAATTTTGTTTGAATATCATTATTTATCATGTTAATTTTTTATTTTGTTGATCTTTTAAATACGTGAGATTAATTTCATGGAATATAATTGTAATAATAATGGATATTTTATTGAAACGCTTGCAGTGATATTCATTTTGTGCAATATTTTGATAACAAATTAGCAATAATTTTATAGTTTGAAACTATAATATGTAAAAAAAAGTTGCAATCATAATTTTTGCAATTTAATGCTTCCTGATAAACTTAGATTCAACTTATCCATTTTTTAATTCACGAAATCTTCTTTCAGGCTGATCAACTAACAGAAGAACAAATTGCGGGTAAGAATTTATTTCATTTTGGAAGATTTAATATTTCGAATTATGTGGATAATAGATAAGTATGCTAAAAATCAAGTTTTCATTTGCCTTTTTTAATTGTTGTAAGCTGTTAAGAAAGCTGCTTACCTTTCCGACAGTCCTATAAAATTATATGCAAGATTTTGTTAGCAAGCATTCCAATTAAAACTTACTTAAGTTGCTGATATAAATTTAAAATATTTCTTTCTGTACTTATTTTGCGATATTTTTTATGTGGGAGTGTTAGAAACAGCAAAGCATCAGTTAGAAATAAGGGAAGCTAGTGAAATAAGAAACATCAGGATATTTATCATGTTAATTTGGTCTAAATGTTGGTATTATACTCAACCAGAAAAACATGTGTAGTTGACATTTTTACTCGCCAACTTGAGCCAAGCAGTAAGCATGATATTTTGTAAATGTTGTTTTTAGTGTATGTAAATTCAAGTTAGCAGACAATGTAGTAAAAATTCACAGATAATAAGTATGTAGATGTAAAACTAACAGGTTAAAAGTGATATACGAAAAGAAATTTGTATTAAATTCAAGTTAGCACAGAAAACAATGTATTAAACATAACGGGATGTAAAAATTCATTTAAAAAATAACAATTAGTATTCTTATACATACGTTTACATTATACTTATATGTATTTCCTCTAATTCATATAGAATACTAATATTTCTATTACAAGTGTCTTTTTTTATTATTAAGTACTTTACCTGTTGATTGATGTATTTCGGTAAGAGCCAGGCCCATGTAATAAATTAATGAATGCATGACCTATCCATTTTATGTAGATTTCAGTATTTTTTTTTCCAAGTTACTTGCGTACAGCTTAAAGCATTTTACGTTGAAACAAATACCTGTCCTTTTTCATAATATATTTCACAATACAAATAACCTTCAACAGTAATCAAATTATCTTCAGTAGCATTGTTAATAAAACTAGAACTTTATACATTTTAAAATTATTATAGGGGTTGGAAACCTCATGGTTCTGCGTGCTTACAGCTGTTAATAATTAAGAACATAACGTGAACAGCCATGTTACAAATTAGCATTCACCCCTCCCTCCATATTTTCTTCCTTTGATCCCGAACTGACGAGCCGAGAACTGGCATCTTTAGACGAAAACTTCTTTAATTATGCGAAAATATTTCTATCTATTCGTTGTTAAAAAATTCAGAAAAAATAATAATAAATAAGAGAAGAATATAAATCTCCAAATGCGAACAACGACAACCTTCGCAAAAGCGAATAGGATGAATTAGCGAGGTTACCAGGTTTGAACTATTATCCCCAAAGTTGGCAATGTTTACATTTAACGGGTTCTGTGTGGAAGTGCTTCCAAGTTTTCTTCATGAATACTAAGCAAGAAAAACGGTCTGTCTAAACCAATATCAAAATTGTCTTTCACGATACCAAACATTGTCATTGTGATGTAACTACAGTGCTTGACAATTGTGAAGGAGCAACAACTAGTTTTTATTCTGGTTAATGTTCAGCAGCTATAAGAAAAGAACTAAACAAAGTGCTGTGTTATAAATTTTATAACTTTATGAAGGGCAGACAGTCGTGAACTGCTATTAATTTGAAGTAAGGTGCAGTGATGCTATATAGTGGAAATCTTGTTTGTTTGAGATTATATTTTCCCGAGGAATGCATAAAGCCATATCAGTTGTAAAGTTTTCCCACAACATTATTGAAGTGAATATTTTAAGTGCCGATGAGCAGTTGAATGCCTCAGGGCAGTGTAGTTACTGAATTCTAAATGGCAGTTGTTGTCTCGGGAAAAATTATTAAATCCAGAGAACAGCTATATATAATACGGTGGTAGTACAGAAAGAATATAATGATATAATTGATAAATTTCTGCTTTAGCATAAAGAAACCAAAATTTTAACACTACAAATTATTGTGAATCTGGTATTTATCACTTGGCAATGACAAGAATTGAGAACTGGCATGTTTTAGACTTCGCAGGAAATGGTGACTGATACACATGAAGTGCAGAATCGGCCAATTATTTGGTGCTTATTCCAAGAGTAAGAAGAATTGGATTTTTTTCTTTTAAAGTGAAAATACATTGATGTGTACGTGGACAAAGTCAAGGGAGTGCGCAATGCCAAATTTGTGCAATTCTCTGATTTTTTTGAAGTGAAAATAGGTCAATGTGTACATGAATACCGAGTTTGTGCAATTCTTAAAAACGCACCAAGCAGTGGGTGATTTTGCACTTCCCCCCAACTATTGTTCGAAGGGTATTAAAGAATAATTTCCGAACTCGCTGGAATAGCTTGAAAGAGCAGCAAGTCGGTAAAATTTTAAGAGCAGAATAATATCTCATAAAATTAAGCACTAGTATTGAATTTTCGAATACTATATCAACTAATTATTAAAATGAAAAGGAACTGTAGGAAAAGCTTACTCTAGGATTTTCATTTTGAAGAGGGGGAAGAACTTAGAATTTTCATTTTAATACCCATCCTGGATTTATGAAATGGTTGTAGAATAAAATTTTGAAAAAATAGTCCGGTCTGGATAACAAGAGTACCAAAAAAATCCTTTTTTTTAAAAAAAATATTTTGTGATTTTTTATCCAGTGACAGAAGAAAAGAATGATTTTTAACTCGTGAGGATATATACATGCTCTACAAGCATGAGGATGCATGAACTGAAGAAAAGTCTCGAATTCAGCTTGATGCACATGTGTTAAGTATTGTGAATAAATGGAAAGTCAAATTAATTGGTATAAAAGAGCTGTGATTAAGGGTTGCCATAATGATGCAGCTTCAGAGCTAAATAAAATTGGTAATTTTTAACTCGAGTGTCACTATAATTGACAGAGTACCTGAATTCATACTTATGCATGAACCATCTGCTGATTGATTTTGTGTAGTATGAATGAGCCTCCAGATGAGATAGTGATTAGTGACACTGACTGCTGAATTCAAATCCTATAAAAGACGTGTGTTTGTAAGTTCTAGTGTCTGCAGCAAGAGCTGGTGGTAGAAGACTGTTAACTCTCTCTCTCTCTCTCCTGCCTGCTCTGGAATTCCATTAGAGCAGAAGAGAAGCATGGTCTTCCAAGGCCTGGCGATGCTTAATATGTCTATGTGGATGCACAGTGCATGCCTTTCTTCATCCTGTACTTGTTGTGTAGATGGCTACGCTGTCTTTCAAAACTGATATAGTAATCTTGTCTGTCATATCTTTGGACTTGGGTTTAAATCCCAGAGAAAGGATGGATGCTTGTTGGTATACAGTGTCTATATGACGTGAGGCCCTTCAAAATGCATCACGAGCCAAAATTTCTGTCAAGTGGTCCAGTGGGAGGGGAACAGAGATGGAAACTTTCAAACCATCCCACGGGATATTCTGCTACAAAATTGGGACAGAGCTTAACAGTAGTGCTATGGAACTACACCTGTATGACCATGATGAGTTTCTGGTCTTCTGCCCCATTATACCTAAATTTGTTATATTGATGCAAGCCTGAGATTGTAAAGATGTAGGAGGCTTCATCATCTGATATGAGTCAATGAGGATGTTTTGCATGAATCTGGTTTACTGATAAGAGTGGTTTGAAAAAACAAATCATATGGCAAAAATGGGACTTTTTGAAAGTGATATGTCCATATTATTCATTATGATCATTATTATAAAGGAATGGGCAAGGGTCATGCCTGATACCAGAAAAAAGCTTTGCCTCTTTGTACATTAAAACCTGCATTCACAAAATTAATTCATTCCTGAAGACACTTTATGAGCTAACATGTTCATAAACTAAAACAGTTTTTTTCTATAGGAATTAATACAAAATAGAGTAATTTGTGTCTGGACCACAGATGATTGTCTGTTTAAAATTTACAACAATACTAAGTGCACAAGTTTATAATCCCAAACCAATGAAATCATCAAATATAAAATAAAAAAAGATAAATATTAAACAGATAAAATACATGTAAATTTAATTTTGGCATATCTGGATAAATGAGCATGGACAAGCAGAAAATCATGGAGAGGATGTTATTATTTGGATGCAGAATTCATGATTATTATTTTGATAATAATAATATTCATTCCTTATAATAATATTCATTCATTATTATTTGGATGCAGATCATGACCACTGTATCAGGCTCTGTCATGGTAGAAAAATACTGTGTAGATATACTTTTGTGTTCATTTTTTCATTAAGCAATGGTTCTTGGCTTCGCATGGTTAATAATGCTCATCTGTGCAATCCAGACAGTCTGATACCTATTAGAGAGAGGGAAAATAATTGTTAACAAATATTTAGCTTTTATGTAATTGTATACCATTAAGTGTACGTGAGTATTAAAAATTTATAAAAAATAATATACTAGAACTAGAGGTGAGATGAGGTTAATATGATTACTTTTGAGATAATTATGTCTCGGAATATATCTGTTGAATAGTATTAGATAATAGATGAATCCTCCTGAAAATTAAGAATTTTCTTCAGCCCAAACGTAATGTTCTCTCATATAAAGTGTTACATATGCGTACAAAGCAATTACTATTACAGTAGTCAGATGCAGAGTATATTGTTTCAGATTATAGCAGTTAATTTTTGTATATGAATTTTTGGTTGTACTTATTATAACGCCCCTCCCCCAAGATTGATATGCTGATCAGTTGAGATATTTGGTCGAAATCTTGCCATGTGTTTTTATACCTCATTGCATGTTTCATCTCGGTTGATTAGCCATTAAATTTGATGTCTGCTATAATAAGGAAATACTAGGTATATTATGTGCATTTGTACTTCATCTGTTTTAGTTTATTTGTTAAAGTTTGAATTATAATAACATGCCAAATAACAGTTATTGGAGGAGTTAAAACAACAAAAACCAGCTTAGTACTCAAATTTGCGGGACTAGTTTCAAAGATTCTATATTTAAACCTTGAAAACTAATCATGCAAATTTATGAATAAAATACTGATTTTTGTTGCTTTAACACCTCCAATAATGCTATGAAAGATTGTGTTATCTGAAAATGTTTATTGAAGTGGGTGTTAAATCTGAATATATGTCATTTTTTTCTTGTTTCCCTCATCAAGATTTTTCTTTTCTTTTAGAATTCAAAGAAGCATTTTCACTTTTTGATAAAGATGGAGATGGTACTATTACAACCAAAGAATTAGGAACAGTAATGAGGTCACTAGGCCAAAATCCAACAGAAGCAGAGTTGCAAGACATGATAAATGAAGTTGATGCTGATGGTATGTTTATCTGTCGAATATTATGTTAGATTTTATAGAAACTGTTTTCGGCCTGAAAAACAAATATTTAAAAATATAAGTTCAAAATTTCAAAATAGTAAGATTGTAAAAAAACGAGAAATTAAATGAAAATGTCTTAATGAGATTAGAGAAGTCGGATATTTTAACTGTTGATTGTTATGGGTCCTTGTTGACAATTTATAACTATTAGGCAGGTGGAGGAACTGTTGGATGTAATAACTGTTTGTTTGATCCAGTCAGGATCTTGGAACTACTCTTATATATGCCTTTGGTTGGCAAAACTCCACTCCGCCATATTACTATACTCATACCTGCCAACTTTTACGAATTTTTCGTAATTTTTACGAAAATGCGCTTGTCTTTACGATTTTACGATCGTAATCCATTTTTTACGATTTTTTCCTTTTTCAAGTGTTTTTAGTGATTTTTGTCGAAATTTTAGAATTTTTCCCCAATTCAGCGATTTTTGCCAATTGCATCGTGTTTTACTGACTACTTCGAATCCTGCGGTTTCTCCCAACTCGCCGCTTAACCAGCCAATCCAATGCGCTGAACTTGTTTCTCCCACTCTTTTCTTTGTGGGCGCCAGATTATTTTTTTCGCGTTCGCTTCAGCAGCAAGGGAATTACTCAGCTCGGACTCAGCGAGCGTGGATTGTCGCATTCTTTTTTTTTTTTTTTGTTTGTTTTGTTTTTGTTTGCACGTGCTACGAATTTTCTTAATACGTCGTTGTTACGAAATGAGTTAAAAAAAACCGTATTCTCAATATTTTCGGCCTGCCTACAAAGCCGAATTTCCAACAATTAAAGAATCCTTCAAAGGAAATAACTATGCATTTTGCAACGTGTGCGTGTGTGACTTCATAATAAGTCACGGTGGAAGAAGCGACATTGTGAAGCATGTTAAGTCTAAAAAGCATGAAGTTAATGCTTCGGCTTCGACAACGTCAAAGAAAGTGGATGATTTTTTTTTTTTTTTTTTTTTTTTTTTCAAATTCGGCTACGAATTCGGATGCCGATGTCATTTTGGCAGAGTGTTTGTTTACTGCATTCCTCATCGAACACAACGTGCCGCTAAGCGCTGCCGATCACGCCGGTCAACTTTTCAGATGGATGTTTCCCGACTCCAAGATTGCTCAGAAATATGCTTGTGCTCGCACGAAAACATCTTCTATTGTGAACGAAATTGCTTGCGATGCACAAAGTAAAACGATAGCTGCACTCCAGAATTCAGCATTTTCGGTGTCAATCGATGGCAGCAACGACAGCGATTGGAAGCTTTACCCCATCGTTGTCACATATTTCTGTGATGTTTCTAATGAAATGAAAACTCATCTTTTGCGTCTCCCCATTGTTAAATGGAGACGCTACGGGGGAAAATATTGCCTCCTTGGTAATTATAATAAATTTCCATTTTTGTTAACAATTAAGGAAAATGAATGCCATAATGATACTTTAGATGAATTTCAGAAACAATTTTCTGCTGCACAGTTTGAAGACTTTGCCAGTTCTGGAGAAGATAGACTTAATGTCCTCGTTGGTACCTTAAAAAGAATAAAAAGAGCTGATGGAACACCAAAATATGATAGACTAGCAAGAGTTTTATGTGCTATTCTCGTAATTCCACACAGTAATGCTGAGTGCGAGAGAGTCTTCAGTGTTGTGAAGAAAAACAAAACTATGTTTCGTTCTTCAATTTCACCAAAAACTCTAGAAAACATTTTAATTGCTAAATGTTATGAGGAAACTAATTGTTATGACAGGAAATTTTCCAAAGAATTTTTGGCTAAAGCCAAAAAATGCACTCTAAATTCATTGCAATAATTTTTTTGTGTAACATTAAGTTCTTGTTTTATGTTTCCTAATAAATTTTTTAGTTACTACTTAATTGAGATTTACTAATGTAAGTACAATTTTCTTTTTTCTATTTGTATAAATTGTTATTTTTTTTAATATCAAAGCATGATATTAATTCTTCGTGTTCTTCTGAATTTTGGAGAAATCTTCTGAATTTTTATCTTTAGAGGTTGGCAGGTATGCTATACTAAATTTTTTATCTACATTTCGAACTTTAAGCCTAAAATGTCTGTAAAAACCATGTTTTTAACACACAACTCATGCCAAGAATCTAAAGAACAAAAAATTTAGATAGCAAAAACAAAGGTTTTAACCAAAAATATTTCACAAGAATCCATGTACACAGCAATATGTTGTAACCTAAAAAAAATCAGAATTACAGAATTTATTCAGTGAAGAAAACTAGGAATTGTGCACCCCTCGCTAAAATAAACTAACGTAACAACCATAAATTTCAAACAATACCATGTATAACAGCGTTCTGCTTAAAAAAAAAAAAAAAAAAAAAAAAAAAAAAAAAAAAAAAAAAAAATCAGCGTATTGCTCAATCTAGGCATTGCATTGCGCACAGATCAATAAAATAAATTGCAAGCAATTCAAAAAGCAATAACAACAGAAACTCGTAAAAAAAAAAAAAAAAAACATAACATTCTGCAAAATAAGAACAAGAATAAAATAAAATGCACTTACGATTGTGTGACAGCAGAAATACCAATTTCAAACATCAGCAAAAACAATTCAAAATAAAAAACCCAAGCACTTTCATCAAATATTCTACAAACAAATTTTCAATTATCTCGCTCAACAGGTCTTACAATTTCCACAAATTTGTTGAAAGGATCTTCTCCTGTTTCAAAACAGTAATGGAAAAACATAAACCACCAAATAAAACTTAAAATCGCATTTCTGGTTTTAAGTAGGCAATGTAGCTTTAACATGCCGCCACACACTCTCTATCGTATTTCTACAAACCTCCTGACTCCCACAGAAATTCAAAAAATGCTCTTCGATCCACATAAATACACCCGTTAACAAAACACTCGTTAACAACTCCAACATTGTACCTTTTTAATACTAAATTTACTTTACACACAATCCAAAGTACGCGACTGAAATTTTGCCATCATATCTTTCATTGCAACATAAGCCATTTCAAAACACCCACCAAACCAACCAACCAACAAATAAAACTGTTAGAGCAAAATCAAGCATCAACGTCAAAAGGGTTGCTATACAAACAACATCACGCCAAAAACCATCACAGAACACAGTTGCGCCAAAAACCAGCACAAAACACATATTGGCACATTTGGCGACCCGAGTCCGTATATAAGAGTACCAAAATCTTTTTTTTCTGCTAGATTGTCTTCATTTTCCGGCACTTAATTTATGGAAGTTTGGTTTAATTAGCTGCATTATCTCTAAACCTTCCTTTAACTTCACTATGAGCCAGTTTAGAAAGGTGAAATGAACCATGTATTTTTATTTGTCTGTGTATCCTTTCTATGAGTTTTGCTTTTAGTATTATTTTAGATTTTGTTATGTGTAAGTTGATACGATTTTTTTTTTTCTGGATTATCTTGGAAATGCATAAAAAAGTATTCCCTACATAAATTAGTTTTAAATCATTTCATCTTAAAATTTGACAGGTACATTCTGCTTTCCTGAAGGCAGTATAGAGGGTGTTAATAAATGAATGGTGCAGTTTTAAAAATTAACAATAAATCGCTGTATTACTTTATATCGACAAAATCTTACAGCATAAACAGGGGCAACTGTCGAAGTTTTTCATGTATTCAAAATTCTTCAATATGTGCACCCCTAGTCATATGACACACATCTACACTGTAATCAAATTCTTTCCATACTCGGTAGTATGTCGAATGTGACGGTGCATGCTTTATCCGACCACAAACTTCCTCAAGAGACACGGGCATTGGCAGAACATACACTTGGTCTTTACCAAACCCCCAAAGAAAAGAAATTGCATGGTGTTAAATCCGACGAATGGGGTGGCCAGGGGAGAAGGTTATTGTTTGCTGTTTCAGCACATCCAATCCAGCTTTGGTGAAAAATAAGATTAGGAAGCTGTTGTACATTCCTGTAAAAATAGGGTGAAGCACTGTCCATTTGCAAAATGTAATTATCGTAATTGGTATTCAGCTAAGGTAACGACCAGGTTTCCAGTATCTCTAGGAATGACTTGCAGATCAGTTTCTTGTTCGAGGAAAAATGGGCTGTGCACTTTCTCGCTAGACACCCCACTGAAAACAGGCATGAAACACACGCTACACTGAAGCCGCATATCTGTACTCCTCAACACTGAGCATACAGAAATCCTTTTCCTGTTGTGGCGCTGTCTTGTGTAGGCTGTGGCTGGGCAGTTAAGCATAACAAGCAAATATCTGATAGTACATGAGAAACTTGGACAGTTGCCAATGCTTACAGTGTTGGTTTTTGCATGTATAAAGGAATACATTTATTAGTAATTTTTAAAACAGCACCATTCAGTTATAAACACCCTTATAAATGTCATCATCCTTTTAAGTATGTTAAAAAAATTCTTTAAAATACATTAATAAAAAATTTTTTTTCTCTCTTTTGGAAATAGTAACTCTGCCTTCTCTAACACATGTGGTCAAACTAAACTTGTTTTTAGCAAATAACATTTTATCTTTTAAGTGTAAGTAGAGTTTAAACAGTATAGTACTTTTTAATAATTTGATTTTTAAATTATATTTCGCATACAATTTCGACCAAATTTCAGATTTGTACCATGCACTATACTCGGCAATTCTGTTTTCTCAGACCTGCCATGTTACTTCGGTTGCGGCTTAGGGTTGGTAGAAAAGACAATTTGCAGCAGGTTGCATCAACAATATATCTTAATCTTGCTGAATACTACAAATATGTGCAATTGTAGCAGTGGAAGAAACAAAATGCATATCAGGATCCTTTTTTTATTTAATGGATTAATTAAATAATTGAAAACCAGGAATTAACTCCATATATTCTAATGTTAATTATTATATGTGGATAAAAATTTTAACGCTTATAAATACTTTTAGGTTGACAGTCTGTTCTTCCTTTTCTTTTTCTCCTTTCTCTATTTTTTTAAAGGAAACTAAAAAATGTGAAACATCTTCAAATTATTGGGTAAGCTACCCTAAAATTTTTGACAATACACTTTAAAGCTTAATATCTTTATAATTATTTAAGCTATAATAGGAAATTTAGTATGCATGTTTTGATATCCTTTATATTGTGTTTATTACCTTTATTTTGTTTCACATATTAAAGTATTTTAAATAAAAATAAATTTGTCATTGATATAAAATTTAAACACACAATCATTATTTTTTTCATCAAAACATTTTTAGCTTTCCTTCCAAATAAGAAAATTAATGTGTAATTAAATGACCTGCTTTAAAAGTAATTGAATATTTTTTTAAAGTTCAGAACATAAAACTTGACTGTTTTTAATTTAAAATTGAACATAATTTCTAAAAGTTTATGTAAGAAGCATAATAATCACTGTATACCCATATGGAATTTACATGGTGAATTTTTTTTTTAAATTCTTACTAGGGTTCAGATAAATCATGCATGCAAGCAAGAAAATCCATATTTTTAACTAAACTTAACTGAGAAAGAAATTCCTCTGAAATCTTTGAAGTGCAAATTATTAAATGTATAGATAGATATGCTAATAAGTTTTGTATCATGTGTAGCTGTATATTAATAGGAAATTGAATACAAAAACATTAGCTATAGATTAAGGAATTTAATATGAATGATTGGTTAGAGGAGAGAGAGAAGGGTGCCCTTTGTTTTATCGTGAAGTTGTTTCATTTATGGTAGCTTGAGCAGTTGAATGTTATGGAAACCCTATTATGACGTAATCCGTTGCATGATTACGGTAAATTCGTAAGGGCTTGGTTTGGTGTTGATTAGGAAATATATTGCTTGTTTTGTGGTTTAGACGGTAAAATGGCTGAATGTGGTAAGATTAATTTGAAGTTTCTGTATGATTTGGAAAGAAAGGAGAAAAGAGCATTACCTGACTGGTGTGTAAATGAAGGTTTATTTAGTAGCCATTATTAGGTGTCCTGCTTGTAGGAACGAAATGCGGGTAGGACGATTAACAGCGTTTACAGAGAATAATTTTTACTCGTACTTTGTGAATTTATGTGGCGACATCAGTATACAGATAATTTTAGGAGGCTTTTGGATGCTGTTAAGGAATTGTGTTTGATTGAAGATGTGTTAATTTGTAAATAAGGTAAGTGGATATTTCCTTTGTGTAGTGTAAAGATGAATTTCATTGTTTGATTTAAAATGTATTTTATTGAGATTATATATTTTTGTTGGCTGCTCCTTTGATTTTGTAAGTGAATATAGTTCAATGTGTACGTGAACATAGTGAGTGAGCAGTGCCTAGTTTGTGCAATTCTCGAATTTTTTTTAAGTGAAAATAGGTTGATGTGTACATGGATAAAGTCAAGGGAGTGTGCAATGCCAAAGTTTGTGCAATCTGATGTTTTTTAAGTGAAAATTGGTTGTTGTGTACTTGGATACCAAGTTTGTGTAATCGCGGCATAAGCCAAAATAACAAGTCAAAGAATTGCACAAACTCTGTTTCCATGTACTGTCAAAAATTGCCAGTTTTCGCCAAGGGCGACGTAAATACATTTTTAACGAATGATTTACTGAAATGAAAATGTAAAGAAATCATCTGGCTCTTTAAATTATAAAAATGTAGAACTATTTATTATCAATACTTTAACTCTTGAACAGATTTTTTAATGGGATTTCTAGAATGGTTGTAGCGACTTAAATATATTTTTAACGAATGATTTGCTGAAATGAAAATGTAAAGAAATCATCTGGCTCTTTAAATTATAAAAATGTAGAACTATTTATTATCAGTACTTTAACTCGAACAGATTTTTTAATGCGATTTCTAAAATGGTTGTAGAAAATGCAGTTTTCATATAAAAGCATAAAAAATTAAGTTTTTTATTTAATAATTTAAATGTGCCTTATCTCTTAAAGCACTAAACAGATTCTGTTATCAAAACATAATTTCCATCTTTTGCCTGAAAAAGGATTATTTTGCATTTAAAACTCTAAATAAATGGCAGACCATCAGCGGTACACAAATGCAAAGGAGAATGCAAATTTGCTAGTAACAAGAAACTTTTAGGAAAATGTGTGCAGAAATATGAACATGATTTCAGTTGGAGTTTTAAATAGCTGTACATGGAAATAGATACCCAAAACAAAATTTGAATATTCGTATTAGTGAAATGGATGCTATTATTTGCTTTAATAGTCAAATATGTAATTTTCTTCCATGTATTCATGTTTACTCCAGGGTGAAAACTACTTTGGAGTATTCCTAAAATGTTTACCAAAATATTTTCTTTTATCGAAAGTTTCTATACAAAACATGACGAAAGGAATTTCTGAATTAACTATCACACAACCTGTAATAAAGTGGAATTTTTCACGAGCTAGATAAGTTGAGAGAATGTAAAGTAGAAGTCCAAGTTCAGAATTTGTAAAAAGAAATTTGAACCTCCCCCAAAAAAGTATTGTTAAAACATTGACAAAATGTTATTTTTGTGGCAAAACAATTTACTTATTTTGTTCAAAATGCTGTTTTCCTACTTTGACATACTTTGTGAAAAATTCATCTGAAAATTCATAAAATTTTATTTCAGTGTAATATTATAGGCTGTCCATTCAGTTAACATAAATATTTGTTTGGGAGATTCATTATTTAGTTAGGATCTAGAAAAAATGCTGCTTTAGAATTATTTGAAAGCTAAAAAAAATTGTTTAAAATGTTGATAAGGTCTGGTAAGAATTTCATAGTGGTATATGAAATATAATAAAGTGGTGAAGAAATAGGCATTTGTAAACAGCCTAAATTTGTAGTTTTTCATTATGGCCTTATGTGTTGACCTAAAATTTTTGTTTTGTTTGTTGAAATGTTTGTACTACATGCACTGTTTGATCTTATTGATTGGCAACCTTAATTTGGGGAGGGGGCTAAGAATACTTCATTTTTTATATGAACAATTTAGTATATAATTAAAAAATGAAAAATTATTTTCTGAATGAACAGAAAAAAGAACAAAATTTATTCTTATTTGCTTGTTAAAGCTGCCATCACATAAGCCCTTAGCAGTGTTTTTAAATTTTCACATTCAGGCTGATTAAGTTTGTCAATTTTGGTGACCGATTATGGTGGCTGCTTTAGCAAAGAAGCATTGATGTATATGTAATTAAATCAGTGGGGGGAAGGGCATCTGAAATCAACATTAATTTTCTGTTAAAATGTTTTACTGTTTTAAAAGTATTTTAATAATTACAGCTTCCAGCAATTCTGTTTGAAGCTGATAAAAGATTTCTGAATTCTAATTTGAGACTTCTGTTCACCTAACTATTAACTAGCTTTGTTCTGATGTTAAAAAGTTATTGTGATATATGTACTGCCTTGAAGTTTGTATGTTTAATATTCACTGTTTTCGATTAATTTTGAAAGGAAACGTAGTCTTTCTTTAGAAACTCACTTTTAATAAGATGAATTATTATTAACATTTGCTTCTAAGTAAATTTCGACCTGTGTACACTGTTCAGAAATATAGTGGCTGTAGCTGAGAAATGTCATTAAGATGCTTAAAATGTTATTCCAGATGATTGAACAAACTGGCTGTATAGTTTTCCTTCTTTAATGCAAGCAGGGACCAGTTTTCATTAGATCTGTTTAAAGGCAGAAAACCTTAACGTGCGAAATAATGTGTGATTGTGTGATATATGTGATCACCATGACTAAAATATTAATGAAAAATTTTATTTTAGGAAATGGAACAATTGATTTCCCAGAGTTTCTTACTATGATGGCAAGGAAAATGAAGGATACAGATAGTGAAGAAGAAATAAGGGAAGCTTTCAGGGTGTTTGATAAAGATGGCAATGGTTTCATCAGTGCGGCTGAGCTGCGTCATGTAATGACAAATCTTGGTGAAAAACTTACGGATGAAGAAGTAGATGAAATGATTAGGGAAGCTGACATTGATGGAGATGGTCAAGTGAACTATGAAGGTAAATTTACTTCATTTTACAAAACTTGATATATTCTTATTAGAAATTTAAGACAACAGAGTAATTTATTAGTATTTTTACATAATAAGCTAGTTTTTTGTGCAAGTTTCTTCTTAAGGTGTTTAAGTTTACGTTATTTAAGATGCTTTCTTAATTTTTAGTTTTTATATGCATTAAATGTTGGCAAGCCAGAAAAAGTTGTCTTATTTTACAGAGTTCAATATCATAAACTGCATTATTGATAGCTTAACATTTTATATTTTTAGCCTGGGGAAATGGAGGGAAAGGGTTAACTGGATTTCTGTGGAGAAGGGGGAAAAAAACATGTCTGAAATAAAAAATTTTAATGAAAGCAAAATTTGTTTTTTAAAGCATAATATTTTAAACTATGTTTTTAAATGTAATGGTAAAAAGCATATTTGAAAGATATATCGGTTTCCTAGCAAAACTTATGGATAAATTTGTTAGTTCACAAGTAATGTAAATATACATTAAGTGTATTATTACAGTTGTCTTGCATCTTGTTATTCAACGATATTAATGTTACTGATATAGGATGCATTTTTTAATACCTATCCAGATACTTTTACAATAGCTGTACGACTTTGAAAAGGTAACCTACCATCAAACATCTTCAGAATTACAGTTGATTCTTTTCTTTGAATTGATAACAATGTTTAGCAATGCTTTGTAGTTTGCCTCTAAATCCTTGGTGTTGCTAATAGGAGAAAATTATCGATATTTATAATAATATCCTAATAATTTATTAAAAATGAGTCTGTTCAGTGGATCAAATGACACATGCAAATGATTTTTCGGGAGGCAGAAGAGAGTTGCATAATCTCTTCATGAAAATTAGTAAAATTTAAGATAATGTTCTCACATTTATTTTCCTATTTCAGTATTCTGCAATGTGCCATTGTCTAACAACTGAAATATATATTCATCATATTGCATAATATTAGTTGACAGCGAACTTGATATTTTAATGTATCATAATGTGCCTTCTGCCTTTCGTTTTATGAGTTCAATAATTTAAGAATTAAGTATTTTGCATATATTCTAATTAAATAAATAATTTTACACGTGGATGTTAAATATGTAAATTTTAAATATCGCTTTGGGGAAACCATTTGATTGCATATGGTGTGAGTTTACTCTATCTAGAAATCTGATCCTTTGTTAATAACAGGCCAGTTTAGTGGCAAACAATCAGCTAAAAGTTGTGTTAAAATACAGTATTAAATTTGTTGTAGGGCATTTGCTGTAGTCTTTAACTTTTATGGCTTTATTAAGTCCTAAAGAAAAACTAATTTAATGTTTTTAACTGAGAAAATTATAGTAGTAACATAACTATAATTCAATTTGTAAAATTTAACCTATGAAAAAACTTCAAGGATGTGTTTTGACGCAATGTTGTTAAATGATGCACAGGATTAAAATGGGCCATGTATCAAACAAATGGAAATTATTGTTAAAAAAGTATATCTGCGGGGAAAGTTCTTTCTTTTATGAGCATATGTTATAAATTGAAAATTTAAATCTTTATTGGAATTATTAATAGAAAGCTCGGATGCATGTAGTTTACTAATTAGCAAGCTATTTTTGTAAAGTTATTTTACCAATCATTTATATTTGAGAGCATGAGAGAATTTGTAATATGAATAAAATAAATTTATATTGATTTTTTAGGGCATTAAGATAAAAAGAAAGCCCTATTTCCTATGAAAGAAGTAAATGAAAATTAGTGTTCTTCAGAAGCAAACTGGGAAAATATTTTTAATTGTCTATATCAGTGCTTCTATGCCCCCCTTTTTTTTAATGCTTGCCATTTGTAGTTCATTCCTATAAATATTATTGTTCTCATCATTGCAAGTTTACAATTAATATAGTTGCTGCTGTTCTAAGTTCGTATATGAAAAGCTCAATAATAGAATGCAGAACCCATTTCTTAATAGAAAGAAGTTGTTATAATAGCAAAGGGAAATAGATGTTGAGTTACAAAATCCGTAAATAAATAAAACTCCTAAGACTTCTCATGAAACCTATTAAATTTGATATCTTGTGTTTGTTTTAAATTGCTGAAGTACCATTTTGTGATCAGCAGTTTTCTTTCATGACTGTAAGTATTCTGGTTTATATATTTTGGAAATACGTGGGAACCATTGATCTAGAAATTTGATTAGTTTTCATAGCTGTTAAAAGTACTCAGTGATTAAAAAACTCAGCTGCTTATTATTTTAATATTTTCTCAGTGATTAACAAACTCAGCTGCTTCTTATTTTAATATTTTCAGGAATCAAATACATACTAATCTATAGAAAAACCACTGTTTACTAAAATCATCCATGCCATTTTTAAAACTCAGCTTGGCAAAAGACTGATTCTTCAGTGCCGGAATATCCTACTTAATACTTTTCAAAGCTTTTCATAGTTTACCTGTAGTGTTTGTTTTTGTACATTCAATATTAGTATCTCTTCCTGCAAATATAGCTTTTAATATTGTCTTTCTTCTTCTTCTTCTTTTTTTTTTTTTTTTCATTGCTTAACAGTCCAGGGTGGGCACTGGCCTTCTTCATGCATCTCTGCTTTTGGCAAATATTTTTGACCGTATGTTAAGGTCATTTTCAAAACAATCGATCCATCTCGCAGGGGATCTGGTTCCGATGGGCTTTGCCAGAAAGATTTTCTTACCACGCTTATCTTCATGCATTCTGACCAAATGACCAGCCTATTTAAGTTTCTAGTTTGAAGAATTTTACTACAGCAGTTTATCTATAGATTTTGTATAGCTTTAAATTGATCTTCTCCACGATCCATTCACATGGACCTCACTAAGTATGCAGTTGCCGAATCCTTCTTGCAGAAATCCTCAAAGCTTCCTCGTCATGTAAACTCAGTACCCAAGCTTTCAGTACATAAGAGGACCTCCAGATTCATCTCGCAGGAGAATTACCTTTAGTCCAAGCCATTATAAAAGCTCTCAATTCCAGAAATGATGTTCAGAAACTGATGAAAAACTGAATTTTTTAAAATGCAAGCACTTCGAAGGAGAACTAAGTCAATGTCTCTGCTAGTGGCCAGCCATGCATATTATAGCCATTACAGGGGGTTAACCTCTTAAAATTAGTAGTTACAAACTATTATGTAACATTTGGCTTTTATGGAGCAGAAGCTTCGTAAAATTGCAAACTAAAATGATTCAGACATCAGTTAAGTTATGAAGATTCATTTTTTGAATATGTATCAGTTCACAAAATTATTGAGACACTCGTGTGCTTTGCCATAACTGAATAATCCATTAATCCATTATTGAGACAACAACTGTAAAAACTGACTATGAAAGTGTTAGAAGAATTGCAGAAACTCAGCGAAAGTTATACAGAAGAAAAAATTATGACATGAATGATCTGTCAAATCTAGAAAGCACAGCAGATTCTAAGATAAAGCTTGAATTGAAAAGTACTGATACAAAAAAGCTTGTACTGAGTAGTAGCAGGTAGCACATCTGACTCTGTATAACGATTAGTACATTTGTGAGGTTGTGTAATACTTGCTGCATTTTAAACTCAAAACATATTTATTACAATTACAAGAAGCTATTTACAAATATATATATAATTTGTAAGTATCATAGAACAGTTATTGAAGTGAAGTGTAGTCTTTGTGACGTGAGAGTCATGATAACAAGGGTTTCTCTGTTAAGAGTTTGGGAGCATTCCGACGTGTTATTCTGATGGAAAAAAATTTTCAAACTGAATTATTAGCCATGCCTCCTTAATTTTGCAGTGGTATTTTACATCCACTGATTTGTTGGAACGATATCGGAGGAAAACCAAGATCATTGGCATGAAGTTATCCCTCTTGTACTGAAGACTGGAATTAATTATTGCATCTGCGATGTCGGAACCATGTCGTGTTACACACACACAGTAAAAGCTTGGAAACAGAGACTAACGGGGACTGCACACACAGTTTTCTCATCTCCATGTGGTCCGCTGCAAGCTATAAGCAATTTTATGAAATTAAGAATACAGTTGAAAAACTGTTGTTAAATAATATGAAACAGACGTAGAATAGTTGTTTGTAAGAGATGTAGCTGTATCAAAAATATGTTAAATAGTAAAATGATTATAAAAATATTTTACAAAAATTAATATATTTATATAGAAAATCTGAAAACTTCCAGCTTTTATATTATGCCCAAAATGGTGTTTCTTAACATTTTGTGTGTTACCTTTATTTATTAAATATCATGTCCTTCGTACTTAAACCATAAAATTCAGCTCAACAGCGGTATCGCAAAATAATTAAAAAAGAGTATATCTTTAGAATTTCTGATAGTCTCGTGCACAGGTGAAAAAAAAAAAATTTCTCCCCCGTACATTGTTGCCATTTCTCGCTTTGAAATCGTTGAGTTTGTTAATAAAAAATTCTTTAGGTTTAAAAAATGTGAAATAGATTATAAAACATTCAAAATTTGGTTTTTCAAGTGTCCATGTTTGATTAGAGGACTACATTTTTCAAAACTTGATGGCTTCAGGTACCCTCTTTTTTTTTTTCCCCTCCACAATGCAAGAAACATCCATGAAGATTCGTTATTTGATTTCTTTAAATGTAATACATGGCGATAATATTTGGTGGCAGCAGTTTGAAAAGTGAAGCAATGCAAAATGCTGTTTTGAGATTGATCATCCATTGGGTCTTAATGCCCCTTTAGGCTAAAAGAGAATTAAATAAGTAGCATAAATAGTTTAATTTTTTGTTACTATTTTAGGATTAATTATTGGTTTAGCTACTTTACTTAAGTTAAAAAATGCAATATCCAAATCGCCCTGCATTAAATTCAGCCGCTTAACTCAGATATGTTTGGAACGGATTAATAAGTGGCAGGGTACATTCATAAAAATTGATGTTATTTTAACCCTCTCAGCGTTATGGCAAGAAAATTCCGTACAGAAGGCTGCCTTCCACATTCATTATACATGAAAATTTCTGCTAGCTTTTGATGTATCCGATTTCAGTGTGGATGTATATTGGAAGAAAAGGAATCAAGATACTAAAAAGTCATTTTTTAATTAAAATCAAGAAAATATCACTTATTCATTACATTTTGAGGAACTTTAAAATTTCAGGGCTAAACCCGTAACTCTCAGAGGGTTAAGAGTTTGGTAATAACATAATGTGGATGATTTCATGTGCCAAGCAAAATTATTTTTGAAAGAATTTTCTTGTATAAATGTTGGGCAAAACTGTCAGTATTTGTAATAAGCAAATCTGAAAATCTCATCAAGGACTTATACAGTGGCTACTTTTAGAGGAAGTACCAGTTATTTATGCAAAATTCATGTGTCAGTGTTTGCTATTAAGGCCTGAATTTGCTAGTGTCCTTTTAATCTGAAGATTTTAGAAAATATGTAAACAATTTAAATTTTTGTATTTTAATGTAAATAAATATGTTTTGTTCCTTTTTACTTTCTTGCACGAAGTAAAGGAAGTATTGTAAACGCAAAACAATTCAGGTATTGTTTTTCAACGAAAATATCCATTTTCACCGTTCTCAGTTCCATTTGAACAATGTTTTTGCATTTTATCTGTACCTATGGGCAGAATAAAGGACTCTATTTCCCCAAATGGATTGTGAAAATCATTTAAAAATGGATTCGGATATATATATACCCACTCTGTTACCTAGCTTGCTAAGTTCTTTTATTCTTATATGTTGGTAAATTGTCCATTTTTTGCTTTGAAAGCGATTGAAATGTTCTAGTTAAGGTTTTTATGCCTTTAGTTAATCTGCATGCAATAGTTGTGGAATTATCAATAATTTAAAAGTTGTGCAAGTTCCACTAAGCCTAAGGACATGTTCATTTGTTTACATTTGAAACTTGGTAGCATAGTGAATTAAGTAAGTTTCTGCACCAACTTCAGTGTCTTTTTGCCGAGTGGGGCCAAAAGTTTTGTGCACCGAAAAATCTTGTCTTTCTGCCTAATTTTAATTAATTTAAACCTCTTAATTTTATTTGTAATTTTTGTAAACTCTATTTGGTGTTTTATGTTTTTCTGTATTTTATTGTTTTTAATGAAGATGTTTTGAGTTTTTATGTAATTTTTCCTTGCCATGAAGTGAGAACTTTACTGATTGAATAAGAAATATATCTAATGAAATTCAGGGAAATAAGTTTAATGAAATGTGCATAATTTAATAGGCTGTACAAGGAAGTCATATGGTGTCCACATTTAAATTTTAGCATATAAAATGACTTGAATTTTATCGTGTTAATAAAAAAATAAAACTGACATGATGTTAGACATTTTATGCATTTTAGGCAAAGAGACTTTTTATATGTTTGTCCATTTCAGTCTTGTAGTATCATGAATTTTGTTAACATGTGAAAATATGTAACAATTTTACTTTTAATAGTTTGTTTAGATATTAGAATTTGTAGTAATGTTAACTTTAAAATTTGCTTTTGAGAAATGCCATGCCTGTCATAAATGGTAAAAGAAAAATTTTTTATGACTAGTTATGATATAAAACATAGTACTTCAAGTGACTCATTTTAATTAATAATTATAAAATGTGATAAAATATCTTAAAAAATTTGCAGTAATTCTACATATTTAATTTGTAAATTAAAACCCGTAGATATTTTTTGCCTTTCATGCATACATAATACATTAAAAATTTTTTGAACTAATTTTTGTTAACATAGGGTTATGTTGATGCTATATAATTAATATTGTATCAGTTTTTATAATATTATTTATTAAATTCTTTTTCTCTTTTTCAGAATTCGTTACCATGATGACGTCAAAATGATTCTAGCATCACAATTCCTGTAAATTAATTTTGTTTTCTTGCTTTCCAATTTATGTATTTGTCCGGCTAGTTTGACAATTCTTCTGTTGTGGTGTTACCTCTGTAAAGACACTTTTGTACCATATTCCATCAGTGCATATTGGCATTGGTGTTAAATATCATGTCGATGTGTTGTGTTAGACCTGTCCTGTGCTTTTGTACATTTCCAACTTCCATTAAAGGTTAGACTCCAAACTGTGTTTTTTAATTTACAAAGCATACATTTTTAGTGAGTGAAGTTCATGAAAAGACAGCTTTTACATTTTAATATTATGTACAAATTTGCATATCTAGTTATTTTTTAGTGGGAAAAAATTGAGACTTTTGTTTGTATAATCAGAACTTTAAAGTTGCCTATTGAGTAACAAATGACATTTATGAAATTCTCAAATCATGAATTGCACAATTATTTTCACATGAGGGCACAGTACATAAGTTTTATATAACGTTTATAAAATGTATGTTTGCTTACAGCAAAGCAGCAAACGTTTTGAGAATAGTGCCTAACCATGATTTCAAGAATTTGATGCCATAGTGTATTGATTTAGTTGTCTGTCAAAAATTAAAACTAATTTCCATGTATGCCAGTTTGTCATAATTAGTGTTGATTTCATAGGCAAAAATAATACAACAGAATGCAGGAAAAGAACTTTGTGACACATTTGGCCCTCTCTGTGAGAAATTATGAAAAGTGTGTTTAAGAATTCAGCAAAATATTTTTACAATGTATGAGATCAACACAATCTGTTTAATTTCAAAGGCTAGAGCAATTATGATTGGCCAAATGTGTGATTTTTCAGATGCATTGAGTTTGAATTGTGTAAATTATTAATCCTTTGATTAATAACTTACTTAATTTTGATACTTGGGTATTTAATATAATGTCTATGGTATTTTACACTTGAAAGGGTGAAAGCTATGTTCAGTTTGTTGGTAATGCATTTTTGAACAATTCCCATATATTTTTCAAATAAATATTTTATATGGACTGGATCCACCTTGAACTAAGTGAATATAACTGCTGAACACTGATAATTTGTCTGGGGATTCAGAAAAACAGGTTGGCTGCATAGGCTTTTGGAGTTTTTCATGTTGTATAATAAAAACCAATTTTCTATTGAAAATCTCCCTTAGTCAACAAGATCTAGTGTGCTTTGCCATAATTAGATTACTATATTGAAAAACCGATGTATCCCTTCCGGCCCTCTCCCACTGTAACAGTTGATACTGAAAAATTGCATTAAAATTAAAAGTATATATGGAATGGTATTCCTTTCTGAAACAGTTTTTTTTTTTTTTTTTTTTTTTTTTTTTTTTTTTTCATATGTACAGATTTGCTATGTTCATAAATAAGAATAAAATAATCAAGCAGATGAAGACCATCAGTCTCAGCAGAGGGATAGATATCTTAATGAAGAATTTTCTAAAGGAAACTGGTTATCATTTATATTAAAGGAAAAGTACCATCCTGCCTCCATTCATCTGCTAGGAGCTGAAACCAGAAAAAGCTAACAATATGTCACATGCTACATCAGTTTGCATAACATTTGCATATAGATAGCACAATTCTTATGTATATTTTCTGATTCTCAGCTCAGTAACTTATTCTGCTAGGAGCTGAAACCAGAAAAAGCTAACAATATGTCACATGCTACATCAGTTTGCATAACATTTGCATATAGATAGCACAATTCTTATGTATATTTTCTGATTCTCAGCTCAGTAACTTATTCTGTGTAGTTTAAAGTTTTTGTTTTTTTAATTGTGTATATTTGGTTTGTATTTTTAGAATTTCTGGTTTTTCTAGAATACTTTAAAATTTTTTGTAATATAGATTTTAGTTTTAAGAGTATGCTTAGCATGTTTTTTCTGGTTAGTTTCGTCTGAGCTGCAATTTAGCAGAAGCGGTTTTTCAGGTTTAAAAAAATCTTGCATATTATCCTCAAACACTTCAGCTATTTTGGTTGCACAAGCACCCATCATATGAGTCCCAACAATATGCCCACGTTCAAATTCATGTAGTGCGAACATTATGCACTCACAACTGCACTGAACACTGTCTCGATAACGAATGACACTTGTAATATGTTAAGAATATTATAGAGAAGGCATTAATGAGTAAACATCAGTGCTACCAACAGCTTCTGTAAGAATAAATATTTCAGTTCAGACAAGCATTTTACGTGGTTTTTCTATATTTTTGTTCATCCCCTTTATTTTGTAAATATATTTTTTAAGTTCTGTTTATCAAAAATCATTTAATGTGAATAAGTGTATATTTTATAATTCTTATTAAGTAGGAATAAAATTAAAATGAACTTCATTTTACTTTAATTTGGCTAATTCATTACATCTATATAATAATTTTTTAGTATGAATTTTAATCGAACTTTAACAGACATCTTCTGCCTAAACTTCCTTGTACGAAGTAAAAAAGGAAGTATTGTAATCGTGAAAAGTTTCAGGCAGCATGTTTCAACGAAAATATCCTTTTTGACTGCTATCGAATGCAATTTAACGATGCTTTTGCATGATATCTGTACGTAAGGACAGAATAAAATACTCTTCTCCTTCAAAAAAATTATAAAACTGCTTTAAAATGAATTCTTAAGAGAATTTTTTGTGGCGTCTGTACGAACATACGTACGTTACGTATCTCCCATAACTTGAAAACGAGTAGCCTCATGTCGAAATTTTCTATATAGGTCTGCTATAACATGTAGATGTGCACCTTGTACTTTGGTTGCAATTGGCCACACCAAATGTATATAAATATATATATATATATATATCCACTCTGTTACCCGGCTCAGTGATGTCAGTACTTTAATATGTTTGTAAATTGTACATTTTTTGCTTTAAAAATGATTTAATTATGTTCTTATCTTCCGGTTAAGGTTTTTATGCCTTTAGTAAATCTGTATGCAATATTTTTAGAATTATCAACAATTTTAAAGTTGTTTAAGTGCTGCTAAGCCTAATGATTTTTTTGATGGCGGCCATTGCTTGTTTACATTGGCAACAAATCCACTATTAAAGTAGGAATAGTATGGCATGTGAATAGCATTCATATGCCTTCCAGCCACATACATGCACTTTAAGGAAGAAGTGTGAACAATCGTAAGAAGACGAGAGAACTGTTTATACTGCAGGTGAATAAAACTAGCAAGTCATAAATGATAAATGGTTTCTAGACCAATGCTTTATAAAAGAAAAAGTCGAATTCGCTTGTCCAATGTTCAGTTTAAAACAAAAAGGTGAAAAATTGGCTCATCTAGTGTTCAATTTGTTCTAATTTTGATACAGTGCATATAATATCAAACATCTGTCACTATTTGATTTATGTAAATTATAAAGACAAAAAATTCACTTGTGACAATTGATGTTTCTGTTCAAAATTTTATAATTAAAAGATTTGTAACAGTGTTTCAATTCAGCATAATTGAAATATAAGTAATTACGGTGGAAAATTTAAGGCACTAAGCTAATAGTTTTATATATTAGATCCAACAATAATTGATTAAAGAAAAAGGAATAAATGCTGATTCTAGACGTAACCAGGATAGGAGTAATTATTGTATTAAAATTTGTTTCTACATGAGTGACTGAGTGTTTAAGCGCACTGAATATTGGGAGTTCAAACTTGTGTGACTGTATGGTTGGCTTTTGTGATTTTTCCCATGTGTAACATGAATACAAGGCAGTTTCCCTTAAAAAGTCCTCTAGGACAACATCTCTACTCTTAGATGGATAGCACTTGTGAGATTTGCTGTATTCAAACAATTTAACCTAATATTTGTTAGGTTAAATTATTTGAATAAGGCAAGTGTGAAGAAGGTAAATTATTTAAATGGCTATGGGCATTTAAAAATTTTTACATATTTTTTCAGTATTTTAAATTTCTATCATTAAAATGCCAGTGGATTATTATTTTTCATTTTAACATTTTTTGAGGCCATAAGTTCAATACTTTTCATACTGCTTATAGTAGCTTTTGCATAAAAAGAGACTTAATGTGTAAAGGTTCTTTATTATAAATTTTTATGTGTAATATGAATATTGATGTGTAGAATGCTGAATTAAATCATATCTATATATGAAACTTTTATTTTGGTTTTACTATGGATAAATTGAAGAATAAACGCCTTTCTGTAAATAATAATATCCATTAAAATGATTTATAAAGAAATGCAGCCTCTTGGAACAACTACTCTGAAAATGAGGAGCATCTCTAGAACATCTAAGTATTGATGCTGATAATTTTAATACTTGATTCTTGTCCTTTTTAAATTCTTGAAGAGAGAGCCACCTTTTTTAAAAACAAAAAGGTGGTTAGTGAAAAACCTTCAAAACTATCAAGAACATTAAATAAGACAACATATAAATTTTTATAATGATCTATAATACATTGATTATGTAAGACTGTTAGAATTAATTTCTTATAGGAAGATGCTTTTTACCATAGTGTCTGTAATTTACAACATGCAGAGCAATTTTCAATGCTATACAGTTTCAGTAGTCAGAAAATGTATGCTGGTTGTCCATTATTATGCACATGTTGATTGATTTTATTGTAATTATTGTGTAAACTGTATGGCATGTTTTGAAACTTTAATTTTCCAATCGTATCAGTGGAGAATGTTTACATTGCAAGCTTCTATCGACAACTAAATAATCAGATGATAGGATTTTTGGCAATTGAATAAAGCTTAAAAAGTTATGCTTAATTGAAATAAAACTTTTAAGATGAAATTTTAGTGTACATTTCTTTAAACTCTATTATAAACTTGTAAGATTTTGTAAAAATCTATACTTTTAATACCATGAAATTAACTTCTTAGGCGGAAAAACTTTTATGTGCACATTTTGCAGATTTAAAAATTTTGAATTATATGAGAACTTCTTATTTGGGTTTCATCATACAGATTAAATAAAGAGCAATAAATATTTATGAAGAATTCTTCTTAGGAATTCTTAACGAATTCTTTGCAAAAACCTTTATGTGCACATTTTTCAGATTTAAAAGTTTGGAATTAATGGGAACTTCTTATCTGGGTTTCATTGTACAGATTAAAGAGCAATAAATATTTATGAAGATAATATTCAAAATATCCTAATTTAATTATCACAATTTTAATACCATAAACAAACCAAATTTTCACTAAAAAATGCGTGCGTTTGCATGATGAAAATGTATCGCTCATTTATCACAATACAGGTTTAAAATCGGACATCAACTGCAATTACCATTGATTCTCCATAATTTTTATAGTTTTGGTTTATTTAATTATAGCAAGCACACTAGGGATATCAGCCTAAGTGGAGTGATGCCTTCGTGGAGGACTTTCTAAGGGGAACTGGCTCATATACACGTTACATATGGGGAAAACCACGAAAATGCCCGTTTGCGGGATTCGAATCTCGGACCGAACTACCATTGTTCAGCGACTTTACCGCTCGGCCGCTCATAATTTTTATAGAAAGTATTCAAAAGCTACAGAAAATGCCAAAAAAATTACAAATTTTACTGAAAGGAAATTGTGCACAAAATATTCCTCCATTGAGTGGAGAAATGCTTGTGATATTTATATTGATAGTATTGCTGGTTTTGAAAACAAAATTTTGCGCAAAATATTCCTTCATTGACTGGAGAAAGTCTTGTGATATTTATATTGATAGTATTGCTGGTTTTGAAAACAATCTTAGATCAGCAATCTCCTATCCTTATTTGTACAATCAAACATTCTGCACTGAAGGGGTTTTCTCCTGCTGATCTTGTTCAGTTGTATCGCAGTGAAAAAAAGGTAGTATGTGCATCTTGCTAGTTGGGATTAAACTGGAAGTTTTTTAAAGCTTGTGAATTATGTTGCTTCAGAATAAGAGGCCAAAATTATTAAGCAAAAAATTTAAAGACTTATATTCTACAGAATTTTTGCACATTACAGCATCTAAATTTTCTTTAAACAATGCACTAGCAAGAAAGACTTCTTCATTTGTGCATAGCATAAAAGGTCATTCTAAATGGCATGTATCTTCTGAAATGTATAAAGAAATTAGTGCTATAAAAGCCGAAAAAATATTAAATTTCTTCATAAAAGAGGATGAAGTGGATATTATGAAAGCTGAAAGCTATTTAAATAAATTTTTATTCAGTTTCAGCCCATTCGAAACAGCTTTTAAATATACACTGTCATCAAAATGACAGATAATAATAAAAGGATAATGACAGAAATAAAATGTTAACTAATAAAAAAATAATAGAAATTTGTACAAAAGCATTAGTTAACATAAATTAGAGTGTTTGGCAGTTGATTATTTGTAAAATATTGAAATTAAAACTAAATTAATGGAAAACTTAAGAAATCACCTGTTTTTTTTTTAATATGGTGTATGGTCATCTCAGGCAGATACGTATACCTCACATACTGATTTCGTAGACTTTACTTAAGTGTTAATCTTGTGGAACTGCACTTTTCAGTCCCTGGAAGGTCCAGGAAAGAATTTGGCGAGCTGAAATAAAGTGCCCTAAGCCATCTCACACATGCTTAATCGGATGAGAAAGGTGGGCTATTCATTCAAGTGGATATCTTCTGTTTGGAAATATTCTGGCACCACATACGCTCAATGAGGCCAAGCATTTTCATCAATTAGCAAAACCTCTGGGCCCAACAGCATCCCTAAACAGTCTAACTTAGGATTCCAAGTTAGTCACCAAGTTCAAATACCTCGTCCAAATATCTCTGAGTGGGTTCAGAACATCCTTGAAAGATATGCAGCTTGGTGCAGCCATTTTTCATGATTCCTCCCTAAACCATTAAACTGCAGCCACGAAACAGAATATTCCATGGACAAGGGAAGGAAAGTTGCGTGTTCCTTCCTCTTTCCAGATCCAAACATATCTAGAATCACTCTTCAAACTATAACTGGACTCATCAGTAAACAATATTCGGGTCCAGTCGTCTTGGCTGCACTGAACATAATGATGGCACCAGTTTACAAACAGGCCCCTCTGGAAACTGGAGTGAATGAGACACAAATCATTGGTTTTCTCGCATACAGTCCAATCTTGTTAAGCTATTCTTCAGCAGTAGAATGGCCAAGTAAAGATTTTGGCAACTCTAGGTCTAAAACCAAATCTCTTGTAGTCGTTTCGCAGTTTCTTCAAACTGACAACATAGAAAACGATCTTCTGATGCAGTTGTTGTTTTTGGTCGGCTTTGACCAGGCTGTGTGTTTGATCTTCCCGATTCTACCAATTATTTGCCATTTTTGACCTTCAATTAAATGATGCTTTCGAGCCATAATTACTGAATACTGATTACTCTCAGAAACCACATTCACATTAAGCAACACTACAGACTAGGATTCCAACATGTGTCCATTGCACATCACATTGCCAATCACTGAATTTGTATATTTCCAGTGGTAATCGTATGTGCAAAAGTGCAATTTTTTGTTTAACTGTATTTAATTAATTTAAATAATTACAGCATTGGTTGCAATATTATCTTAGTGAGCATATTTTTTTTTTTTCATTATCCTTTTAATTTTGATGACCAGTGTAATGATTATATATATATATATCCAGATCCATAGCTAAAGTATTCAGGCTCTCGGGGATAACTGAAGGTTTTGAGCTTCTTCCCGTTTGTCAAGAATAGGGAATATTTCATTCTAAACTTCTTAACATCAGTTAGGCACCCCATGGGTACTACGTCTGGAGACAAATGTCTTTACCCTAGCTACACCACTGTGTATATTGAAGTTATCAGATGACGATAATATAATATAAAGTATTTTATTACCACAGCAAATTCTTTTTAGAATCTAATGCAGAGAGTCTGCAGTGGTTGTAGTAGAAAAGATATACAAAATGTATTAAGAAAAAAATGATATTTGCAACAAAAATTAGTACAATAAATATAAACCAATTTATATAATAAATGCAAATTTGCATTTTATTGCAAACATAATTTTTGTTCCAATAATAGTAATATTTTGTCTTTTTACTTTAGGAAAAAAACACATTTAACAAAAAGCAAAATTTTAAATCTTCAAACCATAAAATTATCATTAAAGAAAATATGATTTTTTCAAATTAAAAACTGAATCAGTTGTCTTCAGAAAGAGAAAGCAATGTGATCTAATCATATTCCTGCAGGTATCAAATATCACACTATCCTAAAATAAATCCACAAATATCACTTTAAAAATATCCTTGGTATTAGTATCTGAGATCTCATATCTTTCTCCTTTTACTATCAATTACATGTTAAGGTTTCCAGACTGACAAATTTTACAAACTGTACATCAATATCACAATACAAAAAGTGTAAGATCCATCCAGTGATTTAGAATTGCAAAACATTGGTAGTTTGCACTATATTCTATTTTCAGTATCTAAATTTACTGGCTACTTGAGGTTTTATTTATTTGCAGCATAAATACAGGGAAGTTTCCCTTAAAATCTTGTCATAAAAGCATCCTTTCACACAAGTTCTAATGCATTTGCCATACTCAAATATAGCAATCAAATTCATACCACTTTAGATGAAAAGTGTCTTTAGAAATGGAATTTATTTTACCACCTTTTTTAAAGCTGTTGAATCTAATTATTTTAATAAAATGAACAGATTCAGAGCATCAAAACTGTACATTTTCAATTCTAAGATATGCATAGGTTGCTACAGCTTGAACAGAGCTGGCAAGAGGGTTACTCTTGTTGCATATCCTGCAATTTCCACGGGCAACGTAGAAGTAGCAAAATTTGTGCAACCTGCTCTTTTCCCATTCATTGTTTCATTTCAGTATTTCTGTGATGTTAATTATTTATTCAGATCTGTTTTAACAGATGGTGTCAGTTGTCCGTATTTCTGCGAAATATACAAGCATTGCACAATCTTTTCAAAGCTCAAAGATAGTTCTGTAGAAAGCTGTAGTTAAACTCTCAATCCCATGAAACCAAATGCTAGACATTTTGCTAACCATATGCCACCCAATCACATCAAAAAAAAGCCTCATAGACAGAGTGCTATTTGTTGCTAAAACAAACTGAAACTAGCCAAAAATTTAACAAAGAAATGCGAATTTGGCGCAAAGATTGCGAGGTAGGATTTTGTCTTGAGCCTTGTTTCAAAGTTTATCATAAAAATTTATTTCTAATAAATGTTTTGTAAGTTATTTTTCATATTTTCATTAGTAAATACATTTTACCTTTGTATTTCATGAAATAAATTATAATTATACCAAGATTAATTTTCAAAATTTTGCTTTTATAGGCTTATTTTTCAGTTTCAATTTTCCGACAGTCTTTATTATGATCAGGTTCTGAATTGGAAAAAAAAAAAAAAAAAAAAAAAAAAAAAAAAAAAAACCCTTTTACAAAAAAATTTTGTATTTAAAATGTATGTTGATTTGAAACATGAAATAAAAATAAGCAATTTTTGAACCTATTTTGAGAAAAAAAATTACACTGCGAGGGTAAGCTTTCTTTTTTGGTGCCAATCTCTGCAGTTCCTAAATATTGCAACCCAGTGCGCATATCTTGAGTTTTAAAAAGTTGCCAATTGTGGTTGCACTAGCCCTGACCTTAAAACAGGCCAATGTGTAGCAGTGTCAAGTTGCTCTGCAATGATAAGAATTCTCTGCAATTATCCGATGCTTTTTTAAGTTATAATAATGAACTGCAATATACATGGGCAGAAGACCATGAAAAAAAGAAATTTAAGTACTTTATTATGGATGTTTGTTATATTTTATATAATTTTCAGTGTTTAATTATGGATGTTTCTTGTATTTTAATTTTATTACTGTTTTATGTGATTTCAGTAAGCTGCCATTATTTACAATGGCTAGTGCTTTTCAAGTGTTATTGTTAGTGAAAAATTAGTCATCAATGACTGATGTCTTTAGACAGGTAATCAAAGAGTTGTTATGCACAGGTCGTCAAAAGTTTGATAACTTTTATTAAGGTAGTTGCACTAATATGCAAGTATAAAAGATTGCTTCTCATATTATCATTCTCATACTATTCAATATCTTCAATATTCTTGTACCTTTCAATAATACCATACCTACAAACAATGAGAAAAAGTTTATAATTACACTAAACTAGTATTACATATATGCTAAAACTCTGCAAAATCATTTTTTAAATCAAATTTTCCTTTCAGTCTTTAGAGGAAAATAAAGTTTTTAAATAAAAGCAAGCAACAGTGTTCTTACATAAATACCCAGATATCTTTATACAAAAGATGACTTTCTTGTATACTGATCAACAGGGAGCAATGTAGTTGCTCATACATATCATGCAATGTCTATAAACATATGCCCTGTACTGTAATATACATTTTTGATTGGCAATGTTATACACATCTATTTCTGCTTTTAACTATTGAAAATAGGTTTCGAGATTCATTCAAAATAGTTCTGTCCCAATTAATTTGACTAAACTGTGTTCTACAGTACTTCCTATTTTTGTTAAAAATGGCATATTACATTATAACTGATGCTGATGTATGTCATCATATGTAGCCACATAAATCTCATAATTTAGTATCACGATGTATTTATTATTTACAATTCACAAAGAATATAATAAGAGAAAAATGTCATAACACCAAACTGTATGGTGCAAATATATTGAGAATATTGGCCAGTCTTAAATTTTATAGATTTGATGTCTTAAGCTAGACCTTCAAGAAATTTAAAGCTACACATTTACAAACCAAATCTGAGAGAATAATTATTAAATGGAAGGGGGAAGACAGCTGTAATTTATTATTGCTGTAATTTTCTAATAATGCAGTATTTTTTTTTTTTTTTTCAATTCCACAGAAATTATTAGCAATACTGGCTGAACTCTTTATACACTATGATACTATAAGAAAAATTTTATGTAATTTTAAATTAAGCAAATTTTAAAACTAGTATTGACTGGAATTGAAATGTAAGTAAAATTAATGCACTAAGCTACGTTTAGTAACTAAGTAGTCATTTAAACTACATTTACAACTTAAATGTATTAACAATGATAAATATTATAGTTTATATTTGGTACTCTTCTGTTATTGGGATCGCATTAAGAAATGTATGTATATGCATATATGTGTATATGTACATAGACATACATGCATACATAAACACATTTATCCATATATACAAGCAAGTATACACACATTTCTGAATCCAGTCCTGATAAAACAGTACTTTCAATTTCAGAGAATACATTTATCACATACAAAAATCCAATTTATACAGTAATTCAGTTAAAATTTCTATTTCTATGCATATATGAAGAATTAATTGCATTAAAAATAAAATCCATTACAGCATAGATTCTCAACATTAGAGGAATATGTTCAAGAGCAGAAACATTTTATGGCTTCAGAAGATTTACTCAACTTGAGATTGCTAAAATCAAATTGTAAAAAAGCATCAGATACATCACCAAACAAAATGGCTGAAAAATTTTAAAGGCTCTAGTGTAGATTTGGATGCCCCTTCGATTAGCGACAATTTTTTGTAAAATTTTGGCGATGAAATCTCATTTCTGGTTACCATGATAGTTTAACTTTGCTTTAGCCTCCTGATTTTTTTAAAAAAATAGATTGATGTGTACATGGTCAAATTTAAAGCAGTGTGCAATGCCTAGTTTGTGCAATTCTGGGATGTTTTTTAAGTGAAAACATATTGATGTGTACATGGACACAGAGTTTATTGAAACTGTGTCTCCCTGGTGCCGATCTTGGCGTCAAAAAACAAGGGGCACCCAATTGTAAACTTTTACCAAATTAAATACAAATGTCGTGTACTATGATGTAACACTGCATATAAGAGCAATAAAGTCAAATAACCTATTGTATCCCTGATGATGTGTGAATATGAATATGTGCATCATGAATTAGTTGACCAACAATAAATTATGTCTAGTCTCTGGCCACATCTGTTAGTGTCATCTTTGTATCTTTCCAGAAAAGCCGCCTCTAATTTGTTACAATGCCACCATCTCCAATCCACCACAGTTATCGTGCAATCATCAAGATATTACGATTATATTACATATATATTTATTACCATAAATCTTTATAACATACCAAAATAATATTTCCAATTTTAGAAATTATTTGGAATGTATTCCCTGAATCAAAGTCTTCACAGGGGATGACAATCTGATTTACGGCGAGAATAAAGCAGTAAAGGTTACGAACAACTGTTATAAACACAGGTGGATTAATTGAAATGCATCTGCAAGGACTCCCCAAATCACAAAATTAATTGTAAACAAGGTAAGGTAAGGGCTGCCAACTTCATAAATCCACTAATTACAACAAAAAATTTTCAAACATTATCCTGTTCCTAATTACATAATAAACACAAATGAATATTACAAAACTTTGCTATAATGACACTTTATGGTAATAATAAATATCATTATTATTTATTAACCATTCATTTAATAGCATTAACTGATACAATCTCAGCTTAGTTATCAACGAGATAAAAGAGAATACTGCAAAGTATGCATACATTAATAACTTGCTAATACGTTGAAAAAATGATAGAGTTCATCTTTATCATAGACTGCTACTTCAGTATTGCAAACAGAACACTGCACAGGATTGTAAATATCAAATTGTGGAGCAGCAGAAGTCAAACTTTTTCGGGATTTCTTTTTTTTGTTCTCGTATTTTAGAGTTTCACTAAAATTAATTCTGCAATTGATTACAAACATAGCTCTATACTGGGTTTTGTAAATATCATGCCTTTGGCAATCAAGGCATAATAACGACAAACATGCTGGACAATTAAGAACTGCATCACTGTTAGGAAGCGGCTTTACTTTCTGATTCGAATTTTTATTTGGTGGATAAATATAAGCACTACGCTTTTCGTTAACCCACTTTTCATCCTCATCGTCTAAGTTAGGATCATAAAACAAATCGTCATTTATTTTTTCTTGCTCAGCAGGTTTAAGATTTTCCGATGACTGTTCTTTAGAGGAAGAACTACTTACTGCATCATTTGACTCGTTAGTTTCGTTTTTCAACTTACTATTTTCGTTAAGTTTTCGCATATGAGCAGTCATAACTTTATCCACTTCAGTTTCAAAATCATCTTCCACTTCGGCAAGTCCACACTCTTTCTTGAGGAAAGTCTGAATTTCATCGTCTGAACTTGATGAATCGTAGTCATCGTCACTGAATTCTTCAACAATATATTCGTCATCCATACCAAATTTTTCGTTACAAATCGAAAGTAAAAACATATAAGTTCTCAAGAATTCGCCATTTCCGTCTGCTCGCCTCACAAATATAAATAGAACTGTTGTTGCCACACCAATGTTTAGAAATATTGTTTAAATTTAACAGCAATGCCCAGTTTTGCTTCGTTGTTGCTCCTAATCTGCATACATAAACAATAAAAACCTCTAAAGAAACCGTATTAACAACTATTGCCCGGGAAAAGGTTTTCTTGTTGTTACTTATAGATTCTTAGTTCTTCAGCATCAGTAACACCAGACATTGACACCAACATTGACATTTTGTTTAGTTTTTTAACCAAGAACACAGAAGAAAAGAGATACTGGACTCTAGTACTTCTTTCTCCCATAACTACTTTGTCCATAAAATTCGCACGTTCTCGAAATTTAAGGGTTCAGATCGCATAAGACATTACAATTGCAATGATACACACCGCAGTAATGCCTTACCCGAGAATCGAACCGGAATGGAAATGGCTAAATAAATGAAAGAAATATGTACTTTGTGTAGTTTTAAGTTTTTGTACGAATACAATAATGCAAATCAACATGCTAACAATGAAATGGAGAAAATTTATTATGCATTTTTTAAACAATTGTAATTGGAAAATTTTCTAAATGTATTCTGTTTATGAAATTTATGCTTGTTTTCTTCATGAGTTTTATAGCTTCAAAAGTACAAATTTGAAATAATAAAGTGATATTTTTTATTCATCACATGCTTATTACATATCATTACAACGCTCATCTACAAGTTTGTCCTTGTCACAGGTCCTTGGTGTGTCCTTCCTTCTCTGCCGGCGGTTGCACACGTGTTTTTCTACAACTCTTGAATAAATAAATAATAGTTACATTTAATTTATTTACACAAAATAAACGGAAACATGGTATGTCTCTTCATTTAGTTTATCATTTTATGATTCAAGGTTTAAGTGTATGAAATTTTTCTCTGGGACTAAAATTTTACTTCATTGCATTTCCTTATTGCTTTGGTTAAATTGTATCACTTCATTATATTCCTGTCATAATTTCTTTTACTGGAAATTGTAGCGTAACTTATAAGTTAAATATCCCGATGTACTTAATATTCAATTCCTTTATATTTTGGTATTTAGTTGTTTGACTTTAAAGGTACATACGCTATTTTGCAAAGGATAAAGTTGTTTAAATGCGTTAACCATGATTCATTCTTCTGACATATTCTGCATACATTCGGTTCTTGTTTTCGCCCCCCCCCCCACATTGCAAAGCCTTTTCCCCAAGTTGACTGCAGAGTAAAATTAGCTTAGAGCATGAGTGTTCAAACTACGGCCCGTTAGAGGATTTTTAAAATTTTGATATAACAATCAATCTATAACTTCATGTACGTTCTTTATAAAAACATAGCATAAACATTATACAACCATTTCTAAATTTACAGTGAGCGAAATACAGTAACACTCGTTGTATTGAAAATTTAGCCCTTGTACTTTTTACAAGAATAAATGAATAAATATTTCATACGTAATCTTTGCCTACTTTCATATCAGTATTAAATATTAATACTTACAAGCTAAAGTTTGCATCTGATCAAAATATAAACAAAATGCACTGATAAATTGTTAAGAATATTTTGCAAATGTTTAAACAGATTTAAAAAATTTATGTTAGATGAAACTGCATGAAAGACTAAAAACCACAGCTCTCAGTAATATCTTTATAGTGGTATATAGAGACCCGAGCTCAGAAACTCCGTCAATCAAAGAACGAAATTGGGGGGGGGGAATTATCCACAGGAGTCTGAACACGACGAATTGGAACCTCCAGGCAAAAATTCTTCTGGCATCATTGGGAGAAGAAACATTTTGTCCCAAACAAAAGAAAGGGGAGAGGCCAAATTCGCCTTACCTGAAACAGAGGTGAATGAAGTGTCACTGCTTAACAAGACGCAGTTGTCTGATCTACAGAAGAAAAGTACGAATTTAAAACCACTTTTTGACTTAGTCGCATTAGACGATCCAAGTAACCCTTTGGGAAATGTTTGCAAAATAGGAATTTCCTTTTCGGTTCGGCACAAACAAGAAACTGTAGATGTGTCAAATGATGTTTCGTACCAACAAGACTCGGTAGGTTTGCAAATGCCTAAAAATTCCATAAGAGAATTGCCCAAGACATTAAGTAGTGTAAATTTACCAGGGAAAGTAGAAGAATCCCCAGTTCATCATTTATCAATGTTAGTGTCTGATACTGAAGGTTCAAAAGGGAATAAATATAGTTACTTCATGAATGATGTAAATTCAACTTGTAATGAAGTAATTTTTTCTGATGTTAATGCCCAAAATGATGTAAATTCAACTTGTAATGAATTAAGTTTTTCTGATGTTAATGCCCAATTAAATGTACATGTTTATTTTGAGGTCAAGTGTAGTAGTTCTGAACCAGATGGTGGGGTTACCATTAAGAGATTATCACAAATTGAAAATTAAATATCTGCAAGGTTTCCCTTTTCAGCCTGGATAGGTATATAATTAATATTAGACTTAAGATTGTATATTACATATTTCATAAAACTGAGTTATATATTGTATGTGAATGATTAAGATTAGTTCTAAGTATTATGTTTATATGTTATTGACTGGCCTCAATATAAGTTCTTGTTGTGTGATCCTTGCTACTTAACCCAACCTTGTGAAAAAAAAATATTAGTGTTAATATTTATTAATTAGTGTTTACTTTTTGAGAACTTGCTGTGGTAAAGGGTACGAGGAATTGGAGTTCTGAAACCCCCACCCCTTGGGGAGAAGAAGGGTTGTGACAACATGCACACCTCTGTCAAACATCTGCTTAATGAGAAGAACTTCCTGTTTTGTCCAGAAGCTAATTGTCAGTTAGAACTTTGAGGAAAGGTGTTGCGGAAATCCCCTGGTGTGGTTTACAGGTATTTCTGACAAGATGTTTAACAAAACGAAAGAGAGGGTTTTTTTGTGTGAGCTTTTTATGCAGTGAAAGACTGAACCAGCGTCACGGCTGCATCCAGCGGCCATTGCTTGTATTATTGCTGTAATGATTGATTATTTTATTTATTAGTAATCAAGAAATTCGTATTAAGTTTTTAAAATAAATATCTAAAAGACAACTTTGTCCAGAATCAAAATGGAAATACTTCTCCCACAGAAGATCATACTTTTTATTACAGGAATAAACATTCTTCTATTATCAGCTTGATGAGCACTGGTGATATCAATTGGATCAACAATGTATTCTTTATGGTCAAGAATGATGTTTTTTAAATTACAGCACATGGTAAAGAATGTTCATTCAGGGAATTTTTCATTAGATTTGGAACTACTCTGATATGTGCCCTCAAGTCGCCAAATTTCCCGCCAAATATTTTTGGCGAGAAACTTTACGCTGCCATATTACTATCTAAATTTTTTGTCTCCATTTTGAACTTGAAGCCTAAAATATCTCCAAAAATACTGTTTTCACACATGCAAAAACTACATTTTGAACACACGATTTAAGCTAAAAATCCGGAACAAAAACAAAAAATTTAGATAGCAAAAACGTAAAGTTTCTAACCAAAAATATTTGACAAGGATCTATGTACACAGCGACATGTTTTAACTTTAAGAAGCATCTACGAATGGCACACTGTAGGCAACGAATGAATCTACGAACACCTCGCTTTAATAAATTAACATAACAACAATAAATTTCAATGAATACCATGTACCCAGCGTTCTGTTTCAACTTTAAAAAACATCTACGAATTGCACAATCTACACTAAAAACAAATCAAGGAAATAAACTAAAATAAATTTCAGACAATTCAAAAAACAACAATAAAAACTTGAACATGCAGAAAACAATGAATTCAATGAAATTCATGCAAAAAACAATGAATATAGCATTCTACAAAATAAAAACAATAAAATAAAATGCACTTACCATAATGAAAGCTTCTTTTAAAAGCAGAAATACTTCTTCCCCCCCCTATCTTCTCAGATACAGAGCATACAAAGTCCAAAATACATTCGTTGATAAAATTTCGCCAATCACACAACGTCTGTGAAGAAAACTTCCACGATTTTGCTATATCACATGCCTTCCTACGATTCAAAATTTCGAAAGTAACAATAAAACTCTTCCTCCAACGTTAACTTAACTGCTACACGAAAACCAAGATCCAAACCTTAAACTCCGCTGACACCCCCACATACTTTATTAGCAACAATGTTACTGCAACCCACACAAGTCTATCAGAAACACCATTTTTCGTCCGAGTTCTCATATCAGCTCCGCATTTCGGACACGTCAAACAACTCCGTTTTAAAAGTCCCGACCCCACAGAAATTCCAAAGATACACTACGATCCCCATAAATACATCCGTGAACAAAAGACTCGTTAACAACTCCAACATCGTACCTTTTTATACTAAATTTACTCTGCACACAATCTAAAATATGCGGCTGAAACCTTCCCACCACGTCTTTCATCGCAACATAGGCCATTTCAAAAACACACGCGACACGAACCAACTAGCAATTATTAAACTACTCCACCAAAAGATTTTTCAACGTCGACATGGTTGCCATACAACACGCAATCGCGCCAAAAACCAGCGCAAAACACATATCGCTACATTTGGTGAAATTAGGGCGTTTATCAGAGTTGTACCTTAGATTTTCTCCAGCTGCAAAATGGTTCATTTAGTATATATCCTAAAGCTTGATTATTTAATTGGTCTGCATATCCCTTGGTTCCATCTTTAATCTAAAAGACAACTTTCACGGGTGTTCAGACATTACAACCTCTGTGTCAGTGCCCCTCTCTTGATCCGCACCCACCTTGCGAAGAAGGCCTTGCATGCCTGCTTCCGCCGGCCCTGTTTAAGTTACGTAATCCACTCCTGCTTATTAAGATTTCATTTTTCATTCATAAGTAATCAACTTTAAATAACAGTGTTTAGTGCTTTGAAAAATATATACACTTTTCAGAAAATTTTTCAGAATTACTTCAAAACTTTCTGAGATTAAGGCTTCATTTCACAAATGTTATTCAAAATCATGTTTTTTTAAATAATTGAAGTATGCATTGTTGAATTTGAATTGTAAGAATAGTTTTTAATTCTGCAGAAGGATCCAATACGTGTTTTGGTAACTGGTGCTGCTGGTCAGATTGCATATTCATTGCTGTATTCTGTGTCGAAAGGAGATGTATTTGGTCATGATCAAGTAAGTTATAGCATTATTTGTGCATGTTTTTATAACTTGTTTTGATATTTAAAAGCTGAAGCAGGATGTAAGTATATTAATGTTTACTAGCATGATTTAATGTAAACAAAAGACAAAAAATTTTTTAACTATAAAAAAGGAGTTACATAATTTGCTATAGCATGCTTGGCTTTTATTGCCTGGAATGAAAGAGTACTTGTATGAAATTATATTCTTGTTTTGTTGTTATATTATGATTTAATTTGTCTGTGCTGTATAAATTTGAGTAAACTCTTCACTTATTCTGCCATCAGTAAAAATGAAGTTATGTTTATGTAACATGAAAGAAAGCTTAATAGAGAGTTTTAATCCACTTAGAGTTAAAATAATTTCATAAATAAGCTTTTCTACACTCTATATTACTTGTTTTCCTTGATTACAAAATGCTAGGCAATTTTTGAATGTTTTTCGGTTTTGGTATAAAAATTTTGAGATACTAAAGCTGCATATAACTATGCAGTAAAAGTGCTCAGCGATATATACAATAAGTTTAGCGTTTGTTATTATGACTTTGTCAGATAACTGTAAAAAAGAGGATATTTTAACCTTGACCAGTAAATTAAGAAAAAAAGTATATATCAGAATTGATAATAGCATACAGCTATTGAAGAAACTGAGGTATATTGTACCTTACAGAAAAGTGTAAAAGCTTTATTGCCAGAAGAGTCATCTGTACAATGTTGTTAAAAAAAAATTCAATTTCCTGTCAAGTTTCTAAAATAAATAAGCTCTGACATTTCAGAATTGTCACGTGTATTGTCAGTGTGTAAGAGGAAGATCTATTTTTGTGTCAACTGTAATTCAAGAAAAAACAAATCAATTACAGTTACCATTTATGGAAAATTAATATGATAGTGGCTGTATAATAAATAACCAAATAAACCAAAGTATAAATAACTAAATAAGCCAAAATATAAATAACCAAAATGGAATTATGAATGTTCTGTTTGCCCAAGAAAAAGGATAGTGCAGCAAATATTTGGGATGGTGTTATTGCATTATCTATGAATGAAAAAATAAAAATATATTATTATTTTATTGTAATTACTACTATTATTTTATTACAATAGATTTACATAGCTAAGTTATTAAAAATAAGTGAGTTTTTAGAAAGTTTTTTTTTTTTTTTTTTTTTTTTTTTTGTAAAGTTTATTTTTTAGACCCCTGACTGCATCTTCTGGTCTGTTAATTATAAAAGAATAAAAATGGCTGGTTTTGTAAACAGCATGGCATTTGATAATTTTACTCTTGAATGCACTTTACATAAAAGAAACCCAAAAAATTTCCTTTGAAGCTTTTCGCCTCTGAGTCTAGTAATTGCAAAAAGTGTTAATACAGAATCTGTGTCGTGAATGGAGTTAGAAAAATGCTGCAGATTAATAGTACTGTACTTTAAATATGTGTGTGTGTATCTTTATGTAAGAATTTCAAATATGTAGATGAAGACACTGGAAACTTTTAACAGCTTACAATATTGGGTAGATGGCTGAGACGACCATAGTGGCTTGAAGGTGGCTGAGTGCAAAAGTATGATGACACATTTATCGCAATTAAGCTTGAAGAATCATTATCTTATTTTTTTTATGTATATCAAATCATTCTTTTTCAGGCAAGATATTTCTTAATTATATATGAATAAATAAGTTGCATTTTGAAGTATGAGGTCATCTTAAGCAAGTAAGGAACAGTAGCATGGATGAAAAAGCGTCTTGCCAGCAGGAGAGCTTATGCGAAAAAGGGAAGAATACTTCATAGTACTTCATAGGAAGAAGGGGGGAGTTGGAAAAGTTTCAGTTCTGAGTTTTGGTTTTCAATGAATTTGATTGGACAAGAGGTATCTGCATTAAAACGTTAGGTAACATAGAAAAATCTGGAACTTGGGAGAAGAGATGAAGTAAAGGGCAGATCACCAAATTTAGAATGCTAATTCCGAGGTCAGCAATTATTTTTCAAAGCAGCCATCATATTTTGTCATATCTCACATATATGTATTTGCAACTTGTATATATTATTATAAGTTGCATATATATATGTGATATTTTGACACTCGTGACGAATCTCGGCATCAAAGTTTTGGCATGGCTTTATGCTGAGTGGTAAGGAGGATATTCAAAGACGAAACAAACTGATTTAGTTTTTAATTGCACATTTTTATTTTACTCCAATTAGCAGGCTATTTTCCTTTTAGATGACACTCTCTAAATTACATATCCATAGTGCTTTAACTAAGAATGATTGAATTTAAACTTTATGCGTCATAACTAATTCTAACAAAGGAAGAAGAAAAGATGGACAGGGCAGCGCAGAGTCTTGTAGCACCAAGATTAGGAAGCAATCTGACTGAAAAAGGGTGCATACTCAGTTATTTATAGTAGCGGTTACATAATAGGCTAGCAAATTCTAGAAGGTACTGGTCTAGGGAAAAGATCCTAAATTGCAGAAAATTAATTAAAAGTTGCGTGTTCACGAAAAGCAAAACCATCGTATTTTTTTATATTTTGCATATATATATTTGTGACTTATTTTTATTAATTCAAGAATTTAAATTCCAAAAATCTTTGAAACAAGAGGAATTGATTTACTAAAATTTATCCAAATGGCTTAAAACTAAATAAAACTAATTACTCTCAAATTGTAATTTACTGTCATGATCTAGAAATAGCTAACTACAATAAAATTCAAATTTTTACAAGACCAGAAAGTTCAATTTTACTACTATTAAGTTAATAAATTGGACTTCTAACATTTTCAAAAAATTAGTAAATGACACTGTTCTTAATCAAATCATAGAATATTCCTTGGTAACTAATTCCTAGGACACATAATCTTTTTTGTTGCACAGTATCGTTGTGTGTGTGTTATAAATCTATACACCTCACAATTTTATACAGACTATATTTTTAGAACCAGGGACAATAGCTAGCAGAGGTTAAGCGACACTTCAACAAGTGAAATAGCATCTTGGTTTCAAAATGCACACTTATCTACTATGGGAGAGTCATGCAATATGTGAACAAGCTTTGTCTTGCTGATAAATGGCACCTGGTGACTTGATAGAATAGGCAATACAACCGGCATTAGAATATTCACATAATTGCAAGCCATCATAGTGCCTTGAAGGAGGACTAGAGATGATCTCGTGTCCAATAAATCACTCCCCACACTGAGACACCTTGTGTAATTGCTGTATGCTGGTTGACAACAAATGACGTATCAGACTGCTGGCCTGCCTGCTTCCACACACGTGTGTGTTTGTCATCAGCACTGAGACTGAATCCGAATTCATCGCTGAAGATCACACGCCTCCAGTCGGTCATACTCCAGCTTGCCTGAGTTTGGGAAAATCCAGTCGACACTGCCCATGATGCGGGGTCAATAGTAGACATCTTAATGGACGTCAGAAGCATATACCAGTATTGACCAGTCAATCTCCGAATAGTTTCCTTGTTACCACTGGATGGCTGGAAAGTGGAAAATGTCATTGAATCGATGCTAGTGATGTTGGTGAAGTGGCTGTTCTTATGATTGCATGATCCTTGCACTCATTTGTGTTCCAGGCACACCCTGACCTTCTGGGATGGTAGACTATCTCTTCCATGATTCATTGTTGCCAACACAGAGCAACTACCATATTGCTTCGACCAAGGTGGCGGCAATGCAATTGTTCGACCAACCTGCATCTCTGAGGACTACTGTATGCCACTTTTCAAAGTCTGACAACTGTTCGTATTGCTGCTGCTTATATCTCAGAGGCATCTCTAGTCACAATACTGTTCCATTCAAGTGGACATATTTTTTTTTAATAGCCCTGTGGCACGAGCAATCATGAGCGTGCTTACGCTTTCTCACTGGCATCAAAATTCAAGTCATTTGCATTTCTCTTATCAGACTACATTCCTGCCTAGTTTCTAATTGTAACTCGATTTATCCTAGATGCATTTTTTTTTTTTTTTTTTTTTTTTTTTTTTTTTTTTTTTTTTTTTTTTGTGACAGAGTGTACTTGAAAATTTTGAGCACAGGATGAAATTTCTTTCTTAGCATTAAATTACCTTCATAAAACACAGAAGGATACCATGAAACTAGTGTGAAAATAACTTTCACACTAGTAAATAATTTTGAAAGGTATGCTAATAACTGTAAGTATTGAATAATGCGTTAACTTGTTTATTCCGGGTTAATTTTTATTCCAATATATGCAAGTTTCATTAGATTAAAATCCGAACTTGTATTTGTGACTGAATTTAGTTCTGCTTATGGAACTTTTTTTTTTATTAATTAAAAAGAAATACAGTAGTAAAAAAAAAAACATTTATTATTTTCTCAACTTTGTTTAAATAATATTTTTTTTTTGTTTCTTAAATTTCAAAGCCTGCATTATTTATAACTGTTTGTGAGTAAAAATTGGAACATATTAAGCTTTTCTTTTATAAATAAAAGCCAATGTTACTTTATATTATGATTTTTATCATTGCTTGTATTGAATTATGTCGGCTTAGTTAAAATATAGTCATATTGCTATTGAATACTGATATAAATTAAAATTGTGTGCCAGTATTGAAATAATATGATTCATGTATTTACCAGTGTGGTTTAAACTAAATTCTATCCTAGTAAATAAAAATAAAAAAAAATAAAAAAAAAAAATGGAGAAAATATTGAAAAAGGATAGTTTAAAACTGAATATATAAATATATATATATATATTATATATATAATACACATGAATGACCTGACATCCACTGTCATGTTTTTTAGCCATTATCTTTACATCTTTTGGATATCGCACCAATGATGGGAGTGTTAGAAGGCGTTGTCATGGAATTAAATGATTGTGCATTTCCTTTATTGAGAGGTATTTATTGCAATTTATATTTTTCTGTGCAGCATACTTTACAAAATTATGGGAACTATTTATTTCTACAGTTTTCTTTTAATAATAAAAAAATAGTCAAATAATTTTGTCAACAAGCAGTTGAGTAAAAAATGAAAAATTTTTTAAAAAATATAGAGTTTCTAAAAAGAAGAAGAAAAAAAAAATAAGTGTTAGTTGAAGTTATCTGGAAGAACTGATTATAATACAACATAATGAAAATAAAATAAAAAGTGATGAAAGTGTAAAATACAAATAAAAGGAGTAAAAATAATTATGTGTTAGGTGTTCTAAGACTTGATTCTTCAGACAGATCACATTCTGTTGTTTCTTGTGCTTATTGATATAATTTAAACTATACAGAAGTACCACCAGCCGCATATAAGGAGATAATTTTTCAAAAGCAGCACATTGCTATTATATTTGCTTCATGTGCTCTCTCATTTCTCCTTTTGTGTTTGATGGCAGCTTTCTTTCAGTGCCTTCTGTTGGCGGATTATAACGAATGCTGGAAGTACAAATTACTTTTCTAATTATTACGTACTTCTGCATTAAAATGGTAATGCACATTATCTGATGTGCCAATTGTGTTTCGAAGCCACACTTTAACCGAGTTTGTGTGTCTTTTGAAATGCCATGTATTCTTCTTTTGATGGAGTTATGTGACAAAGGTCTTGTATTCCTCACAATGATCTCACGTTTATTAGAAAATCCCTCAACTACAAACGGTTTAATTTTAGGTGATTTACTTTCTTTATTCAGATTTAAATGTATAAGTCTTATTAAAATTGGCGTGGACTGTTTCTAGGTCTATAAGGTATTTCTCCCACTTTCCAAATGTCCTTTGTGGTGTAGTGGTTCTGCACGCTGGGCCGGTATTCCAGAGGTCCGTGGTTCGATTCCCAGCGAAGGCGGTTGCATATTTTCATCTTTTCTGCTTTCAATTAACCTAAATGACTCTACAACTGGCACCCAAACTAAAAGGGTTGTGGATGATGATGATTCTCCACACCCAGGATTTGGCAACTAGGTCCCCTAAAATCCTAGTTGCCCTTTAAAAAGGGGAGTATATAAGATATTTCTTCCACTTTCCAAGCATCCTTTGTGGTGTAGTGGTTCTGCACACTGGGCCGGTATTCCAGAGGTCTGTGATTCGATTCCCGGCGAAGGCGGTTGCATATTTTTCATCTCTCTGGCTTCCAATTAACCTAATGTCTCTACAAGTCATATTCAACATTATTTTTCAGCACTGCAATGCTACTACTTCACAACAAACAAATAACACATTTATCTTTAAAATTGATGAAACTCATGGTTCTTCCCAGTCAGTATTAAAATTTTAAGTTCTTTGTCTTTTAGGATTAGAATAACAAAATATATAAAATCAGTGAAGTAAAAGACAAAAGTAGGAGATAAATACACTAAAAATATGAGCATAAAAACCGAGCAATAAATATGAAATGGGATTTAGGGAAATGTCCATTAAATGGGATTCCCCTTTGTAGATTGTATCGTAAAGCTGAGCAAATAATTACTCTGTGTATGGTGCCATCTATAAACAGTGATATACAGTACTGTAGTTTAGGAAGACATTAAAAATATTTTTAATCTCTGTGTATTGGGTATTTTTAGCTTAACACAATTAATTTATTTTAACAATTAATGATATTTTTAATTTTTAACAATTAATCGGGACAAAATGACAAATTGGCTGGGATGGGAGCACTATATCTTCAAACAGGGACAGTCTTGGTCAAACCAGAACTTCTGCTAAGCCCATTTAAAATAATAAATATGCCTATATTTCTCTAATTATTAACTTAACAAACTTTTACGAAGCTTTTTATTGAAAACTTAAATAATTATTTTATCATTGCCACAGAACAGCAGGCACACATAAAACTGTCGAGAGGTGTAATGGTGCCAGCGAGCTTAATGTTGGGGACCATGCTTTTAAAGACTGTTTAAAACTTTTTTGTGGAGGAAAGTATGGGGAAATGTGTGAATTTTATAGAAAGAAACACAATTAATTTGGCAACCCATTATTATATATGCATTGTTTAAATTATTCAAAAGGCCTGCCATATAATCATACTATGAGAATAGAAGGTCAGAAGTGGGTAAATGAGGTAAAAATTTTAACACTTGAATGCAAAACTTTTGGACTTGTAAAACATAACTTTTTTATTTGTATTTAATTCATTGAATACTATACTGAAAATATATTAAAAACATTTTGCTCTTCTAATCGAACGTACTCTTTTATTTAACTCATTTAAAAGAATTTTTAAGACTTCAGTTTTTAAAAATAAATCATATTAGTTTAAAATTTATTTCCAAGGTAATTTAATTTTGCATTAGTTATGACGAGCATTCTTTTGTGGAAAATGTGATAAGAATTGTCTTTCTAATTAATTTTGCATTAAGCTCATTAATTTAAAATTAATACTTTTTAAACCTTTTTTTAAAGAAATTATAGCTACAGCAGATGAAAAAGTAGCTTTTACTGACATTGATGCTGCTTTTCTTGTTGGTGCAATGCCTCGCAGAGAAGGTATGGAACGTAAGGATTTACTCGCAGCAAATGTTAAGATTTTCAAAAGCCAGGGCAAAGCATTAGATCAATATGCAAAGAAAGATGTTAAGGTATGCTTTTTATATGTTATGAAATTTAACTCAAGTAGATATTCAATGCTTTATTTACTGTTTTTAGTTAATATTGTATTTTTATAGTTTCGGAGAAAATATTATTTTTATTATAATCTTATGATATTAAATGAAGTATCTGGTTGTATGTCTTTTAGGTTTTAGTTGTTGGAAATCCTGCGAACACCAATGCTTTAATCTGTAGTAAATATGCACCATCGATCCCCAAAGAAAATTTTACTGCTATGACGAGGCTTGATCAGAATAGAGCTACATCTCAGGTGATTTGCTAAGCATGCAGTTCTATATTTTTTAAAGCTTTAATTTCAGGGAATTATCTTTTTATCCAATGAGCATTGGTAATTATTTATATGAGAAATATATTTAATTAGAAAGGTTGATATCTAATTATTTTAATACTTTTGTTACTAAATTATTTTCATTTAAAGTATATGATGGGAACATAGCTATTTTAATGAGTGCTTTAAAAGTAAATGTCAAAATCTCTGATAATGAGAAAACAGTATAAAAGACGCTTAAATTGAAATTTTTCTTCTAAAAATATAATAAGTATATTTTTATTATCAGTTTTTTGTTTGTATTTGCATACAACCTACATATAAATATAAGATAAAAATATGTAAAGCAAAATTCTAACTTTAATTTTCAGTAGTCCCTCAATCCTCTGTTTTAATTTGGGTAGTCTTAAATATATATATATATATATATATATATATATATATAGTAACTGCTTATATTAAATATTTCTAAATTGCCTCATTTCAAAATTAATCCATGTCGTATGATTGTTGTTTAACACTAGCGACATAGGTACTTGCATAAATGACTTATCCAATATTTTCAATTTGAGAACCTAAAATTTTTATTAGCTAACAGTGATTGATTGTGAACCAAATCATTCTAAACCTAGCTTTTATCTTAGGCACACTGCATTTCTACTGTTGCTCTTATGCCACCTACTTCTCTTTCATCAGTTATATAATCAAATTGTAAAAAGGCAAAAATGTGATTAAAAGTGGGCATGCAAATTACGGCTATTATGATGTGGAAGTTTTATGCATCTCCATGTTAACAAATTTTTAAATCTTTATATATTTATGTGTATGTGCGTGTATATATATAATAGTATATAACAAGATGCTAGCTTAGGTTCCCAATTTAATATCAGGCATGAATGTAAAAATTAACATTAGATGCAGTTTTCAAATGCTTTTGTCTAGTAGTGAGGTAAACATTTTGGTGTACATTAGCTTTGCTGCATGTAATTTTATTAGACATTAGTTGGTTTTTTTTTTTTTTTTTTTTTTAGTATGAATTAGCTTTGCTACATGATTAGTATTAAAATTTATGACTTTGTAAAAGTTTCATGTGCATCGCACATTGTTAAATATACGTTGCATGTTATTAATCGTTTTCTGTGCGAGTTCCAGTGTTGTTATATTCCCCGTTTTTCATTCTTTCTGCTGTTGGTTAAGTAAATTTAATAAATGAAGCATATATTTTTTTTCTTATCAGTATTATAAAATAGGACAAATATATACATGTTTTCTGCAGTGTGTTTTTTAACCTTTTTTTTAAAATGCGAGTTTCAAAAACAAAATAATTTTTATTTACATATTTCCTCTGTTATAAAAGTTAAAAAATAAGGTAGTGAATATTCATCAAGCAAGGAGAGATATTTAAATTGAGGCATGAGTTTTGTTAATATAAAATACATTGTAAGCTAATATGATATTTATGTAGTATAGAAGCTTTATGCACATAAATACAAATATTTTTGAAGTATCTCATCTTGCTTCTTCTTTTTTTTTGGGCGGGAGGGGTAACATTTTGCACTTTGGTTTGGATTTCAGGTATTTTTATTTATTCCCAGGCACTAAACCATTTAGGCATACATTTTATTTTTTAAATTATTCTTTTCATTGTTACTCTGCAGTGTTATGGAGTATTGCAATGTTTCTGCAGTAGATCCCAAGTCATTGTGGAATCACGGGTAATGAGTTTGCTGACACTCTGGTCAAGGCTGGATATGTCCTTCTGGCATTTACTAATCCAAAACTTGTAACTATCTTGGTGGTTCAGTTTGTATGTAATAGGCGATGAAAGGCTCAGTTTTGAACACAACAACAAATAAATTTATTTACATGATTACTGAAATAAAGTGTAGTATTAATTGTGCCGTTAATTATTAGAGCCGGTGACTCCCTTACAATCATGCTTACTCATTAGTTAAGCACATCTACACTAGAGAAACAGGCGGGGTACAGCACCCTCTATAGGCGTTTCTTAACACTCCCCATCTACATAGAGTTTATAATTATACTTTCCAAATTCTATCAATTGGATTTACATCAATAACATTGCAATAAAATAATTAGCATATTTTTACATGTGATCTTCTAAACATACAAAGCTTTCTTGAATAAACTATTAATACAAAGAATAGAGGAATAAATATACTATTAACACATAACAATTAAAAGAACACAATAATGCAAAAAAAAAAAAAAAAAAAAAAAAGTTTCAATCTCATGAATATCATACTGTAAATTTTTAAATTTTAGATTGTCATTGAGCTCTAAATTGTAAATCAGCTGAATTGGCCTTCTTATTAGTCCACTACCAGTTTTGATTGAACATGAGAAAACTTTGCCGTCCCTTCCAGAGAAAGTCTCTATAATTCTACCTAGAGACCACATTTCTTGGGTAGTGTTCTTCAGAGATTAACACTATGTCATTTGGTTTGAATTCAGTTGTCTTTGAAAGTTAAAAAATAAGGTAGTGAATATTCATCAAGCAAGGAGAGATATTTAAATTGAGGCATGAGTTTTGTTAATATAAAATACATTGTAAGCTAATATGATATTTTTGTAGTATAGAAGCTTTATGCACATAAATACAAATATTTTGAAGTATCTTTGCCGTCCCTCCCAGGGGAAAGTCTCTACTAGAGACCACATACTTCTTGGGTAGCATTCTTCAGAGATTAACACTATGTCATTTGGTTTGAATTCAGCTGAACTCTAAATTGTATTGTTGGCAGATATTAGCAGATCTTAAATTTAATAAATAACCCTTTCGACAGCATTTCCAAAAATTATTTAATATATTCTGCTGATGTTTGAATTTTTTCACAATAGATTTTCTCGATCCTGATAAATCATCCTTAGTTATTCTAGTTGGAGGAAGGGATAGCAAACGTCTACCTATTAAAAAATGTGCAGGAGTGAGTGGAAAGGGTTCACTATATAAGTAAGTAATGGGCCTGGACAATTTTTCTAAGACTTGTTTTGATCGTTCTGATCATTCTTTCCCAAAATCTTCCCCACCATGCTCCCCTCTCAATTATATATTTCCAATGAATATTGTGAGAAGAGAAGAAATTCTTTACAGAAGGATCAGAAATGCAAGTCCACAGTTTTTTTAGTTCAGTGTCTGCGCGTTTGAATGATTTTGCGTTGTCACTGTATATAATTGAACACAGTCCTCGTCGCACCATAAATCTTCTAAAGTCTAATAAGAATGCTTCCATAATCATCCAAGGTACCAGTTCTAAATGAATAGTGCGAGTTACTGCACAAGTAAATACTAAAAGTCTGTTTATTGTTGCTGTCTTTAGTGAAAAATGGTCCAACATAGTCCAATCCAGTTGCCGTGAACATTGGTGACTGAAGAATTCGATCTGGAGGAAGTGGAGCTACGTCTTGAACTCCCGGGTGAACACTGTATCTTTTGCAAATCACGCATTTGCTCAACAAGGATTTAATTCGCCGTCTGCCTTTGACAACCCAAAATTTTTCTCACAGGTTCGTCAGAGTTGAGTCCACTCTGGAATGAAATACCATTTCATGCGCGTTGAAAATTAAAATATCGATGTATCAACACTGACGGAAGTATCCATTGATGCTTGGCAGATTCCAGACAGTTTGCAAATTGTATTCTGCCTTTTAACCGTAGAAGTCTCGTCTTCATCGAGCTCAAGATTCAGCGAGTAAATAGTGGAACTGTTGTCAACTGACTTTCCTTGAGATAAACCAAGGATTTTCTTTTCGAAATATTGAAATTGCGTGTTTTTAATCCAGTATTTTTCTGCATTCATTATTTCAGAAGCGGTTAATGGTCCACAAAGTCTTTCGGATCTAGGATTAGAATTGTTGATGAACCTATATATCCACATTGTTATTCGGTATACCTTGTTTAATTTACTAAACTGATTTAAATCGAGCAATGAATTAGAACTTTGCTCAGTGTCCTTGTTTTTAATAGCAGCTTGTAGGACATTATGATTCTAGATATCTCTTCCTCATTTGCTTCCATGCCCGGTCTTTTAGGCCACAAATTTTCAGACTGGAAAAGCCAACTTGGTCCGTTTTGCCACAACGGACTGAAGATGATGGTCTCAGCTCGTTCCCCTCGAGACAATAGATCTGCAGGATTTTCTTTGCTACTGCAATGGTACCACTGTTTAGCTTTGCAAATTGCCTGTATTACTGCTACACGGTTGCCAATGAATGGCTTCCAGACTTTTGGCGATTTCCTTATCCAATGTAGCATTATTTGGGAGTCAATCCAAAAGATAATATTGTTGCTTAACATAGGCAAGACGCATTTTAAATATTTAGCTAAGTGAGCAGTAACAAATAAATTTATTAACATGATTACTGAAATAAAGTGTAGTATTAAATGTGCTGTTAATTATTAGGGCCAGCAACTCTGTTACAAGCATTCTTACTCATTAGTTAAGCACATCTACACTAGAGAAACAGGTGGGGTACAGCACCCTCTATAGGCGTTTCTTAACAGTCCTTCCTCAATCCAGTCCTCCTGTTTGCTATCACAGTGCTAAGAGAATCACTGGAGCCAGATGTGGAGCTCATCTTCGAGAGAAGAATGGGGACTTTGTGAAGGGGAACATTTGGGATTTCCTAATGGAGAATCCCATTCCTTGCAACCTACCTAGACTTGTCAGTGTCACTGACTTTAGATTAAAAACTGGACATGATTACTTCATAAAACACCTACACAGATTTATCTTGCACATTATGTGATATTGATGATATATGCACTGACCATTTTAACACTTGTTCTAAACTTAATGACTTAGCAACAGCAAATGCTGTAAAATTTATTGTACCTTTTTTAATGTTTCTGAATTGTATTGGGCTGCCTGTCACAGACTAATGGCAGTTATGCCTAGATCTGGCACAGGAATTTAAAAACAAATTTTTTCAAAAAATAAATCTACTTTTTTAAAGTGATATTTTTTTCTCAACAGATTGCCAATTTGCTGAAGGTGAATGTAAGTAATGTAGCAAATATTATTATCTGGGGTAACCACTCATCTACTCAGTATCCTGATGTGTCTCAAGCTATAGTTAATATAAATGGAGCAGTATCCAGTGTTCCAGATGCTGTTAAAGATGATGCATATCTTCAAGGGGAATTCATTACAGTAAGTATTCTAATTAATGATTTGTTTTTACATATTTTGACAGATATTATATGAACATTATGTTCATAATGCATGTGACAGAATGTAAAACATTATCCTTTATTATATAAATATTTTTACACTTAAATTTGAATATCTCCAGCATTAACTTCACAGATTTTATTAAATGTTTCATTCATTCAGCATAAATCTACTTAGTTACTTTCTGTGGTATATTGAAGACTTTTTGAATATTTTTGTGCTTTGGAGTTGATTTTTCCAAGGTTGCCACACTACCTGGAAAACCAGAAAAAGTCAGGGAATTCGAAATTGACCAAAAAATTCAGGGAATTTAAATATTTTAGTCAAAATTTGGAAAAGTTGGGGAATTTCATACGATGATTTTCCCCTAAAAAAGCGAGTTTTGCGCCGACGTTGGAAGCGATCACTTTCTCGCCGAATTATGTATCACGCGAGCATCATTCGGCCAGCTTGCATAGAGGCAAATTTTGCAGCTCCAATCAGATTGTCTTTTAAAAAGGCAAAGCAAGTTTCCAGTAGCCTCGAGTATCGAGAGACTGGCATGTGCATATCCAGTGCATGTTGAACTAAGGAAAATGCGTACTCTCGTAAAAAATGAAATCAGTTTAATCCTAGTATAGGGTACTATGGAAGTTAGAATAGCCTCCATCTATTCTATCCTAACCTCCGTGTATCGTATACATGGGATTTGGGGACAATATGATGAGCAGTAATGTGTCATTTTGGTATTGGTGACAGTTTTCAAAATCGTGCCAAGGCCGTAGCGTATACTAGGATTTTATCGCAAAATCTTTTTAACCCCTTTTTTTAAATAAATGCTTTATTTGTCATTTTGCAGTAAAATTTAAAAAAAAAAATAGTAATCAGTACTAATCTCGATCTTTAGTGGAGAAAAGGTACTTTTCCGTTTTGCCGGCGCAGACGATAAAGTCGCCAATAATGGTACAACCGATGCCAAACGGAATATCCTCACTGGTAACCTTTTACTCTTCATTTTCAAAACAATTTGCAGCCGTTTCTTATCAGATTGATTGTTTCTTTCAATACTGGTACACAATTACATAGAATTTTTACCATATAGTTCCATTTTATGCCCTAAGGCCATTCGCTGGTGGTAATTAAGTGAATTAGGGTGCAATCACACCGCTCACCCGATGGCGAAAATATAGAAAAGGAAAGTCAAGGGTTAAATTCATCCATTCTAATGAGAATGCACTGCCGAAGTAAAGCACTGCGGTTTTACATAATTTCTGAGTAAGCTATTCGTACGAATTGAAATAATTCTTGCATTTAAACTTGTATTCCAAATTAAGATTTAACTTGAAATTAATGTAGATAATTACTGAGTGAATTAGATTTTTGTAGCGAAGTTTACGTGAGATGAGATCACTTGGGGTCACGTGATATGAACGGGAAAATCAGAATGTAATACCATGAAAGCATAGTAAATTCTTAAATTAATGTCTTTTTACAAATTTATTGTCTTTATTTATTGGCTTTTTTACAAAATTTTAAATGACATTAAAATTTTTATACCTTCAAAATAAGAAATTCTTAGAACATTTGTTAACATTTTGTTATGTGTATACTGTATGTTGTCGTCAATACAGTCTGCTTGGCGAGATTTGCGCCGGCGAAACAGAAAAGTACCAAAACTAGAATTTAATTATTTTATTATGAGTGTAGTCTATTTCTTTTATTTGTACATTTAGAACATTTATAAATTTTCAAAGCATCTTCATTTAAAAAAAAAGAGCGAAAAAATAATTTTAACATTTTTTACTGCCATGTGTTCCCTTAAATAAGCCCTATTACTTTCAAATGTAAAATTTTTATTAATAAATTTTGTTACATAATTCAATGTTAAAGAAGTAATATAAATATTTTATTGAATTTCTGGTGTGCAGAATACTATTTCTGGTTTCAAAAATAGATAGTCTAGTAATATCAAAATAATTTTAAATCAGGTTTTAAATAAAGTAAACAAATTTTCACCAGAATTTGAAAGGAAGAAGATACTCTTTAACTAATATATCATGAATAAAAAATTGATATTTTGATCAAAACTAGCACTTTAATATGTGTGAATTTCCTAAAGTATTGGATTGTGGCAAGCTTGCAAGGATTATTTGCTTAAGGATGCCTTCGGAACTTTGTAAGGGAGATTGTCTTCATGTTACACATGGAAAAATCCTTGAAAACTTTACAAGAAAATGAAGCTTATAGCCTCATTTAAGCATTTTATATAATCTGATTTTTAATGTTTATTTCAATGCTCATAATTAATTTCTTTTATTGTATGCAAAAAAATTTGTCTCTCCCTTACTGTAGACTGTACAAAAAAGGGGAGCTGCAGTTATTGCTGCTAGGAAGTTATCAAGCGCTATGTCTGCTGCTAAAGCTGCATGTGATCACATGAGAGACTGGTTTTTTGGAACACCAGAGGTACTTCATTTTCAATTTTAAAGTTTATATTTATTTAATAATGAGAATCAAAGGTATTTATGTATATTTAAACTAAAATTAATTTGTATAAAGCTTACTTTTGTATATTTAAATGTTATTACTGAACAGAAATTAGCAAATCACATTATATTGTCATAATTCATTAATTTTAATGGCATTACATAAATGGTGCAATGTTTGAGTAAAGATATCAGAATTCATTTGCATTTAAACTAGTGAAAGAACTTTAAGCAGTATGCACATTTGGAAAGCAAATTTTTCAAGTTAAAATGAGATAAAATATATTAAGTTACAAGCTGAAATTAGGTTACAGCTGAAACATAAGTAAACAAATGCAAAAATAGCTTTTGCAGATGACCTACTGCATTGTCTGCTGGAGCTAGAATGGTTGGTCTGGTTAAGCTTATTGAAGATGTTAAACAACAAGAATCAGCATTTTCTTTTATTGCTTTCTAGAGGATTGCTGTACTCACAATTGATATTGAGATACATGGAATGTTGAAGAAAAGACCTTTGTTGTAATATGGTTTTCAGGCAATCTCAAGTGCTGCTCAAATTTTAAGGCTTTGTTTGTCTCAGGGTTTAGTGATTATTTTGAAAGTGTCCCAGTCATTTATTGAATGTTGATGCTCAGAGAAGTATTTAAAGATGTGGTATTTTATTGAGGAACTGGTTGGCACAGAGAGTTTATAGACATATTTTTACACTCACCTATTCATACTTATAATTTTTCTAGATGTTGAAGAGTGAAAAAATACCTCTTGAGAGCGCTACTAAGAGTGGCTACACATATCTGGCTGAAGAATGCCATGCAAGTACCACTGAGCTGTCCTGGTAGAATTGGCCAATCACTAGAATTCCTTGGTTTGTGGACCTACCTCTATCAAAAAATTGTTACTTTCATATATATACATATACTAGGCTGATTCTAAATTGTTTTTACAAATTAAGAGGGGTGATAGTACTCATCTAGATAAGCAATAATTACTACAGAACATAAGGGCGCATTCCACTCCGGGAGGCAGAAAAGAGGAATATTAGAATTTCAACCTGAACTTAAATAGTGCTGGGAGAATGAATGAACAAGACCAAACGTTGCACAATCTGTTTAGTGAAAAACTCTCAGAGAGTGCACAAAACGGACAAAACCTGAAAACTTGGCTTCCGAGTGTTAATTCTAAGCTCAGACTTTTATGGCAAACACTCAAATGCACATCTTTGGTTGACAAGGTCTCAACCTCGCAAATGATTGCAACAAATTAATTATCTAAATTATTAGGTAGAAAAAACTGCTACCTTGATGTCAAGTATCAATTTAGCTTCCCCCCCCAATAATTTCCCTTTCTCCATCTTCTATCCTGTTCTTCTGGACTTGCTGTGCTGAGCTCATTGCACTTAAAGCATCCTTCTATGGAAAACGAAGTTCTGACAGTTGGAACACAGCATGAACTTTTCATGCTAATCTCGGCATACAGCAGAAGTTGGAGTTAGCTGATAATATCCAGCCCTTGATTAGATAATTAACTTATTGCAATCGTTTGTGATGTTGGAACCTTACCAACCAAAGATGTGCATTTGAGTGTTTGCCATAAAAGTCTGAGCTCGAATTAGCATTCGAAAGCCAAGTTTTCAGGTTTATCTGTTTTGTGTACTCCCTGAGTTTTTCACTAAACTAATTGTGCAGCTTTTGGTCTCATCCATTTGCTCTCCCAGCACTGTTCTAAGTTCAGGTTGAAGTTTCATTGCTCATCTGAATGAGTACCATTAACCCTCTTAATTTGAAAAGACAATTTAGAATCACCCTGTATATCAATTCAAACTGGGCTGGTGATTCAGAAACTGGTACACAAAGTCTGAAGACATAGAAATAAGTAACAATTAATGACCATCGAATTGGTGACATTACAGTAGAAAAAATAGTATTCAAATGACAGTTATGAAGATACAGGGCAATGTAATATAATTTACTATACACAAATACAGAATATTACAAGAAACAAATTAAAAAGCTACCAACCAGAGTATCACAAATATTAGAATGTAACTTGAAAGTACAAAACTTATAACAAACAGATAAAAATTTAGTTTCCATTTACACATGATAAATTTCCGCTAAAAATTTCCTCCTGAATATTAAGTGAAACAAAGATTTTGGGGGAAGGTCGAACCTCTTCCTACCTTGTGATGGTTTTAACCGAACCTACCTTGTGATGGTTTTAAGTATTTAGAATATAGAATATTTAATAAAAATCTTGTTTACTTCATAAAGTCCACAGAAGTTGCAGAGTTGTTGTTCGAGGCATTTCTCTTCATTGTCTTATTCTGCTGATTGCTGGACTGTCAAATGCTATGGATCGATAGTAGTGGTGACCTAGTGTCATGTGCAGTGGCACCAATGCCATCACACCAGATGTGGCAACAGTAAGCTGCTGTAAAGCAAAGGCAAGATTGAGGGATTTGACATGGGAGTTCCTCACACATGCATGGTTGTCATCACTACCCAAATCAAATTCTAATTAGTAACACATCAATCAGTGTGTGTCTGGTCTGACATCTGTATGACAACACTGTTGACAGATCCCTGATTTCTGGATAGTAGCATCTTTCAAATGACATACCATATTTGTCGGCATATAAGACGACACCCTCTTTTTTATACACATTTTGAAGGATTAAACTTTATTATTGAGCATTATAATCTGGGGAAAGAACACCTTTTAATCTTCTTTGTCAAAACCCAGACACTCATCTCCAGAGGTAAGTGAACAGTCACTTGAAACCTTTTCTAAATCAGCATCTGAGTCCTCATACAACATATTGTCCTATGTACAGTGTAGTGCATAACTAATGCCACATTTCTTGAATGATTTAACCTCTGTCTCTGTTTTCGCAGCATCTCATAAAGCTCTGACCCATTCACAAACATGTGAAATGCGAAGTCCAAATAAACTGAGTATCGATGTATTAGATGCACCTCGTTTTTCAGACCCATTTTCAAAGAAAAAAAGGTGCATCGTATACGCTGGCAAATACGGTATGTGAAAATTTCATGACATTTTGGTAGTTTGCAGGTTATAGTGGTTTTAGTGACCCTAGTTTTGTAATTTTTGAAACAATAGATGAAAAAGAATTGTGTGTTGATTAAACATTGTTTTTTGATGGGGGAAAAATACTTTTGAAGCCAAATAGTGGCTTAGTAAGCATTATGGAAATTCTGCACTAGGGAAATCAAATATTATCGACTGGTATGCTGAATTTTAAATGAGGTCGTACGAACACTGTTGATGCTGAACGCTCTGATTACTCATAATCGACAGTTATTCTGGAAAACGTACAAAAAGTCCACAAAATAGTTTTGAAAGACCATAAAGTGAAGTTGCATAACATAGCTGACACCTTAAAGATATCAAAAGTTGGTATGTTTCCAATTTTACACGAAAATATGAGCATGCTTAAGTTGCTTTTGAAGTGAGTGCCGCATTTGTTCACACTTAACCAAAAACAACACTACATCAATGATTCAGAGCTCTGTTTGGAGCTGTTGAAGCAAGGCAAAAAAAATTTCTTGCATTGGTATGTGACAATGAATGAAAAATTAATCCACTTCTACACACCTGAATCAGAAAGATCATCAGCTGAGTGGGTAACAGCCGTAAAAGTCGTTCAAAGCGACCCAAAACTCAAAAATCACCTGACAAAGTTATGGCTTCCATATTTAGGGACAAGCATGGTATTTTGTTCATAAACTAGCCTGAGAAAAATAAAACTATCAATAGTGAATATTACATGGTATTACTGGATTGATTGAGTTTAGAAATCAAGAAAAAATGGCCTTACATGCAAAAGAAAAAAGTGCAGTTTCACCAAGACAGTGCCCTGTGTCACAAGTCGATTAAAACAATGGTTAAATTGAATGAATTACCCTTCAAATTGTTTCCCCACACACCATAATCTCCAGATTTGGCACCCAGAGACTGCTGGCATTTTGCAGACATCACAGAGATGCTCCAGAAAAATAAATTATGCTCAAATGAAGGATTGTCGAAACTGAGTCCTATTTTGAAAGCAAAGACAAATCGTTCTATAAAAAGGCATCGAAAAGTTAGAGGAGTGTTAAAATGAAGCATTACTCTTGAAGGTGAGTATGTTGATGAATAAATTCGAATTTCTAAAAAAAAAAAATTTTTTTTTGCTCTTCTTAGCCTTAGACTTATTGAGTGTAGACCACATGGTTCCACTCAGTTGCAGTTCATTCCAGTTGAGCATGATGGCATTCCAAGTGAAGCAGATGGTAGAAGGGTTTTATTGGCAGCACACATAATGAACACTGTGATACCAAATGTCCTTCAGTAAACAATGATACAGTTGGAGCTGTGTGCTGATGTCGGGTGATGCGATGCTTCTGTCAGTTATTGGTTTGCCGAGGGCACCCTGAACCTGCTATATATATGAATTCTGTCTCTTATCTTTCTGTCCAGCACTTTGTGGCAAAATCTGAATGATTGAGGTGGTGGGATACTTGCTGAGCTGACCGCCCCGCTTCCATCATCCTACTGATTCTTTCCTTTTCATACTCTGACACCTGATCATATATTGTCTCTGATCGCACATAGCGGCATCCCTAGTGAAAAAAAATCTTTCAGCAATAGGTTAAGTACATGCAAAATACCTCTGCATACTTCATTTATGCAGCAGGATAACAAAGTGCAGTGCCTTCTGGTGGCATTACATAAAGTGAAAACCCTCTGTATTTCTTATTTCCATATCTGACATATACTTCCATTACAATCTGATTCCTTCTTGGTACAGACTTATGGCAATGAAAGTATACATTTGAAAGAAACTTGTTATTAATAGTAACTGAAATTTATAAATTGTAGTTACTTGAAACTTGTTAACTATTATTTTTCTAATGCAAAAGTTCAGTTAAAATTTGCTATATTCATAACTGATTGCAAATTGATATATCAAGATATGTAACGGAAAATATTTCTTTCAGGGAAAATTTGTTTCCATGGGAGTGTATTCAGATGGATCGTATGGTGCTCCAAAAGATGTAATATACAGCTTTCCTGTTACAATAGGAGCAGACAGAAAATGGAAGATAGTTCAAGGTTTACAAATAAATGACTTTTCTCAAGAGAAGCTGAAGGTAACAGGAGAGGAGTTGCTGCAAGAGCGTGAAGAGGCTCTTTCAGTTTGTCAAGATTGACTGGTTGCTCCCCCTACAGCCAACTTATAAATTCCCACACCTTTTAGTTCGAAGAACACTTTTTGTAGTTATTCTATAGAATGTTGGTTTTTGAAACTTTAAAAAGTATAATAGTTATTAATATGTTCGTAGAAAATCCAGAATTTCTAATTGAAACTTAACACATTAAGCACATGATTGGAAATTGTGCTGCTTTAGGTAATTTCACAAAACCCTAAAGAATGGCAGAACTTTGCATTTTTACTAGGTCACATTTATAAATGCAAAAAAATTAAAAAAACTTCATTAACCCTGTTTGCATAATACAACGAAAAAGCAATGGTTTCCATTAAAGCTTACTACCTAATATTTAAAAAATTCGTTATATAGTTTTATAAAAAATTAAAGCCTAATGAAATTTTTCATTTCTATAATTTTAAAATTGGCTGTAGGCTGGGATGTATTTTTTAAACAGATGAAATCTTGTTTCGTTATTTCAAAATATTTGCTATATTTTTATACAGTATAATGATGCATTTTTATATATACATTTATGATGTAAAAAGTAATCTTTGGCCATGGTCTTGCTGCTCAGATTGTTTCAAATTTTGTGCATAAATACTTAAAATAATCAAAGAATTTTATTGTTAAATTTGTTAGCCACTTCTTTGTAGCTATATATATATATATGATTGCATATTAAATGAAATTTATAAAATGATATTGTTATCCTGTTTGATGCCTCTGAGGTTTCTAGTTTGATTTAAATTTCAAGCTGACAGTTAATCTTGCATCACTAAGTATTTGTCAGAGCAGAGTATTTCACCTCCTTTCACATATCACAATAGTACTTTCCTAATTACTTTCAGAAATGATGTTCAACGTATTATGAAAGTGTATGCATTATTTAGGATGTTATAATAGAACTAAGGTTATAAGAGAAATTTTTGAGTTTGATACAATGAACCATGACTAAGAAGCAATTCTGTCATATCTAAATTAAATTTAAACCCATTAAAAATAAAATGTGCATTTCAGATGTGGTATTTTGATCTTCTTCAAAAGTCTGCCAGCTTTTTGATTAAATGTGTGTTAAAATAATTTTTTGTATAAATCCACATTTCCATGCTATTTACATTAAATTCAAGTGACAGATATTGAAAATTACAGTGAATACAATGTTACAGGCATCCAAAAAGCGTATCGAAATCGCTGGTAACCGGTGAGGTATTGACTTGACAGGGTGCTGATAGACAACCTAAGGTATCTGATACCAGACACTCGCCAAATGGTCCTGCAATTCTTGCACATTGCTAGGTGGTAACATGGCAGCACAAATGTTTGAATGGATTCATGTCAGGTGAAGAATAGGAAAAGGAGATTTCACATAGGAATGCATGGGATGCCATGTAGCAGGGCTAAATGACTCCAGTTCAATAATGGAAAGAACACATAAAAAGGAAGTAGTAAGGGAAAAAAAACATTTATTATCGTACATGTAACATTTCTTTGCATTCGTTTTACAGACTTAAAAGAGGTGCTCGAACTGCTGACCATGTGCTAGAATGCATGGACAACCGGACATTCTGGAATATGCCTGGCATTTACATGTATATCTGCAAGCTCATTCCACATATACCGGTTCATATTACTTTTGCAAAGTCACCTAGTCTAATGACTACTGGCTGCACACGTCAAACAGCTGTGCTTATGTATGGAAATTATATACACAAAGCATTTTCTACATCACCATGCATTCATCTGCACCCATACTTTCCTATGTGAAATCTTCCTATTCCCTACCTCCCCACTAAATATTGATGATGAATTCTGAATCACCCTGTATATATATATGTGTGTGTATGAATATGTTAATTATCTTGGAATATTTTGTTTTGATAAGAAATAAAGACATCTTACTTATAGAGAACGCAGATTACTTTTTGGATACTTCATGGCAAAGCATTTTAAAGCTAATAAGTTCAGAAATTAATCAAGCAGTTTGATATTCAGAAGTACTTCCAAGTTGTTTAACAAATTTTATTAATGACTGAAATTATACATTAGCTCAAAATAATCCTCTTTTTAGAAAATATATATTGTACAGTTAAGTGCCCACAGGAACTTCTTTTATATCTCTTGGCACAACACCATGCCTTGAGTAACCCATAAATGTTTTTATAATCAATGTTGCTACATTCAGTGTATTTTGAACTTGCTCACTGCTGCCCATCATTGGATTGACTTCCACAACATCCAATACTTGCAATAAACCTAGAAGATGATCAAAACTAATAAATAAGTTTTCATTTTAAAACATTTTTATAGAAAATTTAGTTTCTTATGCATAAAAATACTTTAGTTTTTTAGTTACAAAATATAACATATAGAATTTACACTGCTCGACATTGAAAATGCAACACCAAGAAGGAGTGGTCAGAAATTTATGCAAATTTTAGAGTAGATGCACGTCACTGAGTTTTGTGAATGATGTGAAATGCGCAGCTCTCCAATGCACGTGAAGTAAGATATAAGGGAACGTAAAGAATGGGCAATATTCGTGTTGTTATTTCTGTCTGACGAATTATTGAAGAAAGTTGGTTTTTGTCCCAGAGGATACGTGTAATAGGAGAGAATGCCAGGCCGCCGTCAATGAGGATTTCCAGGTCCCACAAGTCGCTTGTACCGCGATTTTGCAGCATGTGCAAGATACCCTGGATATTCCCGTGTCGACCAGAACCATTTCCTGTCGATTGGTTTAACGTGGCCTGCACTCACGCCGTCCGTTAAGAAGACTGCCATTGACTCCACAGCATAGACGGCAACGTTTAGAATGGTGCCGGACTGGAGCGATGTGGATGACAGAATGGCGAAATGTCGTGTTCTCAGATGAGTCACGCTTCTGTTTATCCAGTGACAGTCGGCACATACGTTGTGGCGTCGACGTGGAGACAGATCTAATCCGACAGTAACTGTGGAACGCCCCACCACACGACAACGTGGCATAATGGTTTGAGGCACTATTGCCTACGATTCCAGGTCACCTCTAGTTCGTATTCAGGACACTATGATGGCCCAACGATACTTGGATAATGCACTATGGCCGGTGGCAATCCCCTACCTTCAGGGGCTGCCTAATACAATTTTTCAGCAGGATAACGCCCGACCACACAGTGCTCGCATCTGCCAACATGCTGTGCAAGGTATACAGATGCTTCCCTAGCCATCGTACTCTCCTGACCTGTCACCTATCAAACATGTGTGGGAGGTGATTGGATGCCGTTTACAGATTCTGCCCCTGCCTCGTTCAGAAGACGACTGTGGCAAATGGTTGAAAGGGAATGGAGAGCCATCCCTCAGGACACCATCCGCACCCTTATTGACTCTATGCCTAGACGTGTTTCTTCGTGCATCGCTGTCTGCGGTGGTCTCCATATCCTACTGAGCCGACGCCGTTCTCGCTCTGCATTCTATCATTTTGAAATAAAGATCACTTAATGCTGCTTGCTGTCTCTGTCTTTTTTCCAAATTTCATCACTTTCTGACCAGTCCTTCTTGGTGTTACATTTTCAATGTCGAGCAGTGTATATAAATCCTTGAATTTAGTTTTTGGTGGGTGTAAGGAGGAGAAAGCCCTACCAGAACGTTGGAATTTGACGACAGGAAGATCATGGCGTATAAGAAATTATGCCTGAAAATCTATTTTAACCATTAGTAAAGGGTAGAAATGTTTGAGTAAACCTTGAAACTTGGATATTGATTTGGAAGTTCTTTCCCTTTATAATTATGGAATTTCTAGAGCCATGATCAAATTATCTGCAGTGGCAGTGCCAAACATGCAATACAAACTCAAAAACTCTAGAGAAAACTGCCAATTAGCGAAAGACAGTAAACCTGTTTGGCAACCCTACAGGCTGACAGAGATAGAAGAGTTTCCTCCGGCAGTCTAGTCTGTGTCTCCACCAGGATAGTTACACTTGAGTGTTGTGCTTTACTGGAATATGTAAACTTTGGCATCCGTGTCGGGACCCGTGCTCTATCTTATGCCATTATTATATATCTAACTATGTTACTTTTCCTAATTAAATCTCAGAACAGCCAAATGAATGAAAAGACATTTCTGGTCTAAGATAATAAAGACAGTCATTTCATTTGTTATTAAAAGTCTAAAAAAGATGCATTTCAGATATAAATGCCTATATATTTTGTAGGTTTTAAATATGTAAAAATAAAACAGCCTAAGCAATTATGAAATCCTGTCAACCATAAAAGTTGGCAGAGATTTGCCAAACTAATGCTAACCATTCCAGCAGAAATTTGAAGCAATATACAGCTGCTTCTTTCACCACTTGCGCTAAAAAGATGTGCCACGCACATCGAGATGCTTTTGTCTCAAATCGCGAGCGACGTGAACACCACGTCGATAGGCATTTATCGCAAAAATGAAAATAATGTGGTGCACACGTCGCCTAACAACGAGATTATTTATTTCTAGAGTTACAGCTCTGGATTGCACTAGCAGACGCGGAGCGGCGTAAATGAGATACTTTACCACTTGTTATATTGTAGCTCACGGCACCGCAACCGTGAAGTTTAGTCGTAGCACATGTGGTTAAATAGGTAATCAACAAATCAATTTAAGAATATAAAAATATTCTTAAATTGATTATACATATATTATTGAAAAGAGTAACGTATAAAAACGTGACTCGCTTATTATAATTCTCACATCACATTGCCACTGTTTACTTGTTTTCAAACAAATCCACATATTGTCCATACTAACATGCCCTTTTTTAGATGCAAGATCCCTTAACCTGAAATACTCGACAGCAGCAATTCTCAGCTCGTGGTATGCAAGATAAAAATAAGTGGTACACAAAAGAAACAAAGTAAACAAAGTATTTCAAAAATTAAATACCCCAACATCCTGTTTAAGTTTTATCTCTAACACTCGTAAGTATAACTCAGTCAATAGTACTTTAACAAAATAATTTTTATTTTCACAAATATTCTTTTAGCTATAGACATAACAAAATTTGTCATAGATGATGTTTCTAAAGGAGTAATAGAAATAGATCTTTTATTTAATAGGAAATAAAGTTCTTGTAAAAGGATAATAGTATCTCATCAATTCCTTTAGAGTTGATCAATTTATTAGCATGTCTACACTTCATGTCGCCACTATTTGCAGGCTCATATTGCTCTATTTTCAATTAGAATCTTTTTTTGTTTTTGCCTCGATTTGCTAACAGCAAGTATTTTGTCTCTTTTTGTTTTGCATTCCTTACTTTTCTATGCAATTTGAAAATATCGTCATTTGTTTTTGAAGAACTCATAACATATTCTGCTTTGAAATACCTGCACTTGGGAAAAAATAATAAAACAAACCTAGATTTTCGAAATAGAGAAATGGCTAGGATTGATTAAGCGGAAAAGTGAAGATTCACATGTGATGGATCCCAGGACAATCTACTAGCATTAAGAATATTGAACAGAAATATTGTTTATAGAAAATATAATGAAAGTTGTATATCATTTGGGTTTACTTGGAATGGAGATGAAACAGATCCTCAACATCAATGTCTTGTTTGTGGTGGACTATTATACAATCAAAGTATGAAAGCATTGTTTCTTAAAAGACATCTTGAATCTAAGCATGCCAATTTAAAGAATAAATCTGAAGAATATTTTAAGAGGATTTATTTCAGAGTTCAAAAATAGTAAACAAGTAATGAAGGGTTTTCTTACTTCAAGTGAAAATGTTTTGGAAGCTAATTACCTAGTAAGCCTAAGAATTGCAAAGACTGAGCAGGCTTTCACTATTGGCGAAAACCTTATATTATCAGCAGCTAAAGATACCACTTTAATATTATTCAATGAAAAAGTGGCTAATGAACTTCATAATATTCAGTTATCAAATGAGACAGTAAGTCAATGAATTCATGAAATAGCAAATTCATAAAAGAGACACTTATTCAAAAAATAAAACACAGTAAATTGCAATAGGATGAAAGAACTGACATAATAAACTTTAAGTATTAGTTTACATACGTTTCGAAGAAAATAAACGAATTGCCGAAGAGTATTTAATTTTGTGAATATCTTCATTATTGAGCAACTAAAAATGAAATTTTTAAAGTAATTGACAATTTTATGTCTGAGAACAATATTCCTTGGAATAAGCGCATTGACGTATCCAGTGACGGAGCTCACACTTTAATAGGAAAAATATTCCAGTGTTATTTCTCAAATGAAGAAAGTCACGCCTGAAACTAAATTTACTCACTGCTTCATTGATCGTGAAGCTTTAGTAGACAAAACAATCTCAAAAACCTGAAAAATGGTTTTGAATCAAGCTGTGAAAATTGTTAATTTTATTAGAAGCTGAGCTTTAAATTAAAGAATATTTATGATTTTATGTCAAGAGATGGGCAGTGAACATGAAACACTTTTGTTGCATTCTGAAGTGTAAGGTGGTTATCCAGAGGCAAAGTTTTAAATCGTCTTTTTGAACTTTGATCAGAAATTCAAATTTATCTCTGTGATTCAAAATTTGAATTGCAAAAATGTTTATTTAGTGAATTATGATTGGCACGTTTAACATATTTAGCTGATGCTTTTGGAAAGTTAAATGAATTAAATTTAGGATTACAGAGTGTTAATTTGCTTAACATCAGATAAAATAAATGCAATGATTAAAAAAAATCTTGAGCTAATAATCAAAGAGTTGGATAATAATATTTTAGCTTTCTATAAAATTTGGAGTTTCCTAACCGAAAATAAAAGAAAGTGTTATAAGTGGAATTTTGAGTAGTAGTAGTGTACGTGCTTTACAATACCTTTACAAGTTTCTTTAAAATATTCTTTGTCAATGCAGTTTAATATACATTACAAAACTAACAAATCTTAAAAGATTTTGCATTAAAGAAACTTGTATCAGAGACGAGAAAGAAAAATGTAATTAAACTTCTTCCCTTAATCATTTTTAATGGCTTCATTTTTTTAAATATTCTTTTGCTGAAATTATTCAAAAGACTGTAGCTCTTTTGTATTCATGAAATTCTCTGAGCTTTAGTTAATGATTTTTAATCCCAATAAATTTTCCCACTTTTCCTTGAATTTTGTCATTTGATGACAATACAGTCAGTGCACTTTTTAAAAAATTATTTTTTAATTTTATGTTAGTGATTGAATGTGGCATAATACTGCAAAATAATCTTAAAGAAGAGAACATGAGTTATTATTTTGAAAAGTGTTAAATATTTTCTAAAATTAAAGCCAATGCAAGATTCAATTTCATTCAATTTTCAACATTATTATGCTTTTGGACTTGAACAAAAAATCTCATTTTCATTTCTGTTACGATGAAATGTTCCTACTTCCAGATTTAAAGTACAACATTTACTCAGTAAAAGAATGAAGTAAAATTCTGTCATACTTCAGGCATTGGATTTCGTAATTTCTACTGAAGAATTCTAAAATTTATTTTATTTGAAAATATTTTTCATTGTTTATAGAAGTTAAATCATTCTATTTCTAATCGTTTTATATTTTTTTGGTTTACATACTGATATCCAATCATTATTATTTCCGAGGCAGAATCGAGAGTTCTTGCTGAAAAGAATAGTTCTCCATTCTAGCTTCCATTGCAAATTCACTACATGATAGCCTTTCATGTTGGGTTAGGATATTTGAATACGACAAAGTTCATGAGGGTTATTTTTCTAATGGGAAGAATGCATTTATGGAACTTACCATGCCTTGAAATTTCTTCAGCTAAACATAAAGCTTCCCTCACAGTCATTCCTCCAATTACTGTAATAAAATATATAAATTATAAGGAACAAGAAGTTTTACATATTTAGTTTCATCTTCCTAGTAATATAAATAACTCACCTGGTGTGCCTGTGCTAGGTGTAGTTAGTTTATCAATACTATCTATATCAAAACTAACATGGAGTGACAGTTTACCCCTACAAAAAACAAAACTATTATATAACCTGGATAGAAAATTAAGAACAAAATGAAATTGCAACATGATTGTTTAATAATATGGCACAGAACATGATGAAAATGTAACACAATCAAAATGAGGACAGATAAAAAATCAATTGCAACAAAATTGAAATGTTTGTTTAATAATATGCATAGAACATGATGAAAATGTAACACGATCAAAACGAGGACGGATAAAAAATCAATTGCAACAAAATTCAGTTTATGGAGTTTTCCTCAACTTGGGAGGGGGGGAGGTGATGTAGCACTGTGATGCTGATAGAAAATAATGAAAATTATATAGTTACAGATTCATCCAAAATTAAATTTCCCCAAAGTGTGACATAATAATTTCTAATCCAGAATTTTGGTTTGACAATCAGAACAAAAGTATTGAATGATAATTATTATCTTGCTTATATTTTACATTATGAATATCATACAAATGATATTGGTAACCTGAATGAAGTCATTTTTAATGTAGTCATTTTAAAATTTCTTTACTTCTTGATATTACTGAAACCATACAACAAATACTAGAACATACAGATTACAACAGCAGATAATCCTGAATCCAAGTGAACACTCACATTAGGAAACAGATAAAATATCAGCAGTAAACTCAGATGTGCACATTTGCATTGGCAGTACGATATTTACATCTACAACATATGCGTCTACAACTTCCTAAATTATTTATTAGTCTAAAGTACACTGAGGTAGTAGTGATGCAGCATTTCTAACCCTGATCAATAGATGGTGCCATGATACAGTGGCAACAAAGCTGACTCAAAGCTCGGTGCCACACGGCAAAATTATGTACTAAGAAAAAGTGGAATATCACACATGCTACACCCCACAATATAACAAGGTCAAATTAAACATGCCGGTACTTATGTATTAAAGTCACCGCAGCTGATTTGGCAGTTTTTAAGTGCCGCCAATCTACACCTAAAATTTCTGTGACAAATTATAAATTAAAACACTTTATTTAAATTCAAAGTAGTCAATCGAATTTCGGTGGAAAATGGGCCAATATAGAGTTTAACATAGATTCAAAACAGTTTCTAATTTCTTTGACCTTATGCTGTCGCCATATGAACTCTGCTAAATTAAAATTATAAATTATGTCTCGCTGTCTCCCTATGTCTCTTGTTCCTCCATTTAGCACTGCCCCACATTCTTTCAACTGTTTATGTATGAACTCCTGTATCAGAATCAATAAAATTGCCAGCAGTATATGAATGTCAAAGCTGAACAAAATGGAATTCTGCTTTCTTCAAACCAGTTGTCTTTTCTAAGTCCCACTTGCTGATCACACTGTCTTAAATTACAGTTCCAAAATGTACGTTTACCAAATAAAGTTTCATATCATGTGAATTGGTGCATTTTTTTTTTTTTTTTTTTTTGGTAAAATATTTTGCCCCTGAAATAAAATTGCATCTCCTTCTGTGCTTGGCAAATCCCAAAGACGCATTTTCGTAGCACTAAGAAATGGCGTCAAAAATCAGCAAACAAAAAAGCAAAAAGGAATCCAAAAGATAACTGCGTGCGAACAACAGGATTGCTCTTTATTGGCGCATCAGCACAACTTCTCCTGCGGTGGCATCGATATGCAAGTACCGAAAACCCCAAGCATAGGGCTGATGTTCGTCAGTTTGATGATTAACCACATCAATGCACAATTTTTTCAACAAGAGGGTCAAATGCAATGACCCATTGCATTCTTTATCTCATTCGAATGCTGCTAGAGGACTGTGGAGAGATTGATGACAATCAGCCTTCACACCAGGAAACATCCAAATATCAGTAAAGAACACAGCAGTGCATTTTTTCAGTCGTGATACGATGTCTGGCTTCTATGCCACTGACTTCAGATGGGTCCATGAGACACTGGCAGCAAAGGGATACAAAGCCAAGTACTCCACAATCTCATAAAAGCATTAAGTTTTAAACCCATACCTTCAAATTTTCTATCTTTATATATCACTACAATAAAAAACAAATAGGAGGAATGTCCTTAATTCTTTACATCAATCCCTTTCACCTGAAGGATAATTGAGGGAAAGAAGGTGAACTTTAGCTAAATCAATCATCTATCCCATTTAATCTTTTGGAAAATAAACTGTGTTCTTATTATGAAAGTTAAGACTTACATAATTGCTAGATGGATATTCTGATCACTAAACTACAAGAAGACCAATCTTTTATAAGTATTTTTGCTTAAAAGTCTTTTAACATGTTAGTAAAGCATGGAATTAAAACTGGCTTAAAATTAATTAACACTTGAAAATATTTTGATAAATGAACTGTAGAGTAATAATTTGAAGCTTCAAAGAGATTTATACTTTTGCCCAATTGACTGACATTTATATATTTTGGTTGCATGCATATACGAAACTTTGTAACAGAATTTCTGTCTCAAAGAGAAAATGAAACCTAACAAAACAGCAATTCGAAATAAAGTCTAACAACTGAACATTTATCATTATATGGGCTATCTAAGTATATTTAAATTTACACACACTTTCCAATAGCTAAGCTGGTTTGAAAAGAACCAAAATCATGCATATGTTTGAAACAATTACAACCTAGTTTTCCTGCAGTCTTATTTCTGATTCAACCAGAAATGACACTAAAGACTCACAGTTTCTCTTTTATATTCAAAATATGGGAAAGTGTGGAAGTCTTTTTTCTTTTGAGATTTTGGTGTAGGAGGATTCATCCTTTTAACTGATCTTGAACTATATCAGGTAATTAAGGAAAACAAATATCTATAAATATGATTTGCACTACAATGGGCTAAAATGCGACTAACTTATACACTAAAAAATTGCCTTATATTTTAACATTGCCGAAAACAATTTATTTATTCTCCTTTTTTACAAGAGAAAAGTTACGCTCCCTTAAGAACAAGTTTTTAAAGGCTTACTGTGTTGTTTGGAACTACTGTGTTGTTACTGTGTTGTTCCAAACAACACAGTAAGAGAGAGAGTGGAAAAAAACTGGAATTGACTCTATCACAATAAAACATTTTCAAACTGGCTTTGCTTTAGTAATTTTTTGGCAACTACTGAATTATCATTTACAGTCAGATTTTAAAAAATACTTTGCCAAAATTTATTTTGGAATAATATTTTGAACTTACGTAGGATTTATCGCTTCTAAAGCACGATGAGTTACTTCAAATATTCCTAGTTTATCAATGTCACGCATGGTAAAATGTAAAATTTCTTCTTTTGTTAATATCAATCTAAATTAATAAAAAATACATTAGTTGAACATATATAAACTATTAAATTTTGAATTTTTTAATACATGTATTGCATTGATAAATACGAGAAATTTAAGGTATAATAAATGCAGTAAAATATGAAATATAGAAACTAAATACTAATTAGCAATATCACTCTACATTAAAACAAAGACAACAAATTCAACAACAGCAATAAATTTTTCTTTAATTTCTTAAATATAATCTATTACAATTTTAATTAGTAAAATGTGTAGAAGTTTTAATTTATATTTTGCCTACATTTGTTGTTTCTACAATTAAATATGTGGATATATATGTAAGAGTGCTTAAAAAAGTTTCTTTTACATATTTAAAAAAATCTCAAGTGCATGTAGGAATAATATGAAAGACATAGAAGGCAACATAAAATGTTCAAATCCAAAAATTTTATATGTAACGTTGTAGAGGATAACAGATGAGTTTTAAAAAAATTAAATCATATTACTTTTTTGCATCCTGGATAATAATACTCTAGGATGCACTGAAGGAGTATATTAACTTTCCAACTTAATTTGCAAAACTATAAGGTATGCAACAAACATGTACTATAAGTAAACTTATTAAGCAGATAATTTTAAAATTTTTGATTGGAGGCCACTTATTGCAAACTTTCATATGGATTACATTTATGAACATCTTGTAGTTCAGTGCTTCTCAACCTTTTTTGATTCATGCACTGGTAAAACTTACGAAAAAATTTTGCGGACTGGTGGTTTTCCCCTCCCTCCCTCACCCTCAGAAAACATTACAAGGTACTGAAGAATTACTACATAAATTAATTGTAATATTCTTATTACCATTTGCCTACAATCATATTTAAATATATGTGCCTTTCATTTCCTTCTTACTCATCCTGGTTATTGATTTTTAATCTAGCTAAAGTTAAAGAAATAGCACAGTATTAAATTCAGGGGTTATTAAAAATTTATACCGATGTATAGTTGTCAGTTATCCAAGCGTGCAGAAGAATGTAAGCAAGATAAAAAGCAAAACCTAACCTAAGACGCCTTAAACACTCCGATAGATATTCAGCGTTCAAGTAATCAGCAATACTCAAGGCAGACAGGGGCACATTAACTGGTGTACTAAAGTGCACGGCACATCAGTTTATGAAGGGCGATTAGGTACACAGTTCCAGTTTGTTATATTTTTCATCATCGATCATATTATTTTCTCAACTAGTAAACTATTGTTATTGTAATGTAGGTGCTGTTGTAATATCTATCGGTTGTCGGCCGATGACACTTTTGGTTTTGGACAGATAGCTGAATATTTTGCGGACTGACAAATATTTCTTGCAGACCGGCAAACACTGCTGTAGTTAATATATATTACTATTTAAAAACATTATATTTCTGTACATTCTTTTTTAAAAAATATTAAATTTATGTCTATTAATTTTAGAAGCAAAATTACATTTCAAAATATATCAATTTGATAATATAAAACTGATATTAAAACTTTAAAGAATTTCAAAATGCATGTGACATCATGTTTCCAACTCCAAAACTGAATTCAACTCCAAACTGAACCCTCGATTTTTTTTTTTTTTTTTTAAACCTGCATGTGCAGAGTTTTATAATCAAATTATTCTGAAATATGTGCTATTCTGTATTATGAGTAAAATGCCATATACAGTCAAAAGTCGTTAATTCGGACACCCATAATTCGGAATGATCTATAATCCGGACCTCAAAACTAAAAACTTTCTGCGCATGCGCATAGGCGTTTACGCGTGCGCGTAGACCCTTTACGACTGCGCATATGAGTGTGCGCAAGTGCAGAATACGTTTTCGTGTGCGCGTTTTATTATAATGGACGTATAAGCTAAAATTATCTAATTATCTATTTCAGTTAATGTTGATGATTGCGTTGTTCCTTAATTTTCGAATTGGATCCGGCTTATTATTTTTTGCAGACTGTAAGAGCAATTTTATAAAAGTAAGCTTAAACTTTCGATTATATCAAATAGAATTTCCGATATATATTTGTTAATATGTAAAGGATCTAAAGCGAAAGTATGTTTTGAAATCCAAAATCTGTTTATCAATTTCACGGCTCGGCGGGGGGCGGGGATCGCCACGCGGCGGGCGCGTAATGAATTTGAAGAAGTTGATCTGTCAGTACTATCTTTATCTTCAGCCTCAGATGTTTTTATTTTATTTGGCTTATAATTCCTTACCAAATGTAGTATTTATTTCATCTCGATATGCTCCGTCTTTGATATGATTTAAAACAAGTTCCTCGTCATTATAATTCGCTTTCGATAGCGAAGAAAGTAACAGAGGTTATTGAAAACGAAAAAATTTCGATTGACAAATTAGTCGGTGTTCTCGACACAGCAGCAATTATAGGACTTGAAACAGCGTAACTTTGTAACTGAACAAGAAATTATGTCTGTTTAATAGAATTAAAGAGAAAGTATTATCACATGAAACGAAGCAAAACTTAAACAACTTACATTGAAAGAAATGTTTAATAAAGTAAACAAATAAATATTAAGCTTTTTCTTTTTGCAAATTTGGATACCCTTTAGATCATAATTGTTCTTTATTTCATAAATTACGGTTTCATATTTTTAATTTTAGAATTTCTGCATGCCATTTTACGAGATTTAAACTGATGATCTATAATCCGGAATCGCCGAAGTCCCGACGAGTCCGGATTAACGACTTTTGACTGTACAGTCAAAAGTCATTAATTCGGACACCCATAATCCGGACCTCAAAGCTAAAAACTTTCTGCGCATGTGCCGCGTTCACGCATGCACATAGGCATTTACGCTTGCATGTAAGACCTTTACGACTGCGCATATATGTGTGTGCAAGTGCAGAATACGTTTTCACGTGCACGTTTAATGTATAACGGACGGTATAAGCTAAAATTATCTAATTATCTATTTCAGTTAATGTTGATGATTGCGTTGTTCTTTAATTTTCGAACTGGATCCGGCTGATTACTTTTTTCAGACTGTAAGAGCAATTTTATAAAAGTAAACTTGAACTTTCGATTATGTCAAATTGAATTTCCGATGCTGGAGCTCCCAAAGGATCTACAAAACGAAAGTATGTTTCGATATCCATCAAACAAAAAGTGGAATTGCTGCAAAAAATTGATAAAGATATGAAGAAGGTGACAGGGAGGTTAGTGAAAACGAAAAAATTTTGATTGACAAGTTAGTTGGTATTCTCGACACAGCAATTACGGGACTTGAACAGCAGAACTTTGTAACTGAACAAGAAATTATGTCTGTTTATAGAATTAAAGAGAAAGTATTATCACATAAAACAAAGCAACTACATTGAAAGAAATGTTTAATAAAGTAAACAAATAAATATTAAGCTTTTTTTTGTAAATTTTGATACCCTTTAGATGATATTTATTCTTTATTTCATAAATTAAGGTTTCATATTTCTAATTTTAGAATTTCTGCATGCCATCTTATGAGATTTAAACTGATGATCTATAATCCGGAAAAATCGATAATGCGGAATCGCCGAAGTCCCAACGAGTCCGGATTAATGACTTTTGACTGTAATTTTATATTTCAAGACACAGTCTTAGTTTCAACATACAGTCCCAATTTTACTTTCAGAACAGAGATTTATAAAATTTTTCATTTTTCATTTTCTTACAATACTAATTCTAAAAAACCATAAAAACTGAGCAGTTTTAAAAAATAAAAATTTATACCCAGATCAAATTGATAATTGATAAAATACTGAATACTGAAAGATTTAATAAAGAATAATTAAAAATATTTCCAAAAGGAAAACTGACATTTTTCACAATAGCTAATTTTTTAAAAACAGTTATGTAAATTTATATATATCAAGTAGACAAAAATACATAAACTTACTTCTCAAAAGGATCAATATCTCTCAATCCTATATAAGCCAAATTACTTTTCCTCACACTAGAAAAACAGTTCAAATGATTATATACATAAACACATATATACTTCTAAATTACTGTTTAAAAAAAACACCTTGATCAAAGCACACACACAGTTTAAAAATACAGAGAATTATCACAGAATTATGTTCTATTGCAGCATGTAAATACCACTATTGTATTTTTTCAATTAATATAACTTTTTCAAACTCTCTATATAAAATCCTGATGGAGCAATTTCAGCATTCTAACCTAAATATATAAATATACATATCACTAAAATACAGTAAACCCTTGCCAAATGAGGCGGTTATGTTATTAACACATTGCAGGTACAGCAAAATCATGCTCCGCAAAGTTAATATTCTACGTGAAAAAAAGGTGTTAGGTATATATTTCAGATTAAGAAAGTAAATAAAATTTAAACAAGCCTAAATACTGTTGTAATTAAAAAATAAATAAAAAAAATGTCAATTAAAAAGGATTTTGTTTTTACCGTGTAATAAACACATCAATTATTTTTTTTAAAAAGCCAGTGATTTTTGTTTGGAACAATGTCTGATGCAACTCTTTCAAAATTTTGTGGTAAAGATAATGAATTTATCAATTCCTCTCATAAAGTATTCTCTTCTTTCTTCATTTGAATCAATTTCCATTGCAAAATCAGACAGTTCCTCTTTTTTTAACAATTCACTTAAACTTTTCTAATTTTAAGATGCTTTATCTTCCTTATTATTATCACTGTTTCCACAGTCACCAGGATTTAAGATCATCCAATTCAACATTCGCTATTTGTCAATTAACTCTTTGGATTCGATCATTTGCTCTATCTGCCTGCTTCAAGGATTTATGCCCTTATGTCCCCAAAGCAGGCATTAAAGTCTCCTATTATGACAAAGGGCTCAGGCAGCTGTACAATCAGATCATCTGAACCTCATTGATTGGTGTGATGATCTGGAGGCAGGCAAACATAACAGACTGAAAACAAGTTCCATATATTTACTCTTATAGCTATAGCTTGGAGGGTCATTCTAAATTGAGCTGGAGGAATAGTTCAGTAAGGCTAAAACTCCTACATCTCCAGATCACAATAGATGATGATCACCATCAGGATTAATGTTTCCTGTTCAAACAATATCTCTGGAGCTTCACCTGTTGCTCTGATTTCAGCAAAGAATCTCCTGGACTGCAAAGCACACAGGATGCTAGAATGAATATATTTATTAATTAGAAATGGAGATATCATTTGCCATTCATCAGAAGGCCCAGAGACTACAAGGAAACATGGACATCTATTAGGTTTATTAACATTTGCACTGATATAATACATCTCTCTGGTAGTAAATTTTTCTGGAAGTTTAGTGTTCAAAAGGGCATGACTAGATTCTGGTTGTTTTATCATATAAATATCTGAAGCCACCATGTCTTGGGGGCAAGATTTGGGTCTGACTGTTTAACCCACCATGGAGCCTAACAAAGGGATACATATTGATGCGTTAGGGTTAGCTTGACCTGTCCCCAAACTGTAGCCCCACAATCAGCTTTTCTGAAAGCAGCACTTCCAAAAGCTTATCACAAAGCCGCCGACACTAGGGTCAGGAAACCAGACAATGGACACCAGTGAGGACAACTAAGTGCCTTTAGCTGAAGCAGAGGCCAAAGCAGCATGCTGGGAACAGTACCTCCAGCCTCAATACCAGGAATCTCCTTTCCACATGCAGCAAACATGTGAGCAGTTTTCTCACCACTTAAAGCTCAATAAAAAGCCATAAAAGCATCTCATGAGCCAAATTATTTTTATGGCCCACGAGTACATTTTACTATGAATAAATTTATGTTACTAAATTATTATTATTATTAAAATTATTTTACTATGTGAAAATTTAAATCTAATTTAAATTTAAAGTAGGTACTACTTAGTTTGCGTAACTCACTGGCTGAATACAGCAGCAATCCGTTTAACGTATAATGATGGTTGGCTCAACATTGGTGCCACATATTATATTTGTGGTTGGTTGTTGTTTATCTATGGTTGGTGCACGTGATGCGCACACTACCCTGCGCTATTTGGTTGATTCATGCAATCGTGCGAGTGCAGTCTTGTCTAGAATTTGTTGAGGGGTGACTGTGTTATAATATTATTAACATAATTTCATATTTATTTATTAAAATAATTATTGAATATGAGTGCTACTAATAAAAGAAAAATAGACTTCAAAAATCAAGAATTTCAAGATCGCTGGGAGATAGATTATTTATTCTGAACAAGAATGGTAAGCCACAGTGTTTGGAATGTTTACAAATCATAGCCGTGTGTAAAGAATTTAACTTACCATTATCTTTCCATGCATGAAAGTGCCATTATCTTTCCATGCATGAAAAAAAGTATCATTCGTACACGCGAGATATGAAAATACCACTAGTGAAAAAAATGAAAAAGCAGCTGGATCATCAAACGATTTATTTTAATCAAGAACCAAAATTTCAAGAAGCATCTGTAGCTGCATCGTTTAAAGTGTATTTAGAAATAGTAAAGGCAAAGAAGCCATTTTCGGATGGAGAATTCATTAAAAAATGTGCCATAAAAATGGCTCAAGCATTTAATGACAACGAAATGGTAAGAAAATTTCAAACAGTATCACTTTCTCACCAGACTTTAAGCCAATGTGTAAACAAGATTAGCATGCATGTCAATAATAAATTAGAAAATCTAATCAATAGTTGCTGCTATTTTTCGGTAGTATTGAACGAAAGCACAGACATTTCCGATACAAGTCCAATGCTTATCTTTATACGAACTGTAAATGAAAACTATAATTATTCAGAAGAACTTTTAAAATTACAATCATTATATGGAACAACAAAAGGTGAAGATATTTACAAACAATTAAAATGTTCAGTAGAGCAGTATGGCAGATTTGACAAATGCACTGTTATTGTAACCGATGGTGCTAGAGCTATGACAAGCAAAAGTATTGGGCTCGCGCGATTTTTGCAAAAAGGAATAACATGTCATATGTTACACTGTATTATCCATCAGGAGGCATTATGTGGTTTATCCCTACAACTAAAAAACGTAACGGACAAGGTTTGCAAAATTACTAATTTAATTCATGGTGAAAAATTGTTTTCTTACACATCGAAAATTTTAACATTTTTGGATGACTTGGAAACTGAGTATGGAGATGTGCTTTTACATAGTAAAGTTCGTTGGTTAAGTGCTGGAAAGTGCTTGAGGAGATTCTTTACACTTCGAAAAGAAGTTTATCTTTTTCTTACAGAAATTGCCGTCGATGAAAATTTGACAGCACATTTAGTTGATAAAAGTTTTATTTATTTATTTGCTTTCTTTAACGAACATTACAAATTATTTAAATATTTTGAATAAATCCTTGCAAGGACAAGATCAAAATATGTGTTGCCTGTATAAATATGTTACTGAATTTAGAAACAAATTAAAATTGTTAAGGTTTAATTTGGAGCAAAATAATTTATTTCATTTTGAATCTTGCAAAGAGATCTATGAAGAAATGAAGGAATGTAATATAGAAACAAATTTTAAAATATTTCTACCAAAACTGGATATGCTAATTACAGATTTCAATGAAAGATTTTTCTCAATTTGATGATCTTAAACCGTTTATCAATTTATTTTGTAATCCAATTAATATTGATGTCAACTCCGTTGATCTTAAATATCAAATAGAATTATGCGACCTGAAGTCTGACCCGTTTTTTACATCTTGTGGAGAAACTGGTATAGAAATATTCAAATTGTATCAATGTTCGTAAGTACATATACCTGCGAGCGTGCATACTCCGATATGAAATATATAAAGTCAAAATATAGAAACAGTTTGAAAGATTAAACTCTTGGAGATATAATTAGACTTGCCACAACAAATATTTGTGGGAAATGTTATGTCATGATATTCCCTAATCCCCTACTGTGTGACGTATGCATTGCGTCGGCATGCGTTTCCCGCCTTCGAAAGAAGACGAGGATTAGCTGGCGAGCGGAGCAGACGTCGCTCGATCGCTCATATACCATTTTCATTAATTGTAATCCTAATGTAATCTTTATTTGTAAATAGTAATAAATGTGTGTTATCAACTATGGTCGTTGCCTTTCCCCACATATTGATATGGACAATAAAAGAAATTGTTGCTAAACAATTACGGTCACAATGTTCTCATTAATATGTTACAAAAATTTTAAAGTTTTCTTTTTAGTATAAATAAAATATTTTCTTTAATTAACATAAACGGACTTTTCATTTATCAACCTTCTTGGCCTCCAAAATGTTTGGTGAAGAAAATATAGCCTGTGGGCTATGATAAGTTGGACAGCGCTGTACTAGATGACTTTTTTGCAACTGAGGGAAAAATCTGGTGATTTCTTAAAATGGGGATTATTAAAGTGAAATATGACTATGTCAAAAACGCACTCTGAAAACTAACTTTCAGGAATTATACTTTCAACTGATAAGGTAATTAATTACTATTTTTTAAAATTCAGTAACAAAACATATATGCTCACCATGGTTTTATCCATTCAAAACCTGGAATTTGATTTTGATATTTCTGAAGTTCTGTGATCAGAAATGAACATGGCATACCATGGATATTTCCTACATTAAAAATATGAGTGCTTATGAACAATAAATAATAAACATTTAATTCATAATCAAGATATACAGTTTTAGCAGAAAACAACAGGTACTAAAAATGTTATTTTACAAAATTTTAAAAAAAAGTTGTAACAATTTGTAAAAAACATACAATATGTGCAGCCAATATGCTAAGCAAGTTAAAGAAAAGGCTTACTTAAAACTAATAAAGAATAATGTTAATAAAGAAAATTTCAAAATACACAAGAAGTACAGATGAATATTAAAATATGTCAAAAAGATATTTCGTTTCATAGTTATGGTTGAAAACAATGATAAAAAACAATAATGTATCCATGTGCCTTAAGTATTAGCCTCATAAGAATTACTTCATACCATCAGTCAAAGAAATTCTGTAGCTAACCGTTGAATATATTAATAAAAATGTTCTGAAATTATGTAATAAAATCAGTCTATACATAATACACTAATTTCATACTTCAAAAGGTCTTTCAAAATCACAATTTCCTGTGTTTCACATACCTCTGCAACTAATATTGTGGAATTACAGCAAGTGTGGAACATCTTTACATTTCAGAGTGCCTCAAAATCCCTTTTTCATTTTGACTAATAACAAACTTAAGCGATTTCCATCTACTGATTGGATAATTTTTCTAGCTATCAAAATACTTAGTTTTTATAAATTATATAGATTTATATTTTATTATTCATTAAAAACACTTAATGGTGAGAAATATAAAACTAATATCTTATCTGTTCACTCCCCTTAAGAATATCATGCTACTTATACCTCTACATTGAAGGTAGTAGGGTTAAGTTCTCTTGGTGTTAAAAGTGGAATCGTATCTAACAAATATAAATCTGAATTAAATTTTTATGTATCTTAATATTCTGAATAATATGCAGATTATAAGAGATATACCTAAACATGTACTGTTTTCTAAATTAACAACATATACAATTTGGTTTATTTTTCACAAATGATGCACATATTTATTTTGTACATTTCTGTTAAAGCCCTGCCATGTATTTTTGGTGACATAATAGTGATCCATTTTGGCTCATTTCTTTCCCCCATGACTTTGGCTTGATAATAGATTTTTTCTCCTTAACATTTTTCATTTATTTTCTTCCTTTTGCTACTAAATTTCCGTTAGTTTCATCCCCAAAACCTTCTTTAGAAAAACAGAAGCAAGACACAAAAAAGTAAAGTAATTAATAAGAATTGCGCCAAAGTAGTATCACATCATAACAAGATTTAGCAGAGGCATAAAATAAAAAATTTTAAATGTGGTTACATGAGTAATGCAGTATTTATGTTTTGATGCAATCAACTTGGTACAATAGGCAATTTTTTACAGATAAAAAAGAATGATGAAATAAGTTATTCAATTTAATTGAAAAACTTATTACATACATAAATATTATTATATTCATATTTTATGCTGTAGTCAAATACTTATTAGAAAATTCAATCAATAAACCTACTTAAATGCTGTCTTTTTATTTCATTTGTTCTCATGGAAATTTTATGGTGATTGCTTTAACAACATATTCAAAACAATAGTTTTTTTTTTTTTTTTTACAATTTCACGGCAAAATGCTATATTTCTGCAAAGCTTGCAGTTTATTCCATTTCTGGCAAATTTCACAAGCTCATATTTTAAATCTGAGTTTAAGTATAAAAATATTGAAATTTGTCTGTAAAAACTGTTGGAATTAGGAATTGAAAAAATGAAAATGGCAACATTCCTTGAATGAGGAATTTTTATGAATATCATAGCCTGAAAAACTGTCATGCTTATAATTGCTAAAGTTTGGCACAATCTGAAAATCTGGCAACATTTATCATAAGCACCAATGATGTTTATAAAGATAATTGCTGTTAGGAAAGAAAGTAAACCAAACTGGTGATGCTTAGTGCCAAGAAAATATGGGGGGGGGGAGAAAGAAAATCTGAAAGGTTTCAGATTTAATATTACACCCAAAAGGGCTTTTATTAACATTTTGTGTGTTGCCTTTATTTATTAAATACCATGTTCTTCGTACTTAAACCACATAAAATTCAGCTGAACAGCAATATCACAAAATATTTAAAAACAGCTTATCTTTAGAATTTCCCATACACAGTCTCGCACGCTGAAGATAGAAGTTTTTTTTTTTTTTTTTTTTCCCCTTACAGTGTTACCAATGTTCGCTTTGAAATCATCGAGTTTGTTAATAAAAAATTCTTTAAAGTTTTACAAAACTTAAAATAGATAATAAAACAAATTCAAAATTCGGGCTTCTAAGTGCCAATGCTTGGTCAGAGGACTACGTTATTCAAAATTGGATGGCTTTAGGTACCGTTGTTTTTTCACAATGCAAGCAGTATTCATGCACATTCTTCATTATCCAGTTTCTTTAAATATAATACATGGCTATAATATCTGGTGGCAACAGTTTGAAAAGTGAACCAACGCAGAAAGCAAAACAATGCAAAATGCAGTTTTGAGACTAATAGCCCTTTAGGTCATATGCCCCTTTGGGGGTAAAAAAAACATGCTAAGGTGTTTATAGCTTTTGCCAAAAAATACTATTTGTATCTGATTATTTTTAATTCGAATTATTTAAAAAAATGTAAGAATGACTAACCAACATTTCTTTTCTCCTAATTCAAAAGATGGTTCGAAATTTAAGATATAAATAAATGGACCAAATGAATAATATTGCTCCCTAAGTAATTTTATCAGATTCAGAAAATATTTCTCACATATTTTCCAAAAATTCAGCATTTCTACAGCTAAAATCCTGCCCTAATATTAAAAAGTAATCATTTTTAAACCCAGGGATATTCCATTTTGTTTCCAAAATAAATTAGGAGGGAGGAAATTATGAAATATAATTTAGATTCATTTCACATTTAGGACAAATCTTAATTGCATGAAAGATAAAAAATTCTGCATTTTGAGCTGGAACTACGAATTGATATCAAACAAAAATTATTTAAATGTATTTATTATTTAAAATTTAAATGTAATTATTATTAAAATGTATTTATTTAAAAATGTATAATTTTAAAAATATTTAAATTGTTTTTAATGTATTTATTTTAATTAAATGTATTTATTATTTAAAATAAATTCATTACTTGAAACTTAAATGCTTTCAAAGTCAGTTTAGTGGTTAGCTAGTTTCAATTCATGGCATGGATGAAATACCCTCACCGAGTCCATTTTGAGGAAGGAGATTGGATTATTAAATATAAGCAAGCTACACAAAGATTATCTGTTTAAGTTCTACCCCAATTTTAACAAAGAGTACCTCAGGGCATTTTAAAAGGAAAATTGCCTCACACATACATTATACAACCAGCCTATTTAGAAGGAGCAGAACTTAGGTAGGAACAGAAATATTCAGATGCTTTATCCATTCTATACAACAGAAACACATTTAAAAGCAAGTGTATGAGCCAATAATGCATTTAAAGGTAAGTACATAAAATTTAAACTTTAAATATCTGTACAGATTTATTTCTAATTTTTATGTAAAGAGACAAAGTATTTCTCTGTTACCTGTAGGTGTTGTATGCGCAGTATTAATATCAGCATGAGCGTCAATCCATAAAATACACATGTCATGTACTAATGAATGCCCATACACAGTTCCTATGCCTAAGCTATGGTCACCGCCAAGTGTTATACATTTTTTGTTATCTGAAAGAACCTCTTTCACAGCATTTGAAACCTAAAATAAAATCACACTTATAAAATAATTTAATATTTAAAAATATATTTCCATTTGAAAATATCAAACAATTTAATATATTGGTATTGATATATTTATAGACTATATAAATATTAAAATTCAAATCTATCAAAGAAAATTTTCAAATTCATTAATGTAGACTAACAATTCCAGAAGGATTTTCTGGCAATGTTCTACATCAGGCCTCGGCCTTTGACCTGTGGGTAATGGAATGACCTACTTGGAGTAGTTAAAATAACGTATAATATATAAAAATAAATTATAAAATATCATTATGAAATGAACACTTGAAGAATGTGCAAAAAATAAACTGAAAATAAATAATAACATTTTTGTCTGATTACAAAGTTGTAGTAACGAACATGCATTTTTATTTTTAGAAAAATTAAGAATTTTAACATAATTTCAAGGAGAAATTGATAAGTTTGGCAAGGCTGATTCACAATTCCTTGACATACATCTGATAACACTGACATTGTTACAGTTCTCTTAGTTCAATCTCAGTTATAACACTTGTTCATTAGTCCACGAATAAATTCAGTAGCAAAAAAATTTCCTTTGGCATTTTTTCTACATTCAGTTCAATTCATAGATGCACACAAATATGTTACCACATGAAATTTATTTTAAGAAGAACAGGATCAGCTTAAGTACTGAAATTCTGATGCCTGTATTCATCTTAAGACGACTAACTATAAGCCAGACTTGATTAATGTAACAAATTCAGCATCAGGAGAGCCACTGATAGAGAAAAATAAATTTCATTCAGTTAATGTTTGTTTTTATAATAATGATTATTACAGTTTTTATGATTACGATTTAAAGCATATTGTAACTATTTTCAATAAAATCATCTTATTATTCACTAAAAAAAGACTGCTTTTTTAGTGAAACATCTTTTTAATGTACACATTTTGGTTGATTTTGACATGTACCCAAAACCAGCTGCCAAGGCTTGTACTATAATTTTCATTTTCTAACTATGTAGTGCATATATACACACAGATTCTCAAAGATTTTATTTTTATGCACATTAATGCTTAATACAAGTACTAAACTGATTGTAAGGTACATATTTAATTATATTCACATCTATTTTACATAATACATTGATATCTATTTCAAATGAATATAGTCTTTTGTTTTGGGGGAGTTTAATTACATTAACTAATAATAAAATTGTATTACTCTTATATGTGTCCTCAGGTTGCCAAATGTGGCAATATATGTTGTGCACTGGTTTATGGCGCAATTACATGTTCTGTGATGGTTTTGGGGAAGATCTTGGCTCCTATGGCAACCTTTTTTACCTGGAAACTTGGATTTTACTGTAGTGGTTTCAGTTAGTTGGTTCGTATGGTGTTTAAGTGATTTAAGATGCAATGAAAGACGTGTTGGCAAAATTTTAGTCGTGTGCCTGGTACAACTATTTTTTTTCGGGTGGCTGGAAATTCTACAAGTATTTAGGAGAAGAAGGATTTGCAACATTTATTTGTGAAAGATAGTATCAATTTTGTGGATAATGAGTCTGGCTGTCATATAAATACGATAGAGATTACGTGGCGACATGTTAAAGCTACGTTGCCTACTTATAATCGGAAATACAATTTTTGTGTTTTATTTGGTGGTTTATATATTTTCCTATTGTTGTTCTGAAACGGGAGATGCTTTTAACGAATTTGTGGTGAAATTGTTTTGGTGATGTTTGAAATTGGCATTTTCTTTATCGAAGAAGCATTCATTCACGGTAAGTGCATTTTATTTTAATCTTGATCTTATTTTGTAGAATGTTATGTTCATTGTTTTTTCAGTATGAATTTCTGTCGTTATTATTGTTTTTTTTTAAATAATTTTAGTTTATTTTGTTGATTAGTGTGCAATGCCTAGACTGTACAATCCATAGACGTTTTTTAAAGTTTAAACAGAAAGTTGTATACATGGTATTCTTGAAATTTTATTGTTGTTATGTTAATTTATTAAAGCAAGGTGTGCGTAGTTCATAGATTCCTTCTCTGCCTAGATTGTGCAATCCGTAGATTTTTTTAAAAGTTTAAACAGAACACTGTGTACATGGTATTCTTTGAAATTTACTGTTAAGTTATTAAAGTGTGCGTAATTCGTAGATTCCTTCTCTGGCTAGATTCTGAAATTTGTAGATTTTTTTTAAGTTTAAACAGAACGCTGTATACATGATATTCTTTGAAATTTACTGTTGTTATGATAATTTATTTAAGCTAGGTGTGCATAGTTCCTATATTCCTTCGCTGCATAAATTGTGCAATTCTGCGATTTTTTTTAAAGTTAAACGTATTGCTGTGTACATGAATTCTTACCAAATATTTTTGACCAGAAACTTTACATTTCTGTTATCTATATTTTTTGTTTTTGTTTCGGCTTTTTAGCTTAAATTGTGTGTTCAAAACGTGGTTTTCGGACGTGCCAAAACCACATTTTTGGAGACATTTTATGCTTAAAGTTCAAAATGTACACAAAAAATTTAGATAGTAATATGGCACCATGGACGTTTGTCACCAAGCAAGGGAGTGCATAAGAGTAGTTCCTAATTAACTAAATTAGTTTGAATGATATACCAATTAAAAATCCTTTTGCAAGCAATTAAAAACCTTGTAAATACCTTTTTGCAAGCAGCTCCAACTGTTAAAGGAAATTTCAGCTTATCATTTGTACTGAGCTCATTTTCATCTTCAAATAGCACATTTCCATAGTCTTTCACATCTAGACCTGCAAATAACACTTATTCAATCTGAATAAAATATTTTTTCCTCATAAATAAAAAGGTAGGAGTCATAACTTATTCAGTAAAAAATATTTTAGCCTAAAATGCAATTTAAAATTGTCCTCTTAGTAACACTTTATTTTAAAAATGAAATCTTTTGAATACATGTTCCTTAATTACATAAAATAAGTTGCTATATAATTGTTATTCTATAACAATGCAAAGGAATACAGCTCAAGTTTTTAAAAAATAAACATTAAAAAACTTACGATGACTGAAAAAAATACATGCGACTTTTCTTATTTAACAGAAAGATAACTTAAGTCAAAGCTAATGAAATTTTCCCATATGTAATTATTTCTTACGAAGGACTGAAACTTCTTTTACTCATTTTACTTAGACAAAAAACAAAGCTTTAAATGCTCATTCTCCTGTCTTTTTTTGTATAAGTTTGTTTAGTGTTTGGTTTATCTGACTATGGTAAAGCACAAAAAGTCTATCTGCTTACGGGAAGGGATGCCTTTGTGGAAGATTTCCTAAGGGAAACTGGATTGTAACCACATTACACAAGGGAAAACTATGAAAATGTCCATGTAGCCAGCCCATTTGCTGAAATCAAAGAAATCAAAGTCAGGTGCTGAGCAATTTTACCACTCAACCACTTATGTGCCTTTTCGTTGAAATAAAAATGTTAGTTTTACGATAAATTTCATTAACATGTGAGTAAATGTAAAAGGGTATCTTATACTCGGGATAAAATATTTCTCAATCACTTTATTCCCCTTCTTCAGAATATTTCTCAATCACTTTATTTCCCTCCTTATCTGTCTCAAAATTCATACTCTTAAAAGGAAAAAAGTCGGTGAAAATTCGTTTAATTTATCAGTGAATTCTGCACTCTTTAAACATTATGCACCAGCTTGAATATACACGGAAACAGTGATATGCATGGAAACAGCGATACATATTTGAGTTTCAGAATGATGTAGCAGCAATATTGTTTTTTCGTGATAATAAAGCTTGTTTTTGTTGAAGCTTTATTTAGTCTGTGAATAATCATTGCAAGTATAGTTTTCTTTTTTATGCAAGTAACTGTTTTAAAACTATCATGCTAGTCTTTAATTAAAGACTACTTCATTTTGAAATATTATTGATAGTTTTATGTACTGAAAGCTAGAAAAGTTGGTGACTTTTTTCTTGTAAGCTTTACCACATGTGGCTCAACACAGTACAAATTGTAGAGTGTAATATGAAAACTATTCATCAGAAGATAAATGAAAGCACATTGTAACTCTTGATGAAGAATGGATTTGCATAAATAACTGCAACAATAACAACAACAACAACAACAACAACAAAAAAAAAAAAAAAAAAAAAGGCTAATATTAAAGAGAAAAAAATGTATGAACCTGGTTCCCTCAATGCAAAGTAAGTTTCAGTAAAGGGTTTATGATTGTTGCAAGATCCTCTTACAACAGAAAATTAAAAACAAGGAGTTGGGAAAAAAAAAAATTCAAATCAACTTATTGTGCTATCAAAAGGAAGTTTTACATCCGATATTTACAGAAAAAATTCCATTTCTTTATCCCACTAACTTTCAAAGAATGAAACTTGATCAATACAAAGCAACAAATCATACTTCAAAAAATACCACTGTATTCCTTGAAAAAAAAAAAATGAAGACTGATACATGTATTGTATGCATACCTTTTCAAAGTATTCCTGCACAGTCTCCCAACATTTCACCTATGGACTACTGTGCATTTGGCCTCTTGAAAAGATCTCTTTTTATTTAGGCACAAACTCACACAACTGATGGATTCTGTACAGTAGTAGATGAGGAATGGAAATCAATACCGGCAAAACTTTTATGAAAAGCCCTTCTACCATGGAAATCGTGATGCAAATTTATAGTCCAGAAAAAAGGATACCAAATGAAACTCTTAAAAAATACTTTTTACATTATTTAAACAGTCTGAAAATAATTCTAAAAATGTGTAAACATCCTCATATGCGTAAAATGCAAACAAGCTTGGTTACCCTTCCCAGATTAAATACACACCATACATTGTGACAAACTTGAACTTAGATGCACCGACATTTGTGGTCCAGTGAAAACTACGTTCTTAGGTGGTGCAAAATATTTCATAATGCTCAACGATGATAATTCACCAAAAATTACTGTGTATCCAATGAAAGAGGTCAGAAGTCCTTCAAGCATATAAAATGTACAAATTGCAGGCTGGGAAAGAGATTAAAAACATTTTAAATTCTCTACAGTGACAATGCCAAAGAGTTCACAGGTCAGGAGTGTAACTAATTTTGGAGAAAGAGTATTAAATGCTAGTTCTCAGTTGAGTACAGAACAAACTATTCTTATCCAAATTAAAGAATTTTGGGCAGAAATGATATCTACAGCTGTTTACATATGCAACTAATGTTCTGATAAATGTAAATCCAAAATGCCTGGGGAAATCTGGTCTGAAAAACGCCTACTGTATCATACTTTAAGATAAGTAAAGTTTCTGCATTGAACAATTACTATATGGAAAACAAACTTTCTCCAAAAAAGTGAATATATTCTTATTGGATATTTAAAAGAAACAAGAGCATATCTTCAGTGGAAACCAGAAACTATGAAATACTACAAAGTCATGATATTTGGTATTAAAAGCTTTGAAAGAGAACCAGGGAAACCTATATTTCTGAGAACATAAAAACCAGGCAAACCAAGAAAAGTCTATCCAATTCTAAATACAGTCAAAAGTTGTTAATCCGGACTCGTCGGGACTTCGGCGATTCCGGATTATAGATCATCAGTTTAAATCTCGTAAGATGGCATGCAGAAATTCTAAAATTAAAAATGTGAAACCGTAATTTATGAAATAAAGAACAATTATGATCTAAAGGGTATCAAAATTTGCAAAAAGAAAAAGCTTAATATTTATTTGTTTACTTTATTAAACATTTCTTTCAATGTAAGTTGTTTAAGTTTTGCTTCGTTTCATGTGATAATTTCTCTTTAATTCTATTAAACAGACATAATTTCTTGTTCAGTTACAAAGTTCCGCCGTTCAAGTCCTATAATTGCTGTGTCAAGAACACCGACTAATTTGTCAATCGAATTTTTTTTGTTTTCAATAACCTCTGTCACTTTTCTTCGCTATCGGAAGCGAATTATAATGACGAGGAACTTGTTTTAAATCATATCAAAGACGGAGCATATCGAGATGAAATACTACATTTGGTAAGGAATTATAAGCCAAATAAAATAAAAACATCTGCGCTGAAGATAAGGATAGTGCTGACAAATCAACTTCCAATTCATTAGGCGCCCGCTGCCGAGCAACGTGAAATTGATAAACAGATTTCGGATTTCAAAACATACTTTCGCTTTAGATCCTTTACATATTAACAAATATATATCGGAAATTCTATTTGATATAATCGAAAGTTTAAGCTTACTTTTATAAATTGCTCTTACAGTCTGCAAAAAATAATAAGCCGGATGCAATTCGAAAATTAAGGAACAACGCAATCATCAACAGTAACTGAAATAGATAATTAGATAATTTTAGCTTATACGTCCATTATACATAAAATGTGCACGCGAAAACGTATTCTGCACTTGCGCACACTCATATGCGCAGTCGTAAAAGGTCTTACGCGCACACGTGAACGCCTCTGCGCATGTGTCAACGTGGCGCATGCGCAGAAAGTTTTTAGTTTTGATGTCCGGATTATAGATCATTCCGAATTATGGGTGTCCGAATTAACGACTTTTGACTGTATTTGTTTCTATTATACTAGAGGTTAGTATAACAAAAAAGAAATTAATGTTAAATATGTATCTACAGCAGAAATGGCCACCAACATTTTAACAAAGAATCTTGATAGGGACAAATGAATATATGAACCCAAAACTAATGATCTTGAGTTTTAACAAATGTAGGCTTATCTGTTTTATTCTCTTTTCAATGTTGTGAAGGGAGAATGCCATATTTTTTTTTAAAAAAATATTTATATCTGTGCAGTATTGGTAAGGAAAGGTAGTGAATGTGTACTTAATCTCTAGAGGAAGTCCAGTTACTTGTGGGTGCAGAATGCTGGTGTGGTGGACACAGTTGAAGTATAGAGATGCAATAGCCATCAGTATCTATATAACAATGAACCGAATCACAGCTTATGGATACCAAGTGCCTGCTGATGAAAGCTATTAATAAGCTCATCTTCCTAGCTGTCCTTTGCTAACCTGTTTTTCCACAGTGTCATAAAGTATATGTGGTTACGTACAAGTACATATGTAATTTCATCATTTATTCCCACCTACCCAAACAATCCTTCTGTTATGTCTAAAGCAATGACAAATTAAATGTTACATGTTCATGCACATCCTACAGCGCAACAGTTTGTGGATGAAAACCTGCAGAATTTGATAGCAAAATTCCTGAATTTTTGATAGCAAAAAATGAGACCAATAGGTTTTGTTATTCTACAAGAGCAGAATATAAATTAAAGTCTAATGGTTATTTAAATTTATTTAATTATATAAGCTTAATTCTTTTCCAGATATTTTATTCATTTTAATCCATCTTAAAGCCTAAAAAAAAAAAAAAAAAAAAAAAAAGAAAGAAAACCCACACAACTGAACATAGCTTATGATAATAACAATCAGTAGTATTGAGAAAAATGATCAGAAAACATACTACATTAGAATACAAAAGTATAAAATCTAAATAAATATTTCAGTCTACTAAATCAGAGAATGTGAATTTTAGGTGCAATTATAAATAAACTCTTTTCAATTTAATCTAGGTTTAAAAGGAAATCTTTGATAAATATTCTTTCACTGCATGTTTATCATAATCTTTTAGTAATACAAACATGAACTCTATACAGTTGTCATAAAATAATTTACAAATCTTGACTTACTTACTATAGAGTAAGTCAAGATTTGTAAATTTGCAAATTTGTAAAAGAGTTACGAAGAAAACTTGTTGTTAAAGAAAAATAGGCTACTTTAAATTATTTGAATATGAAGAAGCATGCAAGGGATATCTGCTTAAGGCATGTGTTTGTGGAGGACTTTCTATCAACTCTGAGCAGTAGATTAAGGGGAAATGGCTTGCATTTCTGTTATATATGAGGAAAATAATGAAAACTAGCCATGCTGTTAGCCCATTCACCAAGGATTGAACCTAGCTCAAATTTCCCAGCATTCAGCGGTCTTAACCCTTTCCGACATGCTACCTTTTAAAGTCTGAGTTTTAATTTAAAAAAAGATAGGCAGTCTAATTAGGCCTAAAGGAGTACACAAGTAAAATTTTGTGAAGCTAGCACGTATCGTTTTAATTCTGTGGGTGTGCCCAAAGTGGCACACTGATTGAATAGAGCTTCAAAAAGAGTGCTGGAACGAGCATTGTTGTCAATGAACTGACCGATGAGATGTGGAGAAACAAAGAATACAGACTCTCAGTTATCCTAGATTATCGATGAGCCCGGTCTGGGCACACCTAGGTTTCGCCGTTGCATTTTAGGCAAGATTTCAAACTAAAAATTGGCTAATCTTTGGAATATGATAACAGGTAGTTTGGCGACATTTTAGGTTTAAAGGCGATAAAGGTTACTAGCTAGGACTTTAGCAGTGTACATGGATATAGTCAAGAGTGTGCGCAATGCCATTTTTGTGCAATTCTAGGATGTTTTTTTAAGCGAAAATAGGTCGACGTGTGCATGGATACCGTGTATGTGCAATTCTTAAAAACGCGGCAAGCAGTTTGCGATTCTGGACTTTCTCCCAATTTCGCACCTAATCTTCGTCATGATTAAGCACTTTTGTTCCATAAAAGTTCTAGCATAAGCGTAATTTGGCTAGCAGATTGTTGGGAAAAAAAGGTTGAGTTAAAAAAAAAGCACCTTTACTTCGTGAAAACAAAATGGCGTCCAAACAAAAACTAGCAGGTTGCTGTAGCAGGGTTGGTCGCCAAATTTTCAACACAAAATCGCCAAGTTACCATAATCCAAAGATTAACCTAAAAATTTAAAACTACTACAGAATAAGGAGATTAGTATACAGCTAAAAAATAACATCAAATTTTCTTTTCAAACAATTCCTTTTATACCCTAAAAAAAAAAAAAAAAATCTGGAAGATTTCTTTGAAAAATGAGGGTCTTAAAAAACTAAAGATGTCTAAAGTATATGGACTGGTTTGTGTTGAGCTGCCATCTACTATAAATAAAGAAGGTTCAGAGTAACTTATAAATCCTTTTTCATTCAATTTTTCTGTATGTACAGAAGGAAATTTTTAGGTGTGTCCAAACCGGACACACTGTGCCACAAAGGGTTAAACGCTCAGCCACTGGTGAGGTTGTTCAAGGAAAGAAAAATGGACAAATGATACACAAAGAAATTCGAATCTAATGTGACACCTATGAACTTAAATTACATCTGAAGCCATGTTTTAAAATTCATTCCACATAGTACAATGCTAAGAGAGAATAATATGTATAAGAGAATAATAAGATGCTAATGATGTAAAAGATTACCTTTTCATGTATATTCATTTTAAAATAATAATTCATGGCTTATAACATGTGAAGAACATAATTTTTAAGACAAAATAGTCTAAATCTAGCAATAGAAGGTTAATAGGCAAACAAGAAATTACTATTATAATTAAAGATGGTAACTAACGTGCATGAAAAATTTACAATAAATATATTTCTTTTAACTTTTTAAAAGGTGAAATTAAATCACGTCTGTTACCTAACGACTGTAGTTCCTTAATCAGACCAAACTTCCTAAATGCATCAGGGGCCTGGTCAACTCCTTGCTTTGGCTATAAAATAATTAATTTTAGCTACAAAATATAATACTTTAGAAAATTCAAATTTTCTTTTCAATTTGTAGGCCATGACTAATAATGCAGAATGACCCTAAAAATAGTTTATTTTGTTGGTATAAAGATGTCTACAATTTAATTTAGCGTACAGGTTTCCTTTTACCATAATTTTAAAATTTAAAAAGGAGGGAAAAATATTGCATAAATATTACTCCTTTTATTTGAATATCATTCTTAATAAATTTAAACAATAAGAAAATATGCCAAATCTTGCTTAATTATACAACAGAAAAACAAACTTGCATATTAAAAATATTGGTTTACACATTAATGATTAAACTAATTAAGTCTATAAGAGTTTAAAATAATAAAGCTGCAAACATATCCATATTTTCAAAATTTACTGACCTAATCTTTAAGTAAAACATTAGGCTGAAGTGAAGTTATCTGAATCATAGCATCAGATTTCTACATTCATCTTAAGCTGGAAAATTATAATTTTGATATTCTACAATGCAACATTTGACTTTCTAATATATTTAACAAACATGGCAAATTTCATTATTAGTTTACCATCCTTTAATAAGTATGGTAGATTTTACTATTTAGTATGCTTAGTTGTTTAGTGAGAATCGCATATGTTCCTAAAATCATCTTTAAGTTTACTCTCTATTCAAAGATTCTTCAATAAAAAAAAAGTTAAATTTTTTTTTGGCTGCTATTAACTCTTTTTTGGTTATTATTTTCATCTTATAAATTATCTACTTTACAGTTTGACTTAATTTCATAAGGTTTTTTAAACACTTTGCATTGACATTTTGCAGTAAAAAAGAGAATTTATTTACTCAAACTCCAATTTTAAATGTTGCATTTTTTGCTTTAATTCAGGTTTCATTATTTTAATCCAAATTATGTGAACCATTGAAACTTTAGTTTAAATATTCAATATAAAATTGACAATGCTCAACATCTCTATCTCTTTAAAAAGTCTTTTATCAATTTCCTTAATTATTTGAGATTTCATTCACTTCAGTGCTATAACTTCATCACATGTTAAGCAATGATAAAATTTATTGCTTCATTTTGTCAATACTCAGAGAAATGTCAGTGAATGAATAAAATTCCCGTAATTAAAAATTGCATAGTAAGAGCTTGAAATATATATTGCATCACTCAGATAAATTTTATGCACATGTGCATTATAATTAATTACTAACAAATTTAAAATTATACATGTGTAATTACAAAGCATAGATAAATAGAAATAAATAGAAACATAATAAATTTACTCATCGTGTTTTCAAGTTATTGACTTAAAATAAATGAGAAATCATTACTTACACCAAATTAAATCCAGAAATATAAATGAAGATATGAACTAAATTGTAGCAATGCTATCGAATATTCATTCAAGTTCATTTAATTATTAATTCTTCATTCAATGAATTTATTGGCTTTGAAATTCACAAATAATAGGAGATAAAGTAATATTACGAGAGGAATAAATTTCAAAATCAATATTATATTCTTGAAATTCAGGATAAATTCATTTAAAAAATTTTAAATATAACCTCACGAAATAAGAAATTACGTATAAACCCTTTTGGGATAAAATATGACACCTACTTGTCCTTTGCTAAAAGGTGCACCTAAAATACCTACAGATATACTTCGAAAACATATTTTTATTTTTTGAGTATATATAAGATTCTGACAGAATAAACGAGCAAACATTTTTTACCAAGCGCACTGCACAGCAAGAAATGTAAAATTTTAAGAAAGTATGAACATTACCAGAGTATTTAATCATAAGAAAATCTGAAGTGCTTGAGCAATTTTTCATGACAGATGTAGCAACCAGAGCTCAGAAATCAATCGTTGATCTCATTTGTTTACTGAATTTGCCGCACTGATTATTTCAAGAAAAGTTAAGAGAGAAGGCTTCTTCTTGGAGCCGAGTGTTTCTTCATCACTCGGAGAAAAGAAAAATTAGCACGAAGTAAAAGTATTTTCCACTCCAATGGTTTTATTTTGACAAACTTGAGATAATAAATTACGCAGTATAAATATTTACATGAAAATCATAATTAAGTTCCATCTGTGAAATAAATCTTAAATACCCCACTTTTTTAAAGTTCATTTTTGATTAATGCCAATTGGCAACAAAGATTTGTGCGGGAATCGTGTGTTTATTCGGCTTTCTTAATCCCTGATTGATACATGTGTTTTTCTCTCTCTCTAAAATTAATTCCATTGATTGAGAATTGCTTTGAGTTGCTATTATGGATAACGATTTGCCATACATTGTTGAATATTCGAAAAGCAGTAGAGCATCATGTAAAGTTTGCAAGAATAAAATTGAGAAGGATTGTCTACGCATGGGAATAATGGTTCAGGTATAATTTCCTTTTTTTAAGCTAAAATAATTTAATTTTTCGTTATGGAACTGCTGTTTATAATATTTTGAGTTTTCCAAAGCAAAGGTGATCAAAGATGTGAATAATTTATTGATCGAGAAAAATACCATTTGAAAACACATTTTAAAATATATTTTTTATCTCTTTTTCAGAACAATAAATATATGATTATTGTAAAGAATTCTACTATATGGCGAACTTTTCACGAGATCGTTCAGCCTGTGAAGTGTACTTTCGCGTAATCCTTTGTAATTACCTCATCTTGTTTAGTCATGCTCTATATCACTTTCTGCGATTACAAAATAATCCCCAAAGCTAATCCTACCTTAAATTAATTGATGTCTAACTTTATTTGACATTTCATTTCAAAAATATAATTTTCACTTAAAAGTCGTTAACATGTATAAATCTATACAATTTAAAATTCGTAGATTTATAAGGAAGAGTAATCAATGATTTTTCATTTGTATTGCCAGTTCTATGTTTGTAACAGGCAAATGCTGTGAAAGATTCTAATTTTTTTTTAATAACTAGTAATTTACTTTTTATAGAATTTATGACTTAATTCTCACTTTAGGGAAATTCTTGTGATTTTCCTTTCCCTGTTTTTTGTAGACAAGATCATCAGAAGAAAAATGGTTCCGATATTTTAAAAAAAGTCTTTCTAAAACTGTTGCTTGTAGGAAAATGCCGAAAATTTTTATTATTGTTTCGTGTAATTTAAACATGATATTTTTTAATTTAGAAAGAATATGAATTAAACAGCTTGAAAGGAATTTCATATTTTAAAATTAACTTTAACAAGTGTTATTATAAAAAAAATTTAATGAAGCTATACGATAATATATTAAGGAAAGATATTATAATGGTAATAATGGAAATGAAGCTTTATTGAAGAAATTTTTTGAATAAACTTTTTAAAATGCTAAAAGAAATTTAACTGATGATTGTTTGTATTCCTTTTATTAAAATAAGATGAATGAGCTAAAAAGAAGTCAGATTGCTTTTAATTAAAGTAAGATATGAATAAAAATTGACAGATGATAATTTAAGTTAGTGTTCATAATGTAGACGATAAGAGGCAAAGTTTCTAGAAAAGAAATTGTTTAGAGTCTGTATTAAATCAAAATTAAAATTGTAGTCATTAAATAGGTTATCTGGAAGAAAAAAAAGGGGGGATAAAAAAATATAAGGACAATATATTTGTGGAAATGTATTTTTAATACTGCTTACCAGATATTTATGAAGAAATATCCCAAGATGTGCATTAGCTGCATTATATCTTTAACAGTCTGCTAACTAGAAGAACAAGAAAATTAACTTTAAAGATTATTTTCGTGCATTAATAAAATTGTTTATGAATGAGATTAGAATAAAACTCTGTTTAAGTTTGTTTTACTTTTTATGACAAGTTCTGAATATTATTTCCTCGTGCAAATAACACATTTCAGAAATATTTGTTTAGATTTATATGAAAAAATTCATTATATTTTCCTTTTTATGGATTAGTTGAACATTGGAAAATGTGCTACAGTCATCTGCCTTTTATAGGAAACTTTCTAAATGGAATTCATTGTGTTATAGTGATATAGAGCTCGTGCAGAATTCCCATTCACCAAGAAACCAAATCTGATAAATATCAGCATTCTGCTATGTACTATATATATCTGCATGTTCTTTTTATCGTGTATAATACTATATTAGCATTCTGCTATCTACTTTCTCAAGAATGCTGTATATTTAAAAAGACTGATGTAATACATTGTGCATTATCTGTTGGTGTTTTTATTTGCATGTAAAAATTTGTTGTATTATATTTCCCATGTTCATTTTTCCTTAATTGATGTCTTTCGTATATTACAGTGGCTCATATTTGTTTTTGGACATTTGTGTTTTTCAGTTTTATTTGCAAACATCACTTCGTAATATTAGGGAAATGACTTCTTTTTCTTTCATATGTACTACTGATCATCTTTTTAAAGACTGCTTATTTTCAAAAATGCATTTTGGCCTAAAATGTTTTTTTTTTAATTTAAAAAGTTCTGAAAATGTATTTGGACACTTTGAATCACAGTTTACATTTAATAAAAATATGAAAATAATGGGACAGCCAATACTTTGTTAGGAATTTTATTTAAATAATTTAGTATTTATTAATAAGTTAGAAATTTGAGTTAAAGAACATCCTTTAACTAAAATTGCATTTTTCATGTGCTTTCATGGATTTAGAGTTAAAGAACATCCTTTAACTAAAATTACATTTTTCATGTGCTTTCATGGATTTAAGTAATTGTTTCAGGTAAGGCAAGATTCTAATAAGTTATAAATTTTAGTTAAGGAACATCCTTTAACTAAAATTACATTTTTCATATGCTTTCATGGATTTAAGTAATTGTTTCAGGTAAGGCAAGATTCTATCTGAATTTCAGTTATTTAGTTGGTTGGTTCTCCAGTAAAAATACATGAGAAAAAGATAAGTAATCAAAGTAATAGGCAATTCCCTTAAGTAATCAATCAAAACAAGAAATCCATTTACATCCTATGTTTGAAGTCTAGATTCAGCATATGCATTATTTCAACCCTATTGTCAGTAATTTGTTCCAATATATTATGTGAAAACATGTTGTATTTCTGTCTTTCTTTTTTATATTCTACAATATAAACTAAAAAATGCATTTCAGCCAAATCTGAAAAATAACCAAGGAAAATTATGTTTACACATTCATTGAGTTGATCGCAATATCTCCCACCTTTTGATTTATGGTGGGTAGAATGGAAATCAAAGTATACTTAAAACAAGGAGACTAAACAGTAAAAACTGATTAAAATGCAAAGGTTTTACTAGTGTCCTACCACCTCTAATTTTAATTAGCTTATCAGGGACCTTAAAGTTAATGTGACTAGCATGAATATTAAATTGGGTTAAAATTTACTCTAGAGTACCCTTTGGCAAATCATCTTTTTTTGCCAGGAAGGATTGGCACCAATTTCAAGGTGGTGCCGATCCTTCCGCCCACTACATAAAACCAAAACAATAAGTCTTACACTAACTCGATGTCCATGTATGCATTAACCTATTTGAACTTTAAAAAAAAAAAAAAAAAATTAGAGAATTGCACAAACTAGGCATTGCACACTGCCTTAACTTTGTCCATGTACACATCGATCTGTTTTTACTGAACCCTTTGCATCCTCATATGTTCTGTTCAGATCGGTGCTATAAATGTTGTAACTGGTTTAAGCCAAGCTTCATTGCTAGATAACCAGATCTTGATCTTAGATAATAATTTATTACCAGATCTTAGATATGATACTGATATGTCGTATAATTTAGGTGTGTCTAATTCAGTTTTTCTTAAGTAAAAATTTTTACAAAAAGGTTTAAAGTTCCCATATTTAGAATTAAATTAGTAATTCATACCTGCTACCTGCTGAATCTTTATTGTAAACATGCAATAGTTGTAGCATAATTTTCATATGTCGGTGGACGATAACTATCGATAATATTGCAAGCTCTAGGGTCTTCAGACATTGTATTAAATATTGAAATTTATCTTTTGAAATATTTTCATCATGTACTCTTTTTCAGTTCACTCCAAAGAGCAAGCCAATCTGATTTCTCCATTATTCGATCTTCAGCAACTTTAGCTTTTATTTTTGAGGAGGTGAAGAACTAGCGGAACTTCCGGTTTTAAAAACTGGAATGTATTTAAACTCCCACTTCTGCTTTTACAAAATGTTCATTATATTCTTCCTTTATCATTTTGATATTTTCATCAGCTTCATCGTCTAATAACTAAGAAGAGCTTATTTCGTGATTTCTATCAGATAGCTGAAAATAAATTTTTCATAAATTAGCAACATTTAGATCTAATGTTGCTAATTTATATAGCAACATTAGCATTGTTGCTACTGTTGATATATTGCTAGTTGTGCAATGAAGCATTATTGCTAATATGATAATATTATGGAGCCATTCAAAATACTAAAGTGCTTCTTAAAATTAGCTCTTATAGGTGAGTTTTTTAAGAAAACAATTCTATTTTCAGAATTCTGGATCTGACGTACCTTTTAAATGATCACATCTGGGTCATTATGTTACGAGACTATATCTTAATTTTATTCATTCAGTCTAATTTTCAGTAAAAATACATAAAAAAAGGGCAAACTAATCAAAATAGGTAGGCAGCCCACCTAATTAGTTGAATAAAATGGGCTGTCCACCTTAGTATGAAAGCATGCCTCAGTCTTTCTTAACGTCTTGAAAAATAACTTTAAGGAAAATTACATATACAGAGCCGTTAAGTTGCTCGCAACAAATGTTCCACTCCTCTGTAAGAATTGAAGGGCTTGCAGCAAGAAGGGCCCAGCTCCATATTTTTTAATTTTCAGAAAATTAAAAAAAAATCATTTTAATTCTTTAGAACTGTTTTATACTCACAAAATAAGGAAAACTCATTTTTAAAACATCTCAAAAATCTTTTTTTTGCTATCTGTTAATTATTTTCTAATAATGTCTTCATATTTGGTTTTTTTTTTTCACAATTTGATATGTGAAAAATGGAAGATTCAAATTTACAAAGTGATGAACTGTTTTGTTTTCGTTTTTGGTCATTCCTTCTATTTTATTTATTAATCTTGTCAACATCGAATGCATGGAAGTATTTTTCTTCTTCAGTTTCAATAATTCAATAAAAGTTTGCTTTCATGGATTCAATGTATCATATCTGATTCCAATGGCCGATGTAACAAAATGTTTTCTATACAGCCGTCCAGATGGTATATTGGTTAGGGGAGCCTGACTGTGATACCGAAGCGCCTGAGTTTGAATCCCGGAGAAGATGTGGATGTAAAATTGTCTGTCCCTTCATAGGAGGTAGCGATGGCTACCTATTAGGTGCCTCTACAATAAAATGGCCACCGCCTCTGGCCAATGCCCTTATAGGCAAGTGCCCGCCATTGGGGGAAAAAAAATTGTTTTTTTGTACAGATTCGAATCATCAGTTAAGTGGCTCAGTAGTCATTGTGTCAAATTTTCAAGTTTATTCACGAACAATAATAAAATTAATTTAATTAATAATCAACGTATCACAATCTGATGATCTGAATGCTTCTGTCCTCTGTCATGTCCCAAATCAGTCTGTGCAAACACGCACAATAGCACCGTCTCGCAGGAAGTGGAGTTATCTACAAGGTATGCAATGCTTCAGACCAGTTGCTGACAAACATGAGACGTAAGGTATGCAATATTTTGTGCACTTTTATGATAAATGCGAACTTTGGAATCTCATCAGTTTATTGGACCAGATGACACATATTTGGGTTAGCCTGTATTTTAGGGCGCCCCTTCGATTACTGACAAGTTATTGTTTCATTTATGGTAAGCTGAGTAGTTGAACGTTATGGAAACCCTATTATGACGGCATTGGTTGCGTGATTGCGGTGAATATGTCTGATGGGAAAATATTTAGAACGGTTTATTTCTGCATTACATATTATGTGCTTTGCACTGTAAAATGGTGGCCGGCGGTAAACTGGGTATTTGGTGATATAAAACGAGAGAGCGGAAGGTGATTTTTTTAAGTGATTGAGGACAGAAGAAAAGAAACTTTGTTGGATGTATTTCAATGGAATTATAAGTGTTTTGTTTGTATAAAGGAAATGCATGTGGTCGAACATAAAGATTGTTCAGGTGCCTTTCAATGGGTTTGTCACAAGAAAGGTTAAAATGCTTACCATATTAAAAAGGGAACATAGTTTGAGGAAAGTTTTGGGATGCTGTTAAGGAATTTTATGTGCCACAGACTGAAGACACAGAAACTTCTATTTAGAAGTAAGGTAAATGGATATTTCCTTTGTGCAGTGTGTAGGTGCGATAGTAGTGCATAGTGCTTTTTTATGTTATTTCATTGTTTGATTTAAAATGCAGTTTATTGGGATTATATATTTTTGTTTGGCTCTAGTGTAGTAAGAAGTACCTGCTGTAAAATCCTTACTTACTGTCAGTGTGGAACCTTGCATATCAGTTGCTGGTCTGGGACCACATTTTGCTCTATTTACACTGGTTTCTTTGCTTTTGACTTTTAATTTGTACTGCTAATTCACTCATGCCATAGTACTATGTGATATGCTCAGCAGTTTGATGTTATTGACTTCAAGCATCTGGACTTATGAGTATCAACAGTTTGTTCACAAGTATACTTACTTATTTCTTACTTATTACATGATAAAAGTTTTAGCATACCCATCAAAACTGTGATATTTGCACTCTGGGGCATAAACAGCTAGTAGCTTTTAAGTCATTGGTCCCTGTTGGGCTCATTTATATGGTCACTTTCCAGATGCATTTAGTAATATGTCTTTTCATTGTGCTGGTAGATATATATACATACACACTGCAGAGAAATTAGGTATTTTTTTTTAAAGCAGAAAAGATGAAAAATTAGCACTGCCTTTCTCCGGGAATCGAACCGTCGACCTCTCAAATGTGCTGAGAGTGAAGACCACTACATCACGAAGGCTCGTTAAGAAGGCGGAAGAATTACCTTATATACTCCCCCTTTTAAAGAACGACTGGGGTTTTTAAGGGTCCCAATCACCAAATCCTGGGTGAGGAGAATCATCATCCAACACTCTTTTAGTTTGGGGGCCACTGTAGACATTTTTGGAAGCAAGAAAGATAAAAAATTAGCAACACCTTTTCTCCGGGAATTGAACCGTGAACTTCTCAAATGTACTGAGTGTGCAGACTACACCATGAAGGCTCGTTAAGAAGGCGGGAGAAATATAACACCAGTTAAAAGAATACACACACCGGCCTACAGTACATTGCTTAACTTCTATTGTTTCATGTTCGTCTTTTCTGTAGTGCTGTCAGTGATAAATTTCTTTTTATGGATGACAACGGACTATGTCATCAAGTACTCTCTGTTCAGGATTGCATAGATTGCTAGAATATTTAGTGCCTTATATGGTAGGTACATTTTTCTGATCTAAAACGCTTTGAAAATGTTTAAGGTGTGCTGGGAAGGCAACTTGCTGGTCAAAAATATCCTTTAACTCATCCGTTCACTGACAGAGGAGTAGGACATTTGCAACACTGTCTGCTGTATAATGTTGGGCAAAGTAGGACATGGCATGTAGAAATTGGCATTGCACTCCACAGTGGATGTATCCCTTGCTGATAATCTTTCTTAAGGATGTCTGCTGTTGTTTATATGCGCTGCTCAGCTGGTATACTGATTAGTGTTGAACCTATATCCATACTGATGGGTATGGGTTAAAATCCTGGTGAAAACATGGGTGTTTGTAAGCATAATGAATAAATGTTATAAAATAAATATTATAATAATAATATAATAAATAGTATTATAATAAATAAATGTTCTGAAATTGTAGTTTCTATTGCATTCCTACATTTCATGTTTTTCCCCCTTTTTCTTATTCTTATTCAATTTTCAGTCTGCTCATTTTGATGGAAAAGTTCCTCTCTGGCATCATTCTAGCTGTTTTTTCAAGAAGAAAAAAATAAAAACAACTGCTGATATTGCCAATTTTAATAATATACGGTGGGAAGATCAAAAAACAATTAAAGATCACGTGGGTAAGTCAACTGCTAAACTTTTCAGAACTGATTGAATGTAAAATTATTATTACTATTTGGAAGTTATCAAACCTTTTGTTTTGTAGAGCAAATGTTACATACAGCAGCAATTTTCAGTTATCAAAATAAATTTTTAAAAACATTAAATGATGACTTATAAAACTTTATGAGGTACATGTATTAATTAGCTAAAATATTAGGACCTAAATATAGTTTGAAATATCATTCTATTCATGGACAAGCTTTCTTTGTTTAATTCACATTAATCACATGAATGTGTTATGGTTAAAATTTATAAAAATATTTTTGATACTTCCTTATTATTACAGCCTCCATTTTTTAGATGCAGGATTATTGTGAAGTTCATGTTTACGTTTTACATACACTTTATGACTCGCATGTCTTGAAGGTTGCTTTTCATATGGCATCAGAAATATTTTCTCATCCCAAGAACTTTTGCCACATGAACTTCGTTAGATAAGACTCGTAATGTTGGCGAACCATGCTTCATTGATTTTTATTCTGCCACTTAGCAGAGCTCTAATCTTTTAACATTTTTATGCAAGAGCACTTATTATTAAATCATCAAAATAAAATTTGTAGTGCAGTAAAATATCTAACTTCTTTTTCCCAGGTACTGTGTTTTATATGTTTGCTGACAGTCTAAATAAATCATCAAACCCTCTTAGTTCAGAATCTGAGGGAGAAAGATCCATCAATTTCTCATATGAACATTCTTCTGTGTAAGTCTACATTTTTTCCAGGACCCTATTTACTTTATTTGATTGTCAGATTAAATGTAGAGAGTATCTTTTTTAAAACTCTCAAAGGCCAAGTTGCTCCTCCCACCACATTAACATCAATTCCTCTGCTCAATAATAAATAAATAACTTTGCTGTTATGAACAGTATTCTGAAACCACTGAACCAATTGTTAAAACATATTTTTTTTTCCCTTTATCTAACAAATTTTTTGGCCCTTGAATTCTTTTATTGATATGTAGTTTTATTTAATTTCACATATTTACAATATTTCACTATTTTCACATATTTAAATACATCTTTCTTGAAAGAAACATCTGGCATCATTCTCACTTCTCAGTAAGTCACATATTTTAATTAAAGGAAAATATGTCAACACACGTGAGCTTTGTAATGATGAGAGAATTAAAAATGATCATGAAATGTTAACATTTATATGACAAACAAAAACATAATATATGGTTTACTCAGAGCTATTCCTGTCATTAGCAATAAATGATTGTGTTAGGAGTGCTGGCCATTTGATGATAGTTTCTATTGCCGATTTGGTGGGACTGTAATGTTAAGAAAGTACTACATTTCTTTAGGCTATGGAAATATTTTTATTATGTAAGAACACTAAAAAATTTTTACATGAATATGCCTATAATTCCAGGAACCTGGCCCGTTCTTTTTTTTTGTAAATTGATCGCGATCAGTGAAGTATTAAGTTTTCTCTTTTACTGTTTTTTAGGTATATTATTTATTTTTCATACCATTTATATACCGTAATTTCGCACGTATAGTCCGCAGACACGATTTTATATAAAAATAATTTCAAAAATCGTCAGATAGTCTGCACCACCGGATAGTCCGCGGACTATACGTCCGAAATTACGTTTTTTTAATACGGCATTATTCCCATGCTTTTTAAACACATCCTTTTGTTTGCGCCAATTTCTCACCGCTTTCTCGTCCACTTCAAAATAACGGAGTAAAATCCTAGTATACGGTGCAGCCTTGGCGCGACTTTGAAAATTATCGCCAACACCAAAAATGATCCAAAGAACGTCTATATATATATACTACACACTGTATACTGTGTGTGTATATACACATAGTATATATACTATTATACATAGTATATATACTATTATACATAGTATATACTATGTTTATCTATGTATTTTCTTTGAAAGATCCGTTAACTACTCATCGTATATATCCCGTTTTCACTGCTCATCATAAAGTCGCCAAAAGTAGTCAAATCCCGTGTGCACCGGATACTAAGATTAAACCAATAACGGCCCGCTTCTCTATTTCCATCTTTTTCAACTTTCTCAACTACCTTGAGTTTAACTCAGCAGTAAAACTCCGGCGATGTTTCATCAACGTTATCGAAGGTGAAAGACAAAATACGAAAACAAAATTCTGTGCAATGTGCTATCCTCGTGATAAGTGGTAATGAAATGTGACCTTCGACCAAAGATATATATGTACATATTCTTTGCTTCGACCCCACTCACTCGGTGTTGCCAAACCACACTAGAAGTAAACGAATCACGCTTTGTTTTTCGTACGCCAGGTACTTGCTACTATGGCTCCTAAAACAGCTGACGCATCAACTACTTTTCCCCCTCCCGGCAGTTGCACTAAAGCAGTGCGAAGGACACTGTGATACAAGACTGGTTGCGCTAAGTGAGTGCTCATACAAGACTTTGATTGGAGCTCTCTCCTTGAGCTCTACTTGCTACTACTCATTCGTTCTGCACTATGCTCGATGGTTTACCATCGATACGATACATACGAATGTTTTCTTGGAATCTCGCGCTTTTTTTGTATTTGATCATCGGCAGTTCATGACAGCGTGTTTTTAAATTTCAACGATTTTAACCGTGAACAACCAGCGTATTATCCGCACTGGTGGATAGTCCGCAGCTTCAAAAATTCACATTTTAAACACAGATAGATCGCGGACTATACGCGTGAAATTACGGTACTTGCATTTTATAACTTCATAAATGTTAAACAATTGATTACAATATAGATATTACAAAGGAAAGAAGGTGTTGCAAATTTGAAAGTGTAAAATCAGTTCTTGGGTAATTGAAATATTTTGAGCAGTGAACGAGTTTTATATTTTTTCACTGTCTTTGCTAGAAGGCTGTTGAATTAGGATAATTTATCTTAATTTATCTTTCATTTTAACCATTAGATGTGGGATAATTATATATATATATTAATTTTTACAGCATTAGTCAGAGCTATCAAATTAGGGTTTTGCTAGATTTTAATTAAAATATTAGCTGATCTTTCAGATTTCTGTACTGTTAACAATTATAGAAATGTCACATTCTTCAATATAGGCCAGCTTTTTTTAGTCATTTTGGGCATTAAATTGTATGAAAAATATTTTAATTAACATAATATGTGATAGCTAATTCACAATAACTTCAATGATTTTTGTAGTTACCACATTAAATAGTATAATGTAACAGAATAAACAGTAAAAGTTAAAAATTTTAAAACATGAATGCCTTACTGACCATATACTGTAAAATATGTCCCAGCCATATGGCATCAGAAATATGTCTGCAGATAAGTGCTCATATGTATGTAGACAGGTGTTGTGACATATTTCACAGTATAAGTACCATATACTATGAAATATGTCTCAGCACCTGTCTACTTAAATTTATGGGCTTATAACAATATGCCCTATGTTATGAGTGCAGTATGAGGTTTGTAAAAGATATTTATATTTTAGATTTAAAATAAAAGCATCCTCAAAGAGGAAGAAGGTAATTAATAAATAAAAAATGGTCACTTTTCTCTTATCAGGACACAAATCATAATAAGCTTGTTTGTTAAAATTTATTAGAGGATTATATTTTTTATTATATTTTGTATAAAATGACTAAATATTATTCTATTCTACTGTTAAATTCATGAATTATAATTTTTATTCTTTGTTGTTTTATTTGCTGTTTCGTTTTGTCCGCTGTAAGTATTTTATTATTCTTTCATATATCCATCTCATAGTGACTTAAACATCATGTACAATTTAGTTGTACCCTAATAATTATCACTATTTTTCGATTTTTAGCTTGTTATAAAATGGCAAATTTTGGTACATATAAAAGGTCCGTTTTGTCATTTAAAAAAATAATAATTTAAGCTGTATATTTTTTCAGAGGGAAGTGGCACTACCAATAATAAAGCTGCTTCAAAAGGAATTAAGGAAGCTTCTGATTTTTTAATTGAATATGCAAAATCAAGTCGCAGTTCTTGTAGGGAATGCAGTGAAAAAATTCAGAAGGTCAGTTATTGTTTTTTTATCATCTAATTTTTGGTTGGAATTGTTTTATGCTAGATTCACTATTTGATACAGAAAACCGTTGCTGAAAGCTGGGCTATATTATTAACACACAGTGCATACACAAAATCACGTTCTGCAAAGTAACTTAATGTGGAAGAGATGGTTTAAGATTAAGAAAGTATGTATAATTTATACAAACTTGAATATTAATGTAATTAAAAGGGGAAAATGAAACAAGTGATAATTTAAAAGATTTGTATTACTCCTTGATAAGTAGAATATTTTTTTAAAAAAATAGTTGGTGATCTTTGCATGGGGTTATGTTTAACGCAACTCATTAAATGTTTTGCAGTACGAAGTGCAAAATTTTTCAATATCTCTGATAAAATATCATACTCTTTCATCATTTTGTTCAATTTCGATTAAAAAATTAGACAGTTCCTATGCTTTTTTACAATTTGTTAAATTTTTTGTGCATTAAAACTCTCTTTATCTTCTTCACTGTTGCTGCTTTCGTGATCTACTGGTATTGTAAGATCATCCAATTTTTCATTTGTCATTTCATGATTGTTATTCTTTGATTTCTCCTTTTTTTCATATCTGAAGATCCTTTGCAGAAAACCGCTGACAACTTGTGGCCAATGCTGATGCCAGCAAGCATTGATAGTTGATGAATTCACTTGTTCCTATGTGAGTTTAACCCCTTAACTGCCGCGGAAAACGTACAAGATTCATTTCCCAGTGCTACTGTTTTTCAAACAGGTGCGTGTAGTTATGCGATGTATTAGGGGGAAAATAAGTGCAAGTTTTACTTTCTAAAAACTGTTTACTTTCACAAAATAAAGACTAAAAGAAAAAAATGAATGCACAAAATTTAATGTTTTGAGTAAAAGTATAATAAAAAGATTCCTAATTTACTGGTAAAGGAGCAGTAACTTGCACACCAGGAGGAGAATGAAATCGTTTGCACAGAATACATTTTCTTAAGATATTTTTAACAGTTTGTCTTCTTTTTATTATCCAGTATCTTTCGAGTATTTCTATTAAAGTTTCAGAAATTCCATCGTGAAACACTTTGCTGTGTGCATCCCACACTAATAAATTCACAAAGTGATGTTTTGTTTGCATAATAATTGGGTGTCTTTGAAGGTAAAAAAGACTTGACTTCTGAAGTCTTCCACCAAATGCATTATCCTATCCTTATAAAGAAAGGGATTCAGTTCTAGAATAGAGGAAGTCTTAGAAATTGTTTTACCCTGTCTCAAAGAGGACAGCTTTTCCGCAAAAGCTTCACTTTGAACAGTTTTTGTCCAGATAATTTCAGCCTCGTTAAGTTCTTCAGTGCTTAGTTCACCACATCGTTTAGTTTTAATTTTAAGGTTGTATATAAATCATAGTACCCAACTTGCAACACAATATAATTTTTTTAAACTACTATATCTATTCAAATCCATTAAATGTGTCAAATTCGATTGATTTTCGCACACAAAAGACGATACTTCTTTCAGTTTACTTCTTTTATCACAATATACTTCAGGAGAAATATCTGGACAAATTTCATAATTAGAGTCTTTTGGCCAATCCCTTTTTTTCCATCGAAGCCATTCTGGACCTTGCATCCGAATCGAACTGGATATAAACTTTTCCATGGTAGCTCCTCGAGATATGAAATTTGCAGGATTATCCTGCCCACTACAGTGATTCCAATCAGCAGGATCAGTTCTAGACTGGATTTCGGAATACACGGTTCGATACAAAAGGTTTCCATTTTGAAGCTTTTCCCTTTAATCCAATGAAGAGCGATTAAGGAATCTGTCCACATATATACCCTAAACACAGGAAATTAAAATTTTTTTTTTCAAATATTGAAAAAGTCTAGAAGCAAAAACAGCTCCCATAAGTTCAACCTCGGTAATGTCAACCTTTTAAGCAGTGCGATTTCGCAAAATACAATCATCACTTGACACGTACGCGACTGCTCCGAAAGCTTTAGGAGAAGCATCAGAAAATATATGTAGTTCTAATTTTTTCACCAACTTCCATGGTGTGGAGAAATATTTTCTTTCGATTGTCAAATCTTTCAACAGATAAATCTGGCACCAGTTATCCCATTTTTTCTTCAAGGCAGTTGATAGTTCATCATCCCATCCTAAACCAAGTTCCCATATTTCTTGCATTAAAAATTTTGAGAACAATAAAAGGTGATGCAATTCCCATAGGATCAAATAACTTTGAAGCTATCTGAAGTACACTATGTTTTGAATTCTTCCTATCACAGATTATGTCTAGTAGAGGTTTTACATCTAACTTAAAAGTATTTTTCTTCGGTGTTCCATACTATGCCTAAAACCTTCAAAGGACGTTCTTTAGTTTCTGTCACATCAGACAAACCTTATTCACTCCATAAATTTCTCAACTCATCTGAATTAATATTAAATTTTCTTAAATTCATGTTCGTATCTTAAAAAATTTTTACAGCACTCTGTGAAAGTTCTTTCTCTATTGTATTTGCTCTGTAAAAGGATCATCTACATAAAGTGTCAAGCATTTCACAAGTTTCGCTTTGTTCAAGTTTATATTTTCTAATGTGGTATTTAATAGTCGCATCAAGGATAAATGGGCTTGATGTCACTCCAAAGGGCACGCTAATCATTTATAAAATTTTGTAAGTTTTTGGATTCACTTTCATCTGGAAACCAGAAAAAACATAAATAGTCTCTATCCTCTTCTGCTATTCCTATGATCAAAAATGCTCCCTGGATATCACAGCTGAATGCATATTCATATTCGCGAAATTGCAAGATTACATCCAAAATTCTGGGATTCAACCGTGGCCCAGGATTCAGGCATTCATTAAGAGATTTGCACCCATAACTTTTTGACGATACATCAAAAACCAATCGGACTTTCATAGTGTCCCTATCCAATCTTACTACAGCTGAATGAGGCATATATTAAGAATTCTCTTCTAAGCCTGAAATATATTAAGAATTGAATAGCGTTGAAGGACTTTCTTCAATGCTATTCAATTTTAATTGATCCTTAACTATATTCATCATAAACCAAATCATTTTCTTTCATTTTTACACTTAAGTTATGAAATTTTTGTTTTGCTGCCGTGTAGTTGTTAGACAAGTTTTCTGGTTTACCGTCCCAGAATAATTTAGTTGTATACATTCCATTTTCATATTTTAAATTACTTTCGAATTGAGAAATAAATTCCTCATTAAATTTGAAATCTCAATTGTGAGTATCATTTATCTCCATCGAATCTAACTGCCAAAATCGCGTTAGTTTTTCATTTAATGTGGCACAACATTCAATTTTCATACTAGTAATATCCCGATTCGCATTTAAATCTGATTGGATTCGACCTTGAACAACCCTTCCAAATAGAGAATCAAATACAAAGATTTGTTTAATCGCTCTTTTTCTCCCGTATGAATATGCCAAAAATACTGCGCTTCAATAAGTAGAGACAATTTATTTCCTGATGATTTACTTAAGTTTGACAATTGAATGTTCTTCCTCGAAAGTATTTGCATTAATTTGTTATGTGATACTTTAAACTTCGATCCAGAAATACAGTCAGTCAAAAGTGCTTTAATCGTTATTTTCTCGTCCGAATCACATAAATTACAAAGTGTAAACCGAACTTTGTCATACGTTTTTTGTATTGGCCGAAAGTGTAAACAGCTAGACCCAAATCAAAATTATCTAAGTCTGTACTTTTAACAGTTTCTCTCTCTTTATCTTTTTCTAGAGGAAGAGAATTCAACATTTTCTTTACTTTCAGATTCTTTACGAACTCTGTTTATGCTGGCAATAGATTGTCTGTTTTATCTGGTCGGTCATCTTACTCGGTGTTGGCTGTGTAACTGGGATTGTCAGTCTTCTTAATTGTGATTCATCACAAACTTTAATCACGCTCTGCACTAATTGTTTAAAATTGATGCAGAAACACTAGAATTCATAGTAAAAATGAAGATTTGAAAGTAAAAGAAGGTTGGTAATAACGATGGTAAATGATTGTAAGAAAAACACTAAATGAACTCCGACCTCTGAGAGGAACAAATACTCGCACTTTTCACCCACACCCCTTCAATTAAACTGACCCATCTTGACACTCAGCCAAGCTACTCTCGCTAGTGTGGTTAGACACTATCTGGAAATATTATTTATTCAGAAATGTATAATTCATTGAATATAATGTAAAAAAATTATTTTTAAAAAATATACTATCATTTTAAATCATTTTTCCTTTTGATGCAGAATTATGAAAATTAAAATCATGGATGTATTTTAATAATCTGCTTTTGTGTGATTATCAGGGGGAAATTCGTATTGCAAAAATTGACAGTGAAAGCCCAGATGCTCAACGTTATGGACCTATACCAAGGTGGCACCATGCCGATTGTTTTGTAAAAGAAAGGCAGACGTTAGAGTTTACTGATGATGCTGAAACGTACGTAAAAAAAAAAAAAAAAAAAAAAAAAAAAAAAATTCTTTAAAGATGTATTGTCTTATTTAAAACTCTGCTGTTCTTTAAAGCTCTAGTATTTTTTATTAATTCTTCACAGGTTGCCTGGCTTCAATGCCCTTTCTGATGAAGATAAAGAAATAATTAAAGGAAAGTTACCACCTTTGGGAGTGTAAGTTATTAATTCTTTTCTTTTTTGGTGTATGTTTTGACTTATTTACAAACCTGATAATCCATAAGCTAAAAGGAAAAAAAAATTGGTGCAATTAATTTTTTTAGTATTTAATTTTTATGTTAAAAATAATAATGCCTTTTTTTAAACTGAATTAAAAAATGTTTTCATGCAGAGTTTGTCCGTAAAGTAATAAGACTTGGTCTGGGAAAGAGAATTTATTAATCTGATCATTACATATTGTTGAAATTCTTCAAAATAGTGTTCTTGGGTTAGGTTAGTGTTAATGCGGTTAACCAGTGTTAATGCGATTTCTATGCTTCCTGTAAGTCAGCTGCCATAACCTTTTTCAGAAACTGTGTGACAGTGACCTTTCAGGCTTCTCAAACTTTGGGAACAGGAAAAAGTTCTTCTGGGCTCACACCAGGGCTGTACGGTAGCAACCCCTATCCAGGCCAGGTAGGCAATCACAATGAAGGGTGTGTGGGCTGAAGCATTCTTGTGGTGGAGCTTCCAGCAATCTCTGGTCATTACTGTTTGATGGCTTTATGGAAGTGTTCAAGGATTTCTTTTTAGAAAACGGGATTGACAGTTTGTACCGTACAAATTCTTTGTGGACCACTCCACTTGTCAAAAAGGACAATGAAAATTGTCTTTACCTAGGACTTTGACACTATTGCTTTCTTGGAGTGTTGGAAGTTTGAGGCATGCCACGCAAAATTTGGCGCTTGGTTTCAAAATCATACTGGAATGCCTGTGATTTCATTGCCCATTATTACATTTTCTAAAAAGCCTGTTTCATTTCTAACTGCTCTATCATATCATGGGAAACATAAGCTTGACGTTGTTTTTTGTTTTCACTAACACTTTTGGCACCAATTTCATACAAACTTAAGCATTTTTGAATTTGCACAAATAATTTTGTGAACAGTTGTTTTTCACATGATGAGGTCTTCGGCGATTAATCTTATATTCAGATGACAGTTGGAGTCCAGGAGATTTTTTACTTTGTCCACATTTTCATCCAAACCACTCATTGGAGACAGTACCAATTGCTCCATGTCTTTAACGGTCTCCCATCCATTCTTGAACTAGCTGAACCACTTGAAAATCTGGGTTCTTGACAAAGCATCGTCTTTGCAAACCTTCGTAAAGATAAGTGTCTCAACAGTTTTGCCCAGGTGAAAGCAAGATTTAATCGTGTAGCACTGCTCCAGCAAATGCTCCATTTTTCTCAAAAGCAGATTTTGTGCTCAAACCCAAAACTCAAAAACAGCTTTTGTGCCATGCATGATCCTCACTGCGTCAATGCTTGGGTGCGACTGCCGCCCAGTATATTGTTTAGCTTAGAACCCCCAACCATCCCACTGCCAGGAACATGCTGCTGGTGTTTGGAGTGTCACATGGCGGCCAGTCTTTTACGTTATGGACAAACCCTGTATATTAAATAAATCTAAACAAATTTGAATTCATGCAGGAAACGGAAGAGTGAGACCAAATTACCTGTATCGGAAAAAAAATCAAAGAAAGCTGATAAGAAGGAAGATGAAGTTTTAAAAGTAGGTATATTTTGCTTTTGATTATTATGATTGGAAAAATTTTAAAAGAAGGAAATATTATGCATGTGCACAATACTATAAATACATTCCTGATTTGTATAAATAATTTATCTATATTAAATTATTAATACCTTCCTAATTATAAATACATTCCTGATTTTGTCTCGGAATATGATAATTAACCCTTTGCAGTCATATGTCCACTCTCAGGCGTCAAAGCCTTTTTACCATTCCGGTCGTATGTCTGCTCTCAGCCACCAAAGCCTTTTTACTGTTCCGGTCATATGTCTGCTCTCCGCCACCATAGCAAGGAACTATACGAATCACATACTGCATGCATTCATGTATCAGTTTACACTTTTCCTATACGAACATCAATGCCTAAAGAACCTATTCACGAACCAGTACGGTGCTATGTTGATTGGAGATAACGTAATCTAATCTAAACAAAAGTTGTGACCCATCGCTTGCCATGCAAGACGCAGTGGCGAGTCAGTCGTCTTTTGAACATAATGAAATCGACAACGTTTGACGATATCTTGTAGAATTCCAAAGAATATTTTATAAATTGTATTTAACAGTAATTAAACATTCTCTCTTCTTAAAATATTCCAAAATAATTCCCCAAAATCAGAAAGAGAACAGGACACCTATGCCCATTTTATGTTTGCCCTAAAATTGGTGCACAACTGGTAGGTGATTTTCGTGACAGAGCAGATTCAAACCAGAAGACCATCGACCTCCGATAAGGAAGAAAGACTTAATGGAAAACTGCATATATTGCGGCATTGTGAAAATGTGAAAAGTATGTGTATGTTCAAACAGAAAGATTAAGTGTGGAAGGCACCAAACCAATTATTTTTGCGATACATGCACTCGAAAACCTGACCTGCATGTTGGAGAGTGTTTTGAAAAATATCACACGAAGGAGAATTAGAAAACATAATTTTTATGCAAAAACATATCACCAAATTAGTGTATTGAATAAAGATATATTTAAAGTTCACAAAAAAATTACTAAATTTTGCTTATCCATCGTAAACTTGCGTGTTATGTATCCCTGCTCTATACCAGTACAATACCCTTCTCCAAATTTAATCCGACTGCAAAGGGTTAAATTGGAATACCCTGTAGTTGTAACAATCTGCTGTTACAACTACTGCCCTTCTTTTATGTGATAGCATAACAGTTCTTAAATAATGCTAAATGTATAATTCATTTGAAATAATGTAATTGTTTGATATTAAAATCATCTTAAATATAAAGTTGTAAAGTTTTTAAAAATGAATGTTTTAGATCTTGTAGTTTTTTCTTTGGTAAAAGTAAACTGATGTAAACATGTTTTAGTATTATGATTTCTATATTCCCTCAGAACACTGGGAAGTTTCCAAACCTTTAGTTGAAGGACTGGGGATTTTTTCTGTAAAATGATTAAAATTAAAGAAAGTAAAATTAAGTTTTCTACCTATTATAAGTTGTACTTTAATTCAGATATTGGAAAAAGTGTACATTAACAAATTTAATTTTCAATTCAAATATTTGCAGTTCACAAAGGTTTGAGACTTTCTTAAGGGACTCTATGTCACTTTTTATACCCTTCTAGTACTAAGAAAACAGCTTATTTTATATAAGTTTCTATATATACTTAAGAATGATACTCCAGATTTTCCTGATGCTGCCAAACCTTTTATTGTTTTCCCAAGTTTGTTTAATAGATTCATGCTTTGTTTAATATGGAACTTACAAGCATAATATTTTTTGATTATATTTTCATATATTGTAGTGACTTAAGATATTGTTCTTAAAGCTAGCAGAACAAGAATTAAAAATTTTATTTTACAGCAGCAAATTTGATAGTATTATTCTTGATTTGAGGTGTTTGAAGTTTTAATACCTCAATATCACATTTCTGAAAATTAATGTTTCTCAGAATTTAATGCAACAAGAGCAAAATTTTTGTGAAATTTAATACTTTGATGAGACTAAATACAATTTAAATTTAAGTGATTGAAAGGCATGTACAACTTTAAAATGATATTTGTAGTTAAATAAAGGATAAATTCTTTCTTTCTGCTGTTTCTAAAAACAAAACATAAACTTTTCATCTGATGTTTCCTTACTCAGAGTTATTTTAGTAATTCTTTATGATTTATTAAGGATTTGAGTGCAAAAATTTCAGGATTGTGCACATGATTAATCTAAAAATGTGGTATCTTCGTCAAAACAAACATACATGTTTTGTGCATTTATATTAGTTTTTAAATAAATCATTATATATGTCAGAAAATTAAATTACTATGCAAAATAATATTTCAGTATAAAATTTAATTCAGTGTTTATGGTAGTGTTAATTAAATGGGAATGCTAATCACTAAAAATTTCTTTGTAACCATACTATCATAAGTCCTAAGCTCCCCCCCCTCTATTAACTTATTTTTTCGATTTCATTAATATTTTTGTCGATACATGGCACTACCTTCTCATTGGTTTTATTGTGGAGTATAAATATGACCATTGCGCCCACTGCTTTCCACTGCTTGCAGATTTCTTTGCTCCTGACGAAGAGAGACCTGTACTTGTTTGCCCTCAAAATTGATTGAGATCTTGTACATAAATCTATGCTAAACTCAAGGTTGTGGTTACTAATTTTACATTTACATATATATCTGTATATGTTCATTTTTTAACATTATTTTAAAATGTTAAATTGTAACCAAACCAGCAAATTTTTTGAATTTATAAATCATAAACAAGAGTAATTTTTGAATAAAAATTGTAGAAAGAGATTCAATTTTAGTGGCTGGGTGAACGATCGTCAAAAGCCTTTGGCTGAGATTAATATCTGAATGAACATTAATACATGAAAACTGAAAGTACTATAGTCTTTTAATCACTGTCAGACTGGAATTTCATGAAGAGATTGGTAAGCCTGACATTCTGGCTCTTACTTGCACTACTAAGGCCATTTCAAAATTTCCTGAAAGTTACTATTGCAGCCGTTCTTGCAGCTATGAAGAACTGTTATTCTGTGCTGATCTCCTTTCTCATTTCTGCTAACTTTTTGCTAGAATTAAATTACATTTTTTAACAGTTGTTTAATTTTTGTATCAAATTTTGTTGACAATATTACTTAGCAAGACTAAAATTTACTAATAGTAACCTTACTCTAATTGACTGTAGACAACCTTCTTCTTCTGAGTTCTTTTTGGTGGTTATTTAGAAGCTGCTTGATAAATACAGTCAAAAGTTGTTAATTCGGACACCCATAATTTGGAATGATCTATAATCCGGACCTCAAAGCTAAAAACTTTCTGTGCATGCGCCGCGTTGACACATGCGCATAGGCGTTTACGCGTGCGCGTAAGACCTCTTACTACTGCGCATTTGCGTGTGCGCAAGCGCAGAATACGTTTTCGTGTGCGCGTTTTATGTATCTAATTATCTATTTCAGTTAATGTTGATGATTGCGTTGTTCCCTAATTTTCGAATTGGATCCGGCTTATTATTTTTTTCAGACTGTAAGAGCAATACTATAAAAGTAAACTTGAACTTTCAATTATGTCAAATAGAATTTTTGATTCTGGAGCTCCCAAAGGATCGTACAAAACGAAAGTATGTTTCGATGTCCATCAAACAAAAAAGTGGAATTGCTGCAAAAAATGGATAAAGACATGAAGAATGTGACAGAGAGGTTAGTGAAAACGAAAAAATTTCGATTGACAAGTTAGTCAGTATTCTCGGCACAGCAATTAACAGGACTTGAACAGCGGAACTTTGAAAGTGAACAAAAAATTATGTCTGTTTATAGAATTAAAGAGAAAGTATTATCACATAAAACGAAGCAACTTAAACAACTTACATTGAAAGAAATGTTTAATAAAGTAAACAAATAAATATTAAGCTTTTTTTTGTAAATTTTGATACCCTTTAGATCATAATTGTTCTTTATTTCATAAATTACGGTTTCATATTTTTAATTTTAGAATTTCTGCATGCCATCTTACGCGATTTAAACTGATGATCTATAATCCGGAATCACTGAAGTCGTCACGACGAGTCCGGATTAACGACTTTTGACTGTATTGGCTAATTCCTAGACCTTTTTTATTATCATAAGTTTTGTATTTTGATACAGATTTAAAACATAATAAATTAATGTTTTTTAATTCTAGGTTGTATACTCAGCAGGAATTTAGCATTTACTATTGTTTATGGTTTTCTTGTAACAAATTTTGTTTTTTGAACATTTTCTTGCATATATATATCTCCCAAAAATTTTTAATGCTTTGAATTATGTTTATAGTATTGTATTTACATTTTTTGGCAAGTTGGATGTGTCTTTAAATCTTTTAAATTTTCAAAGATACAAATAATTTTTAAATAATAAATTTTTTACCTCTGCTAATTTGGGAAGAACAGAAGCATATCTAGTGGGCTAGATATGATAGGTGAATCAATTGATCATCTGCATCCTGATCAATCATCAATCAATCTTACCTACATCCTGATGCAGTTCCATTTAAGCTATTAAATGATCATATGATTTTTAATTTTCCAGCATTTTATGATTTTTAATTTTTTGTATCTAAGAATTAAGAAATCATTGTTAATTCAGATGTCAATTGTAGCCAATGGCTATTGACTTTTGTTCATTCAGCCTCTAGATTTGAATCTATTTTTATACATTTTTATTCAATATTTGCTTTTGTTTACAATTAATAATTTCATCTGCCTGTTTGATTATAATTTAATATTATAAAATAGTTTATTACTATCTTAGCAGCAAACATGCAGGATTATAATTTTGAAAGTAATTATTGCAATTTACTTCTTTTTTCTCTTTTATGTGATATATTGTGCATAATATATACGTACACATGTGTGCTATCATTAAAGGCAGTATATAATATCTGCATATTGATTTTGCAGTTAATATTTATATTACTTGAATTATTAAATTTTGTTGTATTTTCTTATAGGCCCAAAATAAGCTCCTTTATGACATGAGAGATAAACTTCAGGCAAATTTGTCTAAAAAGGATCTGATAGCTTTGTTGGAGTATAATGGTCAACATATTTCAAAGGGTGAAAGTAGTGTAAGTTTTAAATGTGATGCTAAGTAGTATGGAAAAATGTCTTTTTAATAAAAAAAATTTGTGTTGCAGCACTATTTCAAATGTTTAAATTTGAAGTACAGTTGTGCCTTTATTTTCCTGTTTCAGGTAAAATTATTTTCTTAGTCATAAGAAAAGGCAAATAAACTTTTTTTTTTCAAAATTTCAGGAAGTATCTGAAACTTCTAAAAAATTGTGGAAGTTAAAAAATAAAAGTATACAGATCTGTCCATTCGAATAATAAAAAGTTCATGTTTTACATAGTAACCTATAAACAAAAATTGCATGTTTTAAACTTATTGTAATGTTTGTTTTGTTTAACACGAAGTATTTTTACTCACTTCATGCTGAAATAATTTAGTTAACCCATAGCTCCTACTTACTAGTGAGCTATTGCTCATTCTTCTGTTTAGAAATATAATTATTCTGTCATCTTTTAGAAGTGTAATTAAAAACAAGAGTAACCAGAAATTCATTTTTCAATCTAGTGTAATTCTTAGCTCTTCACTTTTGTTTTATAATATTATAGGAGTGTAATTTTTATTATGAAACATGGAATGAAGAGTTGTTCCAAAAATTTCATATTTCTTTTTAAAACCATCTACCTCCTTTTTTGTGTGGTTTAGTAAGTAAGATTACTAAAGCACACAAAAAAGTAGTAGTTTGTACTACTACCTTTTTGTAAATAGTTAACTTTTATAATGTTTACTTCAGTCTGTTTTGTGGTAAATGCACAAAAGAATTCAGTTACTCATACTTAATTGTTAATAACTACTTCATAATTGAGAGGGGAAGTTTTTCTGTTTAGTCATTGAAAATCAAGAAAAGTGAGGGAAATTAAAAATTGAATTATAATGGGAGCCATGTTTATGCAAAGTGACTAAGTTTTAACATATGAAAATATGTTAGCTCAGTCACGCTGAGTGCAGTTTTTCCACAGTAATTACATGTGCGCATTCCTGTTTTATTTCTATTTTATTTCTTTAAATAGGAAATAGTGGAGAGGAGATGTATATAGTCATTATGGAACTTTTTGCATATTATCAGGTTAAAAAGATTCTTTAGATTTGTTTGCTTCTCAGTGACTATTTCAGTTTTATGTTGATAAATATTTTGGCAGGAATTAGTTATTATCCATAGTCAGAGAATACGTAACTTACCTTCATATGATTCTATCTCACACTTTTCTGTTAAATTTGATTTCTTGTGGATCTAATTTTTTCTCCATTTTCTTAGTTCGCTATATCTCACTTTTGTGTTCTTGTTACTGTAATAGTATCCCCATAGCATAGAAGAAGAAATATTGGTGCTTGGAAGCTTCTAATGTGCTGTTTATGCTGGAAAGTCAATGTACCAATTTCTCTTTGCACCAAAATGTAAAACATATTTTGCTATGTAGTATAGGAACTGCATTTCTTTATTTCTCTTTCATCGTTTCTAGATTAAGTCAGAACTTTCCATCACTCTTTAATTATATAAAAAGAAGGGGATGAGAATTTTTATATTTTTAAATTAATTTATCTCATAATAAGCTATATAATGTATAGTACAGTATATTTTATTATTATTATCTCTAAAAATGGTAATGTATTATTATTGTGAATAATTTATTAATTAAACCTAACTGTAACTATATATATTGCACAAATATCCTGTTTTATATAGTGTTTGCTACAATCCATAGTTTGCTTATCATCATGGTGTCTTGGAATGTGGTATCACAAATACAGGGCATTGCTCTGTTTTGATAAAAAAAAAAAAAATTTTTTTATTTTAAAATCACCCAGAATGAAAATGGCATTTTAGATTTGGTTGTGTATGTAAAATTTGCATTATTTTAGGATATAAATGTGCACTGTTAATTTTTAAAAAATCTGACATGTACACCACGTGAGTTCCTTGTAGGGAATACTAAATTATATGTATTTTTTCTTGCATTTCGTTTAAACTTATTGGATTGAATTAAATCTACTTCATCGAAAGCGCATAAACCACGCTAGAATAAATGCACTCTTTAAAATTCACTATATCCGTTTACCATAGTGACAGTCTGATGCTAGGTTCACTTAAGAGCATTACATTTCTCATATTATAACTCAGAATGCACAAAATTTATATCATTTGAAGAATTAATCTAATCATTGCCACATGTTCTATTCAAATACTGTAATAAATCTAGAACGATGTATAAAAGAAATTAAGCAAACAAAACTACTGTCCCCACTTTAGAAGGACATTCGACAGGCTTTAATATAGCACAGCTAATTATTAAAACTTTAAAAGAAAATGCAGTCCCTCTGGATAATTGCTTAGCACTTGGTGCCGATAATGCACCAGTAATGGTAGGCTTGAAGACTGGTGTTGCAGGCATCTTAAGAAAGGCAAATTCAGATTTACAGATTATGAGGTGCACCTGTCACCTCTTAAATTTAGCAGCTGGAAAAGGGGCAGCTTCTTTACCAATAAATGTGGATGAACACATTGTTGATATTTATTATTATCTTGAAAGGAGTTCTAAAAGGAAGGAAAAATTGAAACAGTTCTAACAGCTGCATAACACTGAAATGAGAAAAATTTTAAAATGTGTGTACACGCTGGCTGTCTTTAAAGAAATGCTTATCTAGAATCCTCGATCAATGGAACCCACTTCTTGCATTTTTTAAAGAAGACGTAAATGCTTCGAGAGTTATGATAAAAGGCTCTATTGAAACTTATAAAATACTTAAATGGAGATGTAGTTACTACTTCCATTGTTAAAAATAGGTTTGAGAAAGATAAAGTAATTTCTGCACCATTCAGCAATTCAACTGGCAGTTCTTAAAATAATACTGCAAAATATAAGTGTAAAGCTGATACAAATTTCTCTCAAAATAAAAAAAATTGCTCAACACATGAAACATTTTCCGATTACTGTAAGTTTATCTTGTGAAGAACGAATATTTATGTTTTTTTCTTCGGACCTTAACAAAGCTTTTTGCTTTTTTTTTACAATTCATTTTGCCATCATTCGATGTTCCTAACACACTTCTACAAAGCAGAACTCCATTAATTCATGTTTTGCAATCAATGATTTATGATCTGTTTAAAGACATTTTATCAAAGTTTGTAAAACCTGTCTGTGTTTTGTCTTCTAATTCTATATGTGATGTGATTTATGGTGAAATAGAAAATCAGAAAAAAGATGAAGATTTGGTAATAGGAGCTGCAACTACAAAAGTAGTGGAAGAACTTCAGAAGAAGACAAAAATAAGTTTTATCGTCATGTTAGAAGTTACTTCTGTCGAGTATGTGATTACATACTACATAAATTTCCAGTCAACGATGAAGTGATTTTGCATTCTAAAGTTGCTGATGTTTCTGCTCTAGCAAATGCGTCTTTTTCTGATATAAGGTACTTTTTGAACAAATTTCCTGTGTTACTTCATTTAGTCATGAAAGATGATGATATTCATGTTACCACTGATATACTGCAGTCACGATTTTGCAGTTTACAATTAGAAAACTTGGATGAAGTTATAAAATCAGCTAGCATTGACACCCAGTGGAGTTTAATTGGAAAACTGAAAGGTACTGGTGGAATTTTAAAATATAGTGAACTGTCTAGAATAATGTTGGCCATCTTGACAGTTTCCCATAGTAATGCAGAGTGTGAGAGGATTTTCAGTGTTGTTGCGAAAACGAGGACTAAATTTAGATCTAATATTAGTGATGACACATTAGAAAAACTTTTATTAGCGAAAGCAGGCCTACATGACAATTGCTATGAACAAAATTATGAAGTTTCTTTCTTAACGAAAGCAAAATCTGATATAAGGTACTTTTTGAACAGATTTCCTGTGTTACTTCATTTAGTCATGAAAGATGATGATATTGATGTTGCCACTGATGTACTGCAGTCGCAATTTTGCAGTTTACAATTAGAAAACTTGGATGAAGTTATAAAATCAGCTAGGATTGATACCCAGTGGAGTTTAATTGGAAAATTGAAAGGTGCTGATGGAATTTTAAAATAATATAGTAAACTGTCTAGAGAATTAATGTTGGCCATCTTGATAACAGTTCCACATAGTAAATGCAGAGTGTGAGAGGATTTTCAGTGTTGTTGCGAAAATGAGGACTAAATTTAGATGTGATATTAGTGATGACACATTAGAAAAACTTTTATTAGCGAAAGCAGTCCTACATGTGGCAATTGCTGTGAACAAAATTATGAAGTTTCTTTCTTAATGAAAGCAAAATTCTGCCACTGTTCGTAACGTTTGTATGAAAAACTGATTAAAATGTCTTTTTTGTTGTTTTGTTTTTTAAATGATGCAAGTAATAAAACTGGTTTTTTATGTGTAAGGTATTTTTGTGTTGCTTGCATTTAAGAATTAGTAACTATTTAAAGTTAATTCATTATTAAAAACTATATTTAAATATTATTTTAATTTTTATCAGTCTTTTTAAAAAGTCATTGAGAAAAATTCCTGATTTCTTAAAAAAATCTCCTGATTTTTGAGTGTCATAGGTTGGCAAGTATGTATTGACCTTTCAGTCTTTATATAGAGCTTTATTAGAATTCCACCTAAGCACATCATCCATTTTATGTAATGCTTGTTCTAGAAGATCTACTATTTTTTTCTGAAATTTGGATGTTATTGCTCAAACCAGAGAATTATACTCGAGAACTGGTGAAGTGGTGGATATAGATAGAAGCTGTTTACCATTTACATTTACTTAGAATGTAATCTGAATTATGCTGTTGATACTCATTAAATCAATATTACTTTGTTTGTTGCTTATGCTGTATGATTTTGTGAACTTTGCTTGTTTAAATTATCTTTGATGTACCAGCAACTTAATTCTGTAATTAGAATTGACAGTACCAGTGATTTTAATTTTCATTTCTTTGATATTTCTGGAAAAAATTAGTATTTTAAAATGTTCAGTTTAATTTTCATTAGAATATAGTAATATTTGATGTTATGTAGCAAGCAATTAAAGCATGTTGTTGAATTGCTAATTTCATTAAAACATCTGTGTCATTTTCATGTTTAGCAAAGTTTGAATCTAAAGGCTTAGGGAAGTCGTTAATTGATAATAAATGATGGTGAGACTGATTTATATATGGTAGAAAACACATTAATGTAAAAAGCAAAATTTAGGCAGGAACTCTAGATTAGCCCTGCTACCCCCCCCCCCCCCCCAAAAAAAAAAAATATTTCCAGGGTAACTGATATAGGCATTTCTTCTTAGTGAAAGTTAAAGAAAGCTAAATTTTCAGAATATTAATTTTTTTTTTTTTTTTTTTTTTTTGTTCTGAACTTGATTTGATCTTTTTGTTTTTTATGTCTCTTTTCTGCCTATGGGACAAATAATTATTTTTGCTTTCTGTAATTCTATTTAAGATTTATATTATAGTATTATGCAAAAGTAATAAAAAATAATGAAGAGCAACAGAAATTGCATTTATATTGTCATGCTTAGCTAGTGGATTGGTGACTTTTTGTACTGGAGTATTGGTTTACTGGAGTCTCCTCTTCCCACTATTGACATTTGCACTTTGTAAATAGTTAACCAACACCTTGGCAAATTTTAATTTTTTATACCTATATTAAATAATGATGAATCTGTATGTATGTTTCTCGCAGAATGGTAAAATAGCTGTGCCTAGAGCCATCAAATTTTGAACAGACATAATCATCTATGTGTACACCTCAATGCTTGAATCTATTTTTTTATTTATTTTTTGTGAAATTTAATATTTCATTAACAAATTCAACAATTTAAAAATATTGTGTGCCACTGCCACTACCCGGTATAAAATATTTTTACCTTCCATATACCAGTTTGTTGTCATTTGGCAAAGCATATTTAATTTTTCATTCAAATTTAGTCTGCTTGTTACTGATTAACAAACTGGGATTTCAAAGTAGTACATGCAGTTCTTTATTATTGTTATGAACTAAACTATAGCTGGACTCATTAAAAGCGTTACTTATTTTTTTATTCTATTTTATAGTAACTATTTTAAGCAGCTGGCCCTGCTAGTGATTAGTTATAGTAAACAATAAAATACTCTGGTATATGTATGTATCTAATCTATTTATAACATGCAGAACTTTTGAAAGTTTGTTTGCTAATTTTTTCAATCCACAAAATTTTCCAATATATTTATTGAAAGTGTGCATATAAGCTAATTTGCAGCTGTAGTTTTACTTTACTTTCTTTTACTGAATTTTTGATATGTATGATTTGTATTTTTATTTATCTCTGAATTATGCTTGAAGCTTTCTAGACATGCTGCTGTTATGTATGGTTAAATAAACTGTGGCTATTGATGTGAAAGGTTTACCATCCAGTGTAATAATGTGTATTTTTAATTGCTTAACTGAAAGTTAATTGTGTTTAGACTAATATTAAAACGATTTTTTTTCTACCTTCGAATAGCTATTTTACATGAAGTACTGCTATTAAATTGGGCATGTGGTAGTACTCTTTTTCATTTTTATATGAAAAAGAAAAGTAATATTGTTAATTTATTTCAGCTCTTAGATCATTTGTCAGATTGTTTAATTTTTGGAGCTTTGAAATTATGTCCGGAGTGTAAGAATAGTAAACCACGTTATAAGTAAGTGTGTTTTTTAAATAGATTTTTCATTTTAATATTGCAATAGCTTTTCTGTTGCTAAAACAAGTTAAGAATTTCTAAAGTATGCCTGTTCAACAGAATTTTTTTTTTCAGTCAAAATTTAATTAATCATTAATATATTTACCAAAGAAAATTTTCATTTCCAGCATATAATTTGATTCAGGAACTTTTTATTTATTATTTTTTTATTTTATTATTTTTTATATATATATCAGGGTTCGTACGGTCCTTAAAAGTCCTTAGATTTTTTGGAATCGATTTTTGGTCCTTAAAAGTCCTTAATTTTGGCCAAAATCAGCAGAAGGTCCTTAATTTTAATCATCTGAAATTTGTGTCTCTTTTCTTCAATTGCCATTTTGAGTGTGAATTAGCATTTTGGGGGAATATTTTCAGCGATTCACTGGCATATATGGTTATGTTTTGAATGGGTTTATGGGTTATAATTTGTTTCTATTTCTAATATAATTGATGGGATACTCGAGTTTCTAAGCAAGAAGTGAGATATAAGCATTTCGAAATTCATTTTTTCTAAGTTCAAATAAATTTAAGAGTTCTTAAACAACTTTTTGCTTTTGGAGATGTGAATTCTTTTATTAAACGATTCTAAATTTGGCGACTTATCAGCATTTTGGTGATTTTAAGATCAGTTTCTATAAAAAAAAAAAAAAATTTTAATTCCGAGATCTGAGAATTTTTGGACAATTTTTTTTTTAAACATCCTAACATTGATAAATTTCATTAAAATAATGGTAATATATTGAAATTATATTTAAAAAATAATATTAAAATAAAGCATTTTTAATTTTCGCTGTCATATTATAAAATTTCATTTTGGCAACTTATACAATATTTCGACTCTGAAAAAGAAAGAAGGTTCAATGTTATTAAGCACAATTTACAAAACAGTTCTTAGCAAAAGCAAAATTAGCTATGTAATTAGTTAAAAACATCGTCTTTTTAATTTGCTCATAGTAAAAGTTTTTCCCATGTAATTGTCTCGGAATATTCAAAATTCTCAGAATATGTATAAGTTTTCTCTATAAAATAAATTTTACCCTTTTTCCCTCCTTTTTTTCCAAAATATTTCTGGCTTTTTGCTGTTACTGAATTGGTAGGGGTAATTTTTCTTTAGTATTTTAGCCATTGCAGCTTGGAAAGTTTAGGAGGATTTGAAGGCAAGATTTGTAGACACGTGATTCTAGAAGATTCGAGGAATATGTGACAAAATTAAAAATGTCTCCATGGTATCAACACGTAATGGATGTATTTTACTGAAAGTTTGCGATGAATTTCTTACTTTTTGAAGAACGTCTGGAAGAACAATGAAAACATAATATTTGAATGTTTTACTCCTGATACTAGAATCATTTTCTTAACATGTTTACCTTCCCTTTATTTTCTCTACTTTTCACTAGAAAGTATCAAAAATGCTTCTAATCTTGTCACATGGGCAAGCATTATAGAAAAGGATTTTTTTATTAATAAAGAAATTGAAAATTTACAATTTAAAAGATTCATCTAATATGTTTTAATGCATCATACACAGAGCTGGCACTAGGCATTTTCCCACCTGATGCAATCTCTGTGGAGCCTAAATTCTGCTTCCAATTCCTGCTCTAAATTCTAAAAGTTTTGCCATTTCCAGATTTTGTTGTTTGGTGTGTCGCTAAATTCTAAAAATTCTGCCGTAGTGGCTCTGTGACCGGCCTTTACCATATGTATTTCTTCCGAATGTTTATATTACTAAAGAAATAAAATTAGCCATTTTCTATGCATTCTAAATGCATTTCATGTTTTTTAGAATAACGAAAATCTTTAAATCCAAAAATTCTAAAATGAAAAGGAAACGTGTTGAAGAAAGAAAATAATAAGACAAAAAAAAAAAAAAAAAAATATTCTTCAAAGAAAATGTGCAGTTATTATTATGAAAATTACATAATTGTTTATGATATTAGTTTTTACTATAATTTCCCATTTCTATTTCCTCATAGGATAGAGTTACTGAGCCAGATTAAATTTAAATTAAATTGTATAATCTTTGACCACTAGTTCACACTTTTAGTTTGAATTTGACTGTTGGCTGTTTTTAGTTACGTCACCGTGACGTCACTGTAAATGTAAAATTTGTTAGCATTAAGAACATGACCTTTGCCTATTGTTAAGTTCTAAGTTTTTTTATATAAGAGGCTTATTTAAACCTTTGTCTGATATTTGTTATTTTCAGACATAGCGATAGTTTGCTTCACATCAGTTGGGTTTTTTGACTATTTAACTTTTACCAGATCAAGTAAACCCTCATAGGTACATTGTAGGAGAGGTTGACAAGTTAGGAGATAAAGCAGTTAGGTTGAAGGAGATAAAGCAGTTAGGTTGATGCAGAAACTAGCGAGAGCATTGGTTAGCATTTTGAGACAAATCTCTTAATTGTTAGAAAAGATGCTTAAAGAGAAGGAAATCTATATAAACTAGCCAAAATGTTTGGGAAGGCTTCAAATTAAAATGACGGATAAATATTTTGTTGAATGTTGTTGTTACAAAACATAAATGTTTTGTAGCTTTTAATGTGTAATTATCCTAATATCGTTTTAGAATCAATGTTATAAATTACATGTATTTTAAACTGTGAAATTTGATTAGATTTTGATTTTAATAGGGCTTTTTTTTGTTAAAAACTAAAATTTAGTTGTGCCCATGTAAATCCATAATGACTAAGGTTATCTAATTACCTAATTTAATTATTTATAACTAACTGCTTACCCTTAAAAATTATCTCTACGTATTAAAGCGAGTTATTGCCTTTCATTAATACTCACTGAGGTCACAAGATAAAACACAAAAACGTAAAAATTCAAGTAAAACTTATTCTTTGCATCTAGTGGGACTTAAAATAATACAAAACAACTTATCACCTCTGGTGCTTTAATGGCTTATTGGAATTTTAAAGTATATTAACTGGCTTACAACCCCTGGAACTGCACGAAGCTACAACACTAAACTGCATCAAAAAGAGCCTAACTGACTTTCAACACTTGCCAAACCGTGCCTACATCAGGCCTTTCAGGTTTGTTCGAAGCAGCAGGTCTTTCTCTAGACAAGCAGCAGCAGTGACAACATTCAGTCTTTTGTTATGAATCATGCTGATTATGATCTTTCTTCTCATTTTAACCTATGCCGTTTGACATAAAATCTACCTGCTATTTACTCAACATCTAGACTGACCAAGTATGTGATAAAATGAGACATTTAAAAAAATCAACATAAAGCTAACTGTGGGTAAAACGTAAATGTCACTTATCTTCTTTCAAATATGTCCATCTGTCGTAAGTGTAAAATATTTAATGCTATTTGATAAATTGCATCAAGTTTATTTTATTCTCAAATTTTTTAATAATTATGTTTATTAATTCATGTTTAGTAATAATGCAGACTACTTAGAGATCTGTTTTATTTTTAGGATGGTATCACAAAAAGTGAAATTCAGGCATAGATAATATTTTTAATTGAATTTATTCAGTTCCTATTTGCTCATAGGTCCTTAATTTTTTCATTAATGGTCCTTAAAAGTACTTAATTTTCGTGTGCAGAAATGTGTACGAACCCTGTATATATATTTTTTTATCAATGCTTCGTCGTTAGCAGCATCACATAAGAAATGGCAAATATTTTATCTGGTGACCCTGTTTCACAATGAAAATCTTCAGTATTGTATATGGTGACTTTTGGATTGATAACCATATTTAGTGATGCTTGTCGTTTAGTACCAAAGCCTTCCTGACATGGTGCTGCTAATAGTAAAATAATAATAATAAAAAAGTTTTCCTGTGTTAGAAATATTAGAAAAAAATAGTATGTATGAACAAAATAATAGTGTGAAATAAATTTCTTTATTATAATTAAGATATATATATTAAAAATAGTAGCAGTGTTTAATATTAAATTATTTGTTTATTATGTTGTGTAAATGGATTGTATTTGTGTGTTTAGATTTGATGGTTATCATTGTTCTGGAGATGTGACAGAGTGGACTAAATGTCAGTACGTTACCAAATCCCCAGAAAGAGAGATGTTCAAGATACCTAAGGAGTTCAAAGAGGAATATGATTTTCTGTAAGAAATTTTAGTTAATCTGTGTTATTTGTAGTATATACAATAACTAATTTTATATTATGGTATAGGTCAAAATCTGTGGAGGATCCAAATTTTTCTTTTTCGTAAGATATATATATATGTGTGTGTGTGTGTAAATATAATTTAATATATTCTTCTGTTATCAAGCCGGGATGCAAAAGTGTATATATGTGTGTCCATACACATACATGTATATATATACATATATACATGAACACATTCCATCCATGCATACATGCGTACATGTAAGGACATAGTCCTGATAACAGAATAGTAGCGAATTTAATTAAAGATGCAACCTTTAAAAAAAATTTGTTTTTTCCCTTTGTTCTGATCCTCCATTGTACAGGTTGGTTGTAAATTTAATATCTATTTGTAATAATGAATATTTCAGAAAGTAAACAACCAAGCAAAGTTTTATTGCTGTTTAATATATTATTAGGGTGTATCATTTAGTTATTACATTACATTTTGACATATGCACCTGTGTTTTCTACACACTGCCTGAATCGTTTAAGAACAGATTCCATGGCTCTTTGTACCATCCAAACTGCGACATTTGCAAACATCCAGCAGATATTGTGTTCAAGACTGTTAAGATCCCTTGGTTTTAACTTTACACTTTTTCTTAGCCCATCCCCAAAGGAAGAAGTTGCGGGGGGTTAGATCAGGGCTGCGTGCAGGCCATTCTGTCAGCTCCTGGTGAGCAATCGATCTGCCTGGGAAAGTGTCATCAAGCCATGCTCTCACTGGAATTGCAAAGTGGGGCTGAGTTCCATCTTGCATGGAGAGCAATTTCCATCCATTTTCCCATTCTTGAATCACAGGCCATATGTACTTCGAGGCATCTCCAAGTATCGTTATCATTCATGGTGTTGCGTAGCATGTATGGACCATTCCACACCAGACTGTTACCTTTGGTCGTGATTGCAAATTTCTACTGTTGCATTTAGATAGAACTTTGACCAATTATGACAGTTTACGGAACCTTCCACATAAAACACTGCGTAATCCAACCACAGGATATTCTCGTGCAAATCTGGAAAATCAGCTCCTCAACCAAGCAGAATCTCACAAAATTTCATTCTCTTGTCGTAGTCCTCATCAAACAGTTCATAAATGTAATGTGGCATGCAAGGTCGAAAATATAAGACAGTTTTCTATGGTCTTAAGGTTAAGCGTTGCATTCCTACTTGAACCACTGACCTCCAAAATGTAATGTGGCATGCAAGGTCCTGCACTTGAACCACTGACCTCCAAACTTCATACCTATTGTCAATCTTAGCTCTATCTTCTATGCTGAGAACACTGGCCATTTTGTGGTTTTTACTACTGTGTCAACCTCTTAAATAATAAATGGTAAACATATATTAGTCAACAGTCTTACACGCCACTTAGAATTTATGCTAGTTTCTAGGGGAATCTAAATTAAAAATAGGTGACAACTTTAAACCACCCTGTATTTAAAACACTTGGGTGACATTTCGAATAAATAAGTCTTGCATTTTACACTGTACCCAAAAGCTGTGAAAGAAATGTGTTGAAGAGTTAAAATTTAGTTGTCATTAAATCAATTTTCATGTATGAAATTTAAAGTACTTGTAATTGTAATTTAAGTTGATTTCATATAATCTTAGTTCTGTTCAACTACTACACTGATAATTAATGTGTTTAAAATTTTCGGATTCACTTTTTGTTTGCTTAGATGATCATGTAGAGTAATTAGTATTTTTTTTTTTTTAATATAAATCCAAAGGGGCTGCTTTATCTATGAGGGATTATTGTTTTTGTTTTACGATTGTGCTTCGGAACATTATAAATGCCCGTTTCACTTTTCAAACTGTTGCCACCAAATATTGTCCTGTATTATATTTGAAGAAATTAAATAATGAAGAATCTGCATAAATGTATGTATATTTCTCTTATTGTGATAAAACCATGGTACCTAGAGCCATCCAGTTTTGAATGATGTAATCCTGCGAATATGGGCATCTGAAAGCCCAAATTTGTTTTATTATTGATTTCATATTTTATAACACTTTTATGAATTTTTGATTGACAAACTCAAGGATTTCAAAGCAAGAAATGACAACTTTGTACAGAAAAAACATTCTTATCTCCAGCACGCGAGACTGCGTATCGGAAATTCTAAAGATATGCTCAATTTAAAATTAGTTTGCGATATTAAAGTGAATTTTATGGTTTAAGTGGGAAGAACATGATGTTTAGTAAATAAAGGTAACACACAAAATGTTTAAAAAAACGCCTCTTTGTACATAATTTAAAATCTGAGACCTTTCGGACTTTCTTTATATATATATATATATGGGAAACTGAAGAAACGTGCAATGCTCTCCCTGGAATTCAAACCTGGACCTCTCAAATATGCGTTGAGTGTGCTAATGTTAGACGATGATGACATACAGAAATGAGGAAGAAAATACCTTATAATCATACATAATGAAGTTGATATATTTGTGCTGAGAAACTGATAGGAAAATAGCATACGTTCTACATGTACGAGTTCAATGAAATTACATCACTGGTGTGGTCACTTCACCAATAATTATTGCACATAGTCCATGAGAATCTATGTGCTACACAAGCCCCCCCCCCAAAGAGGAAACTGGACAGTTTTGTTTTGAATGCTGAATTAAAACTAACAATCAGTATCATATTGCTAATTTTGCTCTAAACATTAAGCTGAAAGGAAGACTGAATGCCAAATTTCTGCAAAAGCTGAGTTTTGCATATAAAGCTAGAAGGAAGCATCATAACTAGTGTTTTCTTTTAAATTTTACTTTAAAACAAGGAAGAACAATTAAAACATTTTTACAAATATAGAGTGGGCAAATATTTTTGTAGTAGTATTGACAAAATATTAACAGATGGTTTTAATTTCATTTGTCTGGAACTATAAAACAAAACGCAGCTGAAGTTAGATCTGTGTGTGATAAAACATTGTTTTTAATTCTAGTGATTAATGTAAGTTTTCTCTTGGGTTTCAGCTTAAAATATAGTCATTTTGACTATGCATTCATTCCTCTTTATAAAAATAATGTTTAGTTCTTAAATTTCTTTCATCTGTTTTTTTATTTTTATTTCTTTTAAATTTTATGTCTAAAAGTATTAGTGTTCTATATTTTCTATTATAAGTTCCAAAGTGAACCTTTCTTAATTTTATTTTTAGATAATCATTGGTATCCTTTGAAGGTGTAAAACTTTATATTCAAACACTCATTATATCAGTTTTAGAAACCAATTTTTCAAATATGCATATTGAAACTTCTTGAATCTCAATTCATTCTTCTTAGCATTTGAAATATGTTGCTACAAATTACTTCCTGTCTGTGACATTTTTGAAATGGCGTATTTCAAGTTGTTTTCTTTCTAAAATTTGCTGCTGTAAACTGTTGTATTTAAAAAAATATATAGTGCTTAAAAATTTAAGACAGAAGAAAAATTTTACTCACTTCACTGCTATTTGAATGAATTCAAAAGTGCACTTTTATTTTTCAGGAAAGATTATAAGTATGTGAAGCGGAAAAGACTCTTTCCTTCAAATCCTGAGCGTCCTTCTTCAAGCACAAACAAGTACTTTGTTTAAATTTTCTCTTACAGTGAAATTCTGGCTCTTATTTTCCAACAAACTGAAATCATGTGTATACTAGTTACCCCCCGCAAAAGATTAAGCAAAGCATTAATTATGCTTTCCTTATTAATATAAATTGAATTCTTGTCCCCAATAACTATATGAAGTTAATTGGTAATTAAAGCTGAGTGAGGATCCATGCTTGAGCATAAATTTTGAATATTCCAGCAAAATAATTTTTTTATTAAATTAACACAAAAAAATTGAATCATATTATTGCACAGTTTGTTTTTATTTGTTACTGTAGTACTGTCATAAAATGGGGTCAAGTATGGCATGTGCTAGGGATTCATTTACAATTTTATTTATTTTATATATTTTTTTAATTTTTATTTATTTATTTATTTATTTATTTTAGAATTTGATTTACATGCGCATGTTTGATAGCTTGCTGTTAAAAATGTCTTAAACATTTGATATGTATTTTTTAATGTAAATTATCAAATTTTGATCTTTCTTTTAAGCTAAATTTGGTAGTCTTTATTACAGTAGAGATGGGAAATTTTTGCAAATAAAATGAGTTGAAAGTGCATTTGTGTGCTTGAATGGCTTACACTGATATATAAAAATTAAGGATAGGAGATGTAATGTTGACGGATTATATTATTAGGGTCAGGCAAATATACAAGTACTGTCACAGGTAAGCTTTTTCACTTCTTCATTTTTTAAGATGCAATTTGGTTGGTATTCATGTAATACATGACGTGTTGAGGCCATGCAGAGCAGTGTTATTGCTATAGTTTTAAGAGCATTATCAGTTCAATTACTTGTAATATAATTCAGAAGTCAAACAACAAAAATCAGCGTTATAGTTTCAGAACTTTCACAGGACTAGTTTTGATGGTTTTACCGAACCACCATCCTCAGCTGCAAAACACCTCAGCAAGCCTCACCTCACTGGTTCGGTAAAACCATCGAAACTAGTCCTGTGAAAGTTTTGAAAATATAACGCTGATTTTTGTAAGGTAGTGCAGCAGTGTTTTAATCAGTGTTAAGCATTCCATAATATTCTCAAGATGTAAGACTGTGATTACTAACCAAGAATGGAATTCTAAGGATATCAACAGCATTTATTGAAAAATAGGGAAAAGATCCAAATGTCCTCATGACAGGCAAGGAAAATCTAGTGCTCAGTAAGAAACAGGATCATTCCTGTACTGCGATGCAAGATGGGTACCTCATGCTGAGTATGAGATTATTAACAAACTTTCGAGGCATCATAACCCATTTCTTTTGTAGACTGATTGCAACTACAGAATCATTGCTATTTCTTAAGAATGCCCTGGAAGTTTTTAAGGAAACTAATTTAGAAATGTCAAACCTGTCTGTCTGAAATTTTGCTGTATTCTATCATTTGCTGAGAAAATTGTAAATTTTTGTTTAATCATAAATATTTTTTTGAAATTCAACTTGGAATTAAAATTATGGTTGATATTTTTTTCTATTTTAGAGGACTTCCATTAGAAAATTTCAGAATTGCTGTCCGTGGAAAGTTTCAGGTTCGCAGAGAACTTATAACAAAACTAGTGAAGGAATTAGGTGGAACGATTCATGACAAATTGGATAGTTTTACATCACTGATTATTAGTTCTCCTGGTAAGTGTAAAAATTTCAGACTTCTTATACATAATAGTTTTCATCATGTGCACCAATGTAAATTCATTTCAATTAATTAATGAAATATTTAGGCCATTTATTATTTATGATTAAACAGAAAATCTTTCTAAAAGGATGGATGCCTTCATGAAGGATTTTTTAAGATGCAATTTGGTTGGTATTCATGTAATACATGACGTGTTGAGGCCATGCAGAGCAGTGTTATTGCTATAGTTTTAAGAGCATTATCAGTTCAATTACTTGTAATATAATTCAAACAAAAAAAAATCAGCGTTATAGTTTCAAAAACTTTCACAGGACTAGTTTTGATGGTTTTACCGAACCACCATCCTCAGCTGCAAAACACCTCAGCAAGCCTCACCTCACTGGTTCGGTAAAACCATCGAAACTAGTCCTGTGAAAGTTTTGAAAATATAACGCTGATTTTTGTTGTTTGACTTCTGAATTAGTATTTGTTCAGCGTGTTATTGTGTCTTAATTACTTGTAATATATCAACTTAGAATATAAAGAATTAAGATTTATTAACCTATATAAATTAGTAATCAGTTGCGCTGATTCTTCTAATGATGTGAGGTTTAGAAAAAACTTTGGTATTCTCCCAATAGGCGATCTGCTTTACTTAACTGTGTAGTTACTTTACAGATCGATAGGTGGTGTCACTAAAATTGCTGTTTTCACACATTTTTTCCTTATGCCATTTTATTTCATGTTCAAAATGAAAGCTGGGGCAGCTTTTGTTTTTATTAGATTAGCTGGTTTGAGTATTTCAATGAATTACTAAATATAAATATAATTAAAAGTGAGCCCGTAAATGTTATGGATGTAGATTATATCAAGAATTTCATGCATATAGTGAAAAAAACAGGTAAGAGGTAAGACAAAATACACCTGATTTTGTACTGGTATATTTAGTTGTTTCAAAACCTATTTACAAGCAATTTGATGTAAGCAGAGTGTTGAAAGAAAAGAAATAATGAATTTAAGAGAAATGAATTAAACACTGCTGCTGCGTAAGACAACAGTTATTTCATTTTCTTCTTATTTCAGATGTTTGTAGTATAAACAGGAAATTTATTTGAGAGTAAATTGATAACAGAGATTCAAAAACAGAATTTTAAAAGCTCTTTACAAAGTAATGTAAATGTGAAGTTTATTTGCGAGTAAATTGATAACAAACATTCAAAGACAGCATTTTGAAAGTTCTTCGCCAATTCAACAGAAAAATTGCATGTGAAAACAACATTGCTTTTACAAACAAAATAATCTGCAAAAGAGGTGGCACCATCTATAATATAGGCAATTAACTTTCCTTTTGATAGAAAACATCATTTACTGTACTATATAAAGCCTAAGGCTAATGCATGAATTATTCAGAAAGCTTCTTTTATTGTTTAAGTATTTTTTAAAAATATTTATGACTGCTGTGTAACAATTAACTATTTCCATTAAAGTAAGCATAATTTTTTTAATTTGAAAGAGTTAAAAATTGGGTTGATGAGAAGGAAATCTATGATGGCTCTATAGCTATTTCAAAAATGGTTGGCTTTTAAGCAGGCATTAAAATGAAAGTAAAGTATTGGATTAACTATTTCTTTTTCTATCTGTATAATCAACCCCTTCCCTTTTTTTAATTGCTAGAAATGAAGAAAAATCTCAGCCCAGTAATTGTGCTGAGGGAAGAAATTCAAGATTTTGATTTTTATTGTATAGGAGTATTTGCATTTTGACAATGATATGGACACCAGGAATGTAAAGAATAATAGAAAGGAAACTTTCTTTAATTCTTTACATTCTTTGCAGTCATCTCACAGCTAGTTATAGAAATGCTGTTATGTACCAGTACATGATAATAAAGAAATTTATTTAGAAAATAAGAAAGCATATGAACATTAATTCTCAATAAATTGGAATTTCCCAAATCTAGCTATCTAGGAAAAACTGATAGATGATAGAATCTTTTTATTGCTCATGTCACCTGCAGGTATTCTCAAATATTATTCACAGTATACTGTAGGTCAGGGATGTCAAACTCATAGGTACACTTGGGCCAAACAAACAAGGTTTAACTTTAGGTGGGCCGGGGGAAAAAAAAAAAAAAAAAAAATTCAATATTCATAGAAACGTAGAATTAGATTTAATTACGAATAATACATATATATATATATATATAGAAAAGAACAAGAAAAATTTAATGTTTACGTCCTGATACTTCTCTGCTATTATCTTTCCTATTTCGAGAGAAATTTTGTTTGCAGTGATAACTTTCAACGCTGACCCAAGGTGAGCATCATTAATACGGTTTCTAATAGGAGACTTATTACCTTTCATGACTGAAAATAACTGCTCGCACCGATAAGTGCTACCAAACATGGAAATAATTTCATATGCGAATTTTCGAGTATTTTCAAACCTGGCTGGTAAATATTTGTAAAATTCAGGCACGCCCACTTCAATGAATTTTGCTTTCAAATTTGAGTTGCATTGAATCTCGATCACCTCCATTTGCATATGGCTGGGTACTGAGTCAATACTTATTGAGAAAATCGAAGAAAACAAACAAAAAAAAAAATTTGTCTTCGAGGGAACTAAAATCATTAAACCTCGTTTCAAATTCAGTTGTTAAATTTGCAATTTTTTCTGCGTATTTTTGATACGAACAAGTATCATCTAAACTTGATTTATTCATGCTGCACGTCGGGAAGTGCGTCAAATCTTCATTTTTAAGTTGTTTTTCCCAAAGAACTAGTTGACATTTGAATGCTTTAATTATGTCAAACATGTTCGTAATGATATGATCTTTTCCTTGTAACGATAAATTTTAAATAGGTTAAGTGTTTGGTTATATCAACCAAGAGAGATAAATCTTGTATCCATATTGGATCGTAAAACAAACTTACGTCTTGATTTTTCGTTTTTAAAAACTGACATATTTCTTCTTTCAAATCCCAGAATTGTTTGAGAATCTTGGAGCAAGATAACCAACGTACCTCGGTATAGTAGGACAAACCCGAATATTCACTATCTAACTCACTTAAGAAAGCAGTGAATTGACGCTGATTTAAACCTCGAGATCTTATAAAATTTATAACTTTTTTATATATGACAAAACATTCTCCATATTTTATCACTTTCGTGCATAGAACTTCTTGATGTATAATACAATGCATATGATGAATGTTTGAACCGTGAATTTCACTAAGTTTTTTTCTTAGTAATGCTACGAAGCCCTTGTTTTTCCCGGTCATTGATGGAGCGCCATCTGTAGCTACAGAATTTAATTTTGCCAAAGGTAGATTGTATTTCTGCAGAAGTCCAAAAACACAAGTAAATATATCTTCTCCTGTGGTAGTACCAGGCATCGGTATTAGTTCCAGTAATTCCTCAAAAATGTTAAAATTCTTGTCACAAGAACGAAGAAACACTGCTAATTGAGCTTTGCCACTAATGTCCGTGCTCTCGTCACAGGCAATGGAGAAACTTTCGAAACTAGATGATTTTGCTTTGATCTGATCACTTAAATTCGCGGCTAAATCAGTAACTCTTTCCGCAACTGTATTTCGAGACAATGAAATTGATTGAAAAGCCTTCACATTTCCAGGACAAACAATTTCTCCAGCTTTCATTAGGCATTCCTTGATGAAATCACCGTCAGTAAAAGGCTTCGAATGTTTAGCTATCAACTCGGACAAGACGTAGCTTGCATGTACCGCCGCTTCACTTTCTTGCAATACTTTACTAAACATGGACTGTTGCTTTTTCACTCCTAACTTGAGCTCTTTCAACTTTTCTTCTCTCATTAATCCTTCGTAATTGTTATATTTCGATTTGTGTTGTTCGTAATGACGTTTAATATTATATAACTTTGGTACATTAATAGTATTATTACATATCAAGCAGATTATTTTATCTTTTATTTCACAGCAAAAATATTCTAATTCCCATTTTACTTGGAATATTCTATGTTCGTCAGCGATTTTTTGTTTAATTTTACTACCACTTGGTTTTGATATAGACATACTGAATACAAAGGGCTGGAATAAACACGGTTAACGTTAAAAAGTTAACAAAAATTTATTCTTTCCACAAGAGATAAATCAAAATGCTGAAATATTTCTTCAAAAATATTCTAACAATATCACAAAATGTCAAACGTTTAGCAAAAATCAATTCAAAACAGAGAAACTAATTCTATCTCACAGCGAAATCGCTACAAATCAATCACAGCATTAAGTAAACAAACAGTTCGCTAGAACTACAGCTACTACTGAGATGAGTTGTTTGTTCTCGGCTTTTATAAGCTTTATAATTAATTTCTCAAATATACTGGAAACATCTATAAATATCTGGATTTTTGTGGATGGCAACAGCAATTACGAGATATTTATTTATTAGGTATTAAATGCACGCGCTGTTCTATTTTTAACCTTCCAACGCAGCTGTCTTTTCAAAAATCGTCTGCGTTGCTAAGGCAACATGAAGCAAATCTAATTACAATTCTAAATAAAAAAAAACTAAATAAATAAATAACTATGAAATCCGTAACAATATGAATTAAGTAATAATTAATAATAAAGCAAAGTGCATGCACATGCATGCACCAATATATCGTACAAAACTATGATTGGAAAACTGAGACCATGAGTTCGACTATCGAGGCATGTGTACAAGTTTTGAGTGCGTGTGTCCCCCAAAAGCCGAAGGTAGCTGAACGCAAGCTACTCACACGCATTTGTAATTTAAGTAGTGTGTGTGTCAGCTTGCTGTGAGTAATCTAACAACACTGAATAAATTATCGTTAATTACTTAGCAGTAAACATTTCATTTTTTTCTTCATCGATATGTTATTTTATTAATATATATTATTATTTGCCGATATATTGGCCGGGCCGCAAAAATATTTTTTGTGGGCCGTGAGTTTAACATCCTTGCTGTAGGTGCTTCTAGGCATTTAACTGTGTTATTGTCTTTCACTATTACT